TCGAACGGCGCGAGTAGTGAAAGTGGCGTTTCCAACCAATCGGTGGAGTCGGCGAGCTCGAACGACTGATCCATTTAATCGATACCAAACCCCTGAGTTCGAGAGCTCTTTTCTGTAGAAATTCCAACCGGACTCGCCCGGCGATAGCTAACGAAGAGGAGAACGTGAGTGGAGAGCCGCCTGAGCAAGAGACCGCAAATGCCAAGACCCGCTGACTGATACGCGTTAAGTGGTTGAGCACGCGTCGGAGCAACTTGCACTTCAACAGCAACCATGGACTCGAAGTTGTATCTGGCTGAGAATGTTCTCAATGAGCGGCGCCCTGTATGATTTTCTCGTGTTGTTCATACAAGTAGGAGCTTACCAGAATTAGGTCACCTACCGCTTATTGAGCCGGGCGCTCAAAGTGCACGCCAACCGGGCCAAACAGTATGTTTTGCGCTCGCAGCAGCATAAATTAGATATGGAATCGAAACTGACACTCCATTGGATAGGATCCTGTTCGAATTCCACCGCAATGAGAACGCGAAGAAGCCACAAACCGTTCACGCAACCTACGTCATCTCCGGCATCCAGAAAGTGCCCGAGTCAGCCCCTACAAACGGCCATGCGGGCGATGAAGATGAGATGATGCAGAGTAGCCCTTACTTACCCAGTTCAATGCCGAACCAAGATGCAGCCTCGGACTCGATTCGCACTACCTCCATCGTGTTGGCACGCGAGGAAGACCTGGAAGGTACGCATATTCGTGGGTCTCGGCGATGGACTGATTACTGAACGAGTCGAGCAGATGCGAAAGCAACCTTCCAGTCGATATCTACAATCCATGTCTACAGTCTCCAGCCTACAGCTTTACCTGATTTGAATGTGTTGGTCGATGCCAATCGGGAGATTGCGAGTACACATGGGCAGGAGGATCCATTGGAGTGTGGGAAGCAATGGGGTATGATACAAAATCGCAATGTCAAGGTAGGCCATTCATTACTTCGACAGGTCTATCTTGATCTAATTTTTATACTTTTCAGCGGAGGACTGGCGCGCGCCCATCCCCACCTGCAGCTCCAGCTGTGAAGCCGCCCGCTGCCAAGGCATTGAAGCCTTCGACTGAGTCGACGGTGCCCGCTAAACGGCCGCTACAGAAAGAAACATCCTCAGTGAAGACGGAAGCTACCAAGCCCGATGAACCGAAGCCTGAGCCATCCTCTGCTGCCAACTCCCAGGCGTCCTCAAAGCCTTCAGGTAAAGCAGCGACAACCAAGCAAAAAGGCAATCTTTTCAGCTCTTTCGCCAAGGCGAAGCCGAAGACAAAGGCATCAGCTCCAGCAGAACCGGTTCGTGCACTTACTCGGGCAGCATTTATTATTGATCTTGTTTCACTAACCTTGACTGCAGGCCGCACCAAGTACAGAAGATGGTTAGTGAACTCCAATGGGCTTTGATACATTAGCTAACGTGTTTTAGTTGTGCTTGATGATGCATCTGAAGAAGAGGCGGAAGAACTGTTCCCTGATAGCACCGCTAAAGCAGCAGCAGAAAACCGCGCAAACAGGAAAGAGCGAGAGGAACGGCTCAAGAAAATGATGGATGATGATGATGATGACGAGGCTGACGGTATGCCCTGGCCCTCAACTACCAACCTGAAAAGAACCAACTGACATAGATCCAGACGAAGAAATGCCCGATGCCGATGAGGAGCCACGGGAGCCCACGCCTGTTGAGCAACTGCCACCGCCTAAGCCAACTGAACTTAAAGAAGAAGTGACTGTGCAAGGCGGGCGGCGGCGAGGCAAGCGTCAAGTCATGAAGAAGAAGACGGTCAAGGACGAAGAAGGATACTTAGGTTTGTGCATCCCGCCGAGGCCCCTTCGTTTGACGAGGTATACTAATCTCTTACAGTTACCCGGGAAGAGGCGACGTGGGAATCTTTCTCCGAGGATGAGCCGGTGCCTAAGAAGAAGCCCGCAGTTAATGTTCCAAAGGCGAAGGCTGGCAAAGCTGCGGGGCAGGGTAATATCATGTCTTTCTTTGGGAAGAAGTGATGTAGCATTATTGAGGTGTCCAATGAATGCCTAAAAGCATAGATATCTAATACCAAAGCATACATGTGAAGTATATCAACCCCAAAAAAGGAAATTCCGCGATGTCGATCTTCTCCGCACTTTATGTGGGGAAGAGTGTCATCGTGCCTGGACCGATGTCACCTCGATTTCACCGTGTACTTTGTATTCCTCCGAGGTAACTGCCTTACAGTTCCTATACAAGACTGTATAGCTCCAAAATGTACTTGTGAAAAGCCACGGAGAAATTGTATTCGTGCAGTGGAATGTATCCCTATCCGGTTGGGATCGACATACATCCCCTCTTATTTACCCCAGCCTTCTTCCCTGTAACAGGACAAGTCTGTCCCTCACTTTCTTCCTACGTGACACCTGCGCTATGACTCTTCATGCTGTGCTTGCAGTCGCTCTGCTGAGCCTTCAGGCCAGCGCCCTCCCAGATAGCGACGACCCAGCCATCTTGCGACGCGCCTGCCCAGACTACACCTCCTATGCATCAACACCACAGTGAGTGTCCCCAATCCCATAGAGGTGTACTGAGTACCTGCTAAATAAGAATTTCAATATCACAGCGCTCCCTATAGTGGTGGTCCCTTGAATCTTCCCTTTCAGCGCCCCGCGGAACCATGTCGGACATTCTCATCGCCCGCCGTGGAGAAAGTCATTGAAGATATCACCTCGCGTCTAGTCGATAAAGATCTGGCCCAGCTATTTCGAAATGCATTTCCGAACACCCTAGACACTACAATTCGGTGGCATACGAATGGAACCACATCATCTGGCACCAATGCTAGGCGGGATGGCGCGCAATGGACCGGCGTGCAGACCTTCGTTGTGACAGGCGATATCAACGCCGAGTGGCTCCGTGACTCAACAAATCAGCTCACAAATTATCAGAAACTGGCTGCCAAGGACAAGAGTCTGTACTCGCTGATCCTAGGTGCCATTAACACCCAGTCCGAGTTCGTCATTCAGTCACCCTACTGCAATGCTTTCCAGCCACCGGCCCTCAGCGGTATCAAGCCGGAAGCTAGCACCCAAAAGGATACTGTGCATCCTGCCTATGACGAGTCTTTTGTGTTCGAGTGCAAGTATGAACTGGACTCTCTGGCCCATTTCCTACAGCTAGGCACTGAGTTCCATGAGAATACTGGTTCGATTGAGTTTTTGACTGATCGCTGGTATAAAGCGTTGGAAACTGTGTTGAACACCATTGACGCGGAGTCTGAGTCCACCTTCAATACTCAGGGCCAATTTGTCCGAAATCAGTACACGTTCCAGCGAGAGACTACCATTGGCACTGAGACCCTCAACCTAGCTGGTGTAGGCAACCCGCTAAACAGCGAGACCGGCCTCATTCGCAGCGCGTTCCGGCCTAGTGATGATGCTACAATTCTAGGCTTCTTCATTCCACCCAACGCTATGATGTCTGTACAGCTCCAAAAGACAGCGAAAGTCATCAAGGCCGCTGGTGGGCCTGCAAGTCTTGTTGCAGACCTGCAGGAACGCGGCACCAAGCTAGCCAAGGCAGTTCGGGATCACGGAATTGTTCAACACCCCAAATATGGAGATGTCTACGCCTTCGAAGTCGACGGGTACGGGTCACGTATTCTCATGGACGATGCCAACATTCCTTCACTGCTCTCATTGCCTTACCTCGGCTTTATGGACAAATCAGACCCCGTCTACCAGAATACACGCAAAATGATCACCAATAAGGCTTCCAACCCGTACTACCTGGTTGGTCCACAGTTCCACGGTATTGGTGGCCCCCATATCGGTCTTGAGAACGCCTGGCCAATGTCTCTACTTGTCCAAGCCATGACCTCAGACGACGACGCCGAGATCATTGGAAACCTCAACCTTGTCCGTAACTCCAGCTTGCTTGGGCTTGTCCATGAATCTATCAATGTTACCAATATCAAAGACTACACCCGTCCTTGGTTCTCGTGGGCGAACTCGGTCTTCGCGCAGACTGTTCTGAAGATTGCGGCTGAGAGACCTCATTTAATCTTTGGTATTGATGCAAAGCCTTATACTCTGGAATAGGGTTGACAGAATGTCTGCTTGTGGCTTGGGCTTCTTTGGTTGTTCTTGAAAATACCCGTGGACCTTGATCCTGTCCTTATATATTTTATCATTATTCATTGCATGAATTCTGGAGTCTGCCAGGCTTTTTTCGATTCCTTACCATTCCAGGTTCGACGCTTTGCTCAGTCGTGACAAGATGCTCAGTCGTGACAAGAATAGATTTAATGACCAATCTTATGGTGCTCGATGAGATATAGATTTTTTTTTATGCACCAACGAGACCACTTGGCATGTTGGTGCCTATGCGGGATGTGGCTTAAGCATGTCTCGGACCAGGGCCTAGATGAGGATCCGATGAGATCCGATCATCCCACCAAAGAGGGTCTGCCTCATCATGGAACTACTTCTCCTAAATCAAGTTCTGTATCGTATCATATCGAGGCTTTTCGCTTTTGCCTAGATGATCTGGCAATCTACCCGTTTGGGGTTTTGATTGCCTGCTACATCCATGACTCTTACAGCAATGACCCGGGGCTAAGGGGCTTAATGCCACCATAAGCATTAGCTTAGCGTTAGCTTGATTCTCATCCATAGGGAATATAATATGCCTAACCTTCCCAAAGAAAGCGAACTTTAACTTTTTCACACTACCTAAAATGTCATCTCACTTTCTGCTAACCCTCTTTCACCAACTGTTCAATATCTTCATCCATTCCACGAGAGATGGCCGAATCCTTGCGCGAGTCCATGGACTCATACAAAAAGAGCCTACCCAATCCAATAATCTTTTACTATTAGTACCGATTGCTCTATCGGTTATCCTTGATATCCTAGTAAGCCACTCATAAATCCCTGTTCCCTCTTGCAGGGGCTAATGGGCCTCAGATCCGATATATTATTGGCCACGTCTTAATGTCTATCTTGATCATTGAAACTGTGGGGAAGCAGACCAATTCTTCTGACCACGGGGACAAGAAGCCAGCTCCCTCCAGCCGCCAACTACTCCAAACCATTACCGCCACCTACCGCAGAGGTGGCCTCCGTCTTCTCCTGAATGGCATCGGTTCCGCCTGTACCTACTGGGCGATACACTCCTCGGTAGCAAAAATATCAAGCATCCTACTTCCCAGTCCGGTCGCGTATATCATTGCATCAGTCCTGCTAGCTGAGACCCATTTCTTCTGGACTGCACGCACCATCCTTCCACGCGACCAGCTACACCTCGTGCCCGCACGTGACCGGCAACGTTGGAAGGTCCTAGTGATCCCTGCTTTGTTTTATGCGGTAGCCGAAACGGTGATGATGCATGTGCCGGCTCTATTCGACAGCGACCTGACTGCACCGGAAGAGGAAGTCGTGATTGTCGGACTATCGTACATTGTGGGATCTGACATCCTGATAGCCGGGCTCATGCTTTTTGCCCAGCTGTTTCTGCTCTTTCCCTCTTACATAGTGTTAATCCTGGTCCAGGCGAGTCTTTTGCCGCCAACCTGCGAAACGCTGGTGTTTATGCCGAGAGAGCAGCGGCGGGGCAGACGGGTGGGGGAGATCTTTGCAGTTGATGGAGGACCGCTACGAGTACAGGAGGCGGTGCAGATGGTTGGGGTGGCAAGGTTGCTCTGGTGTCTGGAACTGCATGGAAAGATGTGTTTATGTCTGTTTGGGGTTGCCGCTGTGGTGCATTCGGCGGTCTACTCTATGAAGTAGAAGGGAATATCCCACTTCCTCCCACGGGGAACAGGTCAGTGGAGTTCGAAATACTTTCTGCAAAACAGTACCAATTTCATTTGAAGGGTTTCGGCATCATCACAGGCAACCCATGCAATCCTACCGATGCCGAGTCTCCACAACGCCAAACACTAGCTCAGAGACTAATCTATCTACAATTTCCGTAAACTTTGATTAAGGAACTCCTGGGTTTCCTCTTTATAAGCATATTCAGAGGATGTCACAATGATTGGGATTTCTAGCGAGTACGTGTAAGTCATACCTCATTTTCATGGCCTGCCGTACTATTCAGACAAACTCGACCAACTTCCCGATCCGGTCCTTAGGATTCTTCAATTTACTTTCAATCCCGAGGTCGACGTCTCCAATTCACCAGACATGTTCTAGTTTTATATTTAGCTTATCAGCCATTTAGACTTGGTCATTATAGAAAGGCGGCCTTTAATATGTAGGGTAGCATATATATTTCGAGAAAGATGAAGTAGTGAGAGACTTGTGACACCCTATGTATACATCCCTATGAGGACTTCGGCATCCTTTCACACTTTAGACTGTCTCTTCTCAAGCGCCTTTCGCCGAGTACGAATCGCCTTTGTTTCCTCCCTCAGCGCCAATCCCGCCATAATCTCCTCACTTCCACCGCCAACTACATGAACCCGAGCATCCCGACTAATTTGCTCAATTCTAGCACCTTTGCCAGCCTTGTTGTATCCTGCACCTCCCATAATCTGCTGCGCTTCTCGAACACTCTTCTCCAAAGCCCTGGTCGACATGACTTTAAGCAAGGCAGTCATGCCTCCAATGTTGACATCGTCGGAAGGGCGGTCTTTGGTAAGTTCGAGGATATTTACAAGCTGTTCCATGAATGCATAGGCTGGCTCAATCATAAGACCAAATTTGAAGATCTTGGACTGAATTGCCTGCTTTTCAATCAGCGGAGAACCAAATGTCTCGCGTTGGATGGCGTAGTTGTAGGCATCTTCGGCGCAGACTCGGGCAAGTCGCAAGGACGCACAGGCAAGGGAAAGGCGTTCTGGGTTGAAGTCTGAATAAAATATTAGCAGACGATCCAAGCCCTTGGTCCAAGGCGACTCACTCGACATGATAAGTGGGAATCCCTTGTTCTCTTGACCGATGAGGTTTTCGACTGGGACGCGCACATCCTCAAACTCGATGAAAGTTGAACCTATAAGTGTGTTAATTGACAATGGATTCACAGGGCTACATGAAAAAGAATGAACGCACCACTCGCATTCACACCCGAGTTATGCATACGCCTTCGAGTCACACCCGCAGTAGCCAAGGGAATAACAAGCAAGCTGATACCAGACCTGCCCGGACCACCAGTCCTAACAGCAGCAGTGCAATAGTCAGCCCAGATACCATTGGTAATCCATTTCTTCGCCCCATTCACAATGTAGTGCTTCCCATCCCGCTGGGCTGTAGTGCTGATATTGGCAACATCAGAACCAGCTTAAAAGTGGAAAAAGTTAGCAAGTCCTTGTTTTTAGGAAGATATATTTCCACCAAGAGTGAACATTCACATACCATCCGGCTCGGTAATCCCCAAACAAAACCTAATATCGCCCCTCGCAACACCGGGAAGCCACCTCTTTCTCTGCTCATCATTTCCAAAACGTGCAATAGGCGGGCATCCAATCGCATTACCACCACCAAGCCCCCAAATAACACCGACATATCCAGCGCGCGTCAGCTCGTCAGTTACAATCAGCGAGCACCACGTATCCCACTTCTCGCGCGGCACATTCCCAGGCAGGGAGAGGCCGGCTGAGTCCTCCTCGTTCGTGAGAGGATGGACGATGCTGTAGCCTAGCTTGCTATGGCGACGACGTACAGCTTCGGGGACTTGGCCTGCTTCTTCCCACTCTCTGGCATAGGGGGAGATGTATGTGTCGATGTATTCGCGCACGGTGGCCCGTAGGTTGTGGTGCAGGTCTGTGTAGTATGGACTACGGATGTCTAGCTGTGGGAGAAGGGGCTCGCTGTATGGAGCTGTTGCGGGACGGAGAGTTTCGGCCATTATGAAGTTGTATTCAGTGCTATAGGAAGATAGATAGGTAACTAGGTAATATGGTTGTATTTGACTGTTTGATGATTTGGAAGTACAAAGTGGTTTAATGCGGGGAAGACGAAGCTCGGTCGCCTGTGAAGAATGTGGGGAGAGCTACTTGGCCGAGGCCCGAATGCTGATCTTCATCTTGTGCTTCATAGAGGGGAGTTATGCATTTGTATCGTTATTATTTGGGTATATGGTATTAGAGGCCAAACTCATTGGGTCCCTTGTCTTTGTTTTAGACCGTCATTCTTGTGCTTCCTGCGCTTCCTCGAATCGGCGAACGGCTTTTTTCATCGCTCGCAAATGCTCCTTGACATCCTGGCAGTTCCACCGCTTCTCCGATTTGGGTTCCAACATTCTTCTGATACATGTCATGAGAGAATCCGCCACTGAGATTCCATTGTCCAGCACGATCGAGCCATAATCAACCTTGGCGGCGAAATCCGCAGGGAAAATGGTGCGTTCGGACGGATCATGGCCTGACCCGCGAGTCAGATCACTCAAGACGAATTGTCTCTCCATCTTTGTGTTCAAACGATAAACAGTCTCGAAGAGAATGACGCCAAGTGCGTAAACATCGAGCTTTTCGTCAATCTTATATTCATCAAAGTAATCCACCGGTGAGCTTGGGCCAGTTTGAGGCGCAGATAGATTGGCTGGAGGACGATAGAATTCCGTTCCAACTACCCGCTGTATATTTGGACCCTGTCGGTATGGTGTCATAGTGCCCTGTGCGGGTTCGTTGATGTGAGAGATGTCTGCCACGAGACCAAAGTCCCCGATGCGAGGACGACAGAACTGGGTGGGGGAAGCTTCGCCGGAGCTGCACGTAAGGCATATGTCTGCTGTGCTGCTCTCTGGTGCACAAAGGAAGATGTTTGCAGGCTTCAGGTCACGATGTACAATTCCCTTCGAGTGGAGATACTCAACACCCGAAACAATGTCCATCACGAGCTTTAGTGAGGGCAGTAGGTGGAAGCAATGACGCCTGGCAAGTGAACATTGATCGTACTTCGGAGTGGCTTGAGGGTTCAGATACGCGCCGAGAGAAATAGGGTGGAGGGACATTTGGATGTGAAGAATGACCGCGGGGGGTTGCTGGCCAGGCCGGTAACGGGGTTGAACTTGAAGCTTAGACTGATCTTGGCTCAGACCATCAGTGAAGATGTCATCGGTATCCCCGAAAGTGGATGTTTGGTCAACAGAAGTGTTCCCATCGAAGGTACGGGGAATGGATTCAATGTCATCATCCTCCTCATCCAATCCCCTTCGTGAACTTTTCTTTGACTGATGAGATGACGTAGTCCCGTGGCTCTCCCAGCGATGAACGCTCTCGTTGAAGCTATGATCTTCAGGCAGGGAACTTGACTGGGACTCAGGATTTGAATTTTCGGAATATCCAAAAACAACCCCCATACTGGACTCGTTTGGGCTGTCCGGAGAAGGCAAGTTGTCTTGCGACTGGTCATTTTCTGTGCTAGAAAGGTGGTCTTCGACTGGAGGTGGGTGCGAGTGATGGGCCTGCTCAACCCATGCACCATAGTATCGAACAATATTTGTATGCTCAAGGCGGGCAAGTGTTCGAATTTCCTTCATGATAACCTCGAGCTGATTTTGACCTCCAAATTGCAGCTGCTCAAGTCGCCTTTGGCTGAGTGGAATCTTCTTGACGGCGTAGTCTTGTCCATCGATGTGGTTCGTGACGTGGTACACTTCGCCGAAGGACCCACGGCCCAAGATCTTGAGTTCCTGGAATTCGACAGAATATCTTGACAGCTGATTGTATGGCGGGGCTGTTGGAGACCTGAAAAGAGGAACCCCTACGGGTGAACTGCCAAACAGGGGTATCGATGGGTTCGGAAAGTTCATTGGCCCATGGGGAACGGTTGGAAGGAAATCCACCTTATTAGCAGGAGGAAGCTGTTTCCTAAACGATGAAACTGGTTCGGTGTTCCGCCGGAACAGAGTGGGATTCTCCACATCTTCAACGCTGGATCTCTTTATCGAAGGTTTTGTGATTAAAGCACGGTCCTCGCCGGAGCCAATTGTGGGAGATCGTGCATCGGGTTCATGGAAATTCATTTCCTCGAGAGCAGTTATACTAAGTAAGTCGAGATTATCCCGATAACTCTGCCTACTCTGCCCCATTTCCTCTCTGTCAATGCCATCGGCCAAGATACCGTGGGACGACAGGAACTGTGATTTGAATTTGTAGAGCTTCTTGCCAAGATACTGAGCCTCGGGGCTATGTCGACTGAACGGTTTATTTGAGCCACGTTGAGCATTAAGAATGTCTGCTGCCCGACTCTGGCAGTAAAATTCCAAGAGGGCGGCTGTCATAACATTGGCATGTTGATTTGCATTTACACTCGCCAGGTCTTGCGGTAATGTTGATCTATCGCCGAAAGAGATCGAAGAGTCTGCATCTGTAGAACTCGAGTCTTTCGGGACTTGCTTGGTCTTGTCCTTGTCCTTCTTCGGGCTGCGAGATTGATTCTCTGCCGCATGTCGAGGAGTTGATGACCCAGATTCCTGGATTTGGTTTGCTTCTGAACTTGAGTCGGAATCTGAGTCCGATGGTATTTCTGCTGCTGATCGGAACATCGACATATTGATATACTTTTCATTCAAATAGCAGGCGCAATGAAGACTTGGATTAGCGCTGTGCTGGCGCCATTGGCGATGAGGGGTGAAGCACACAGAAAATTTTAAGAAAAGAAGAAGAGGAAGGAAAAGCAAGTCAGGCACATAAGTTGGTATAAACCGGGCTGCCTTTCGGAAACTTGGGCTGAGTGTTGCCCCGCAGTAAAAAGAAAAGAGCGAGTTCTTTGATCAAGGGCAATGACATAAAACTGAAAGAAGACAGAAAGGAAGAGGTGTCAGATATTCCTTGGACGGAGATGCCACGTTGGGATTGAGATCAAAAGGATATAAACATATCACAGAAGCCTAGCGGGGGATTGTGTCAAGCTTCCATCGGGTTCTACTAGAATGTCTCCAGCAGGGCGTGGGGCATGCGGCTCTTGGCGGAATATCGAAGGTGACTTGGGCAGAGTTTGAGATTGTACATCAAAGGAAATCCGTAAATAGATCGAAGAAACAGACAAACACTTGGCCTTAAGATCGAGTCATTCGATGCCAAGCCCAGGGAGGCGAGTCATCCGTTTCCGAACCCGTGGACTTGGCGCCTTCTCAGATATATGATCAAAGGCTATACCTATCTACTAGATATAGCTACTCATGTACTCCGTATATCGTCTATTAAATTGTACCTCTTCTATGTAACATGAAAAAAAAAAAAAAAATTTAAAAAACAAAAATAACATCTAGAGTTGCTTAGGTAATTGGGGCCTCGAGCCTTTGACCAATCAGATAATCCCGAATGCTTGTTCAATTTAGCTTATCTTATCACACGTGACTATCACGCGTAAACGTCACGTCGAAGGCGCGACAGCGCGACTCGCACAAGGAGTTGCCCGCTCAACACATTCTGAAGTTTACGAGCCCATTCTCTTCCCACGTCATTTCCACCACCAGCCTGATCGTGATTCTGTGAACCTCAGTCTAGGAGTTGTCGTCATGCCTGAAGCTATCATCCCTCCCCAGAAGCGGGTACTGGGCGATGCGGGCAATAATTCCAACGGTATCTTGAAATCTGCCAGCACCCCTAAAAAGCGGAAACTCGACAATGAACCGTCTGTGAAGTTCACGCCATCTTCGCAGATTGCTCGCCGAAAGATTGGCTCGACACAACCGCAGAAAAGTCAATTCGAGGAGGAGGTTCTCGAAAAGTTGACGCAGGATATCGGCGACTTGAAGGAGAACAACTCAGAGAAGGACCAGCAATGGGAGCGCCCCCCCACTTGGTGACTTCGATGAAACCAAGGAAAACATCTGTTTCCAACAGATTGACGCGGAAGAAGCAACGCTGATGGGAAAGCCTGCTATTCGGCTTTTCGGTGTCACCGAGGTAAATATGTTTGCCATTCGCTGGGTTTTCGTATCTAACAACATTAATAGGCTGGACAATCGGTTTGCCTTCACGTTACTGGCTTCGAACATTACCTCTACATTGCCGCTCCTGTGAGCTTCACCAAAGCGGATTGCGACCCTTACAAACATTTCCTAGAGCAAAAGCTAGGCCAGAGCTTCACTGCAATCTCGTCCGTGCAGCTCACAATGCGTGAGAACATCTACGGGTTTCAGGGAAACCAGAAAAGTTATTATATTAAGATTACGGTTACTGAGCCAAAATTGGCCGCCCGACTGCGAAGTGCGTTAGAGACTGGCAGTGGAAGCATGAACTACAAGGGTATGTGGAGTGGAGCAGATGGAATCCTCACATTTGACAATATTCAATACCTCTTGCGCTTTATGATTGATACTGGGCTGGCTGGAATGGCTTGGGTCGAGGCAATGGCTGGGAAATATCGTCTTCTTGGACAGAGTCAACGATTGTCCAACTGCCAAATTGAAGCTTGTGTCGACTATCAGAATATGGTAGCTCACCCGCCGAACGGGGAATGGGCTAAAATGGCACCTCTTCGCGTCCTCTCCTTTGATATTGAGTGTGCCGGGCGGAAAGGTATCTTCCCGGAACCCAACATGGACCCCGTCATCCAAATCGCCAACGTCGTTACTCGATACGGAGAGACAAAGCCATTCATCAGAAACGTCTTTGTCCTGGATACATGCAGTTTGATCGTCAATACCCAAATCCTGGAATTCGAAAAGGAAGAGAAGATGCTCGACGCCTGGCGCGACTTTGTTGAAAAGGTGGACCCTGACGTTATTATCGGATACAACATTGCCAACTTCGACTTCCCGTACCTACTCGATCGTGCCAAGCACTTGAAATGCACAGGATTCCCCTATTGGACCAGATTGAAAGGTTTCAAGACAGAGGCCAAGGATGCAAATTTTTCGAGCAAGCAAATGGGCAATCGAGACACGAAAGCGACGAATACAAACGGCAGAATTCAACTTGATCTTCTCCAATTGGTTCAGAGAGATCACCAGTTGAGAAGTTACACCCTTAATTCCGTGTCCTATGAGTTTTTGAAGGAGCAAAAGGAAGATGTTCACCACACCATGATTACTGAGCTGTTCAACGGTACCCCGGATTCAAGACGACGACTCGCAGTATACTGTTTGAAAGATGCATATCTGCCACAGCGATTAATGGATAAATTGATGTGCCTTGTCAACTACACAGAGATGGCAAGAGTCACGGGTGTACCGTTTAATTTCCTCTTGTCTCGAGGACAGCAAGTCAAGTTCATCAGTCAACTGTTCCGGAAAGCCCGAGAGCAACAACTCGTTATTCCCAATTCCAAGCCCCAGGACGAGCAGGATTACGAAGGTGCGACTGTTATCGAGCCGAAGCGAGGATACTATGGAGTGCCTGTTGCAACCCTTGATTTCGCATCACTATATCCTTCAATCATTCAAGCACACAACCTCTGTTACACGACCTTGCTCAACAAGAGTAGCGTTGAGAAATTAAACCTGAAGAAGGACGAAGATTACATCGTGACTCCAAACGGAGACATGTTTTGCACAACCAAAGTTCGCAAAGGCCTTTTGTCCCAAATTCTCGAAGAGCTGCTGTCAGCAAGAAAGCGCGCGAAGAAGGAGTTGGCTACTGAGACCGATTCCTTTAAAAAAGCAGTGCTGAACGGTCGTCAACTCGCTTTGAAGATCAGCGCAAACAGTGTCTACGGTCTGACTGGTGCGACAGTGGGTAAACTGCCTTGTCTTCCCATTGCCAGTAGTACGACGAGTTACGGTCGTCAGATGATTGAGAAGACAAAGCAAGAGGTAGAAGCACGCTACACCATCGCGAACGGTTACTCTCATGATGCTGAAGTCATCTACGGTGATACCGATTCCGTCATGGTCAAATTTGGCGTTACCGAACTGGCAGATGCGATGAAGCTTGGCCAAGAAGCAGCAGACTTTGTTTCTTCCAAGTTCATCGCGCCCATCAAGCTTGAATTCGAGAAAGTGTACTTCCCTTATCTTTTGATCAACAAGAAACGATACGCTGGACTGTACTGGACGAACCCCGACAAACATGACAAGATGGACACAAAGGGTATTGAGACAGTCCGACGTGATAACTGCCTGATGGTTCAAAATGTCATTGAAACCGTGCTGAACAAAATCCTGATTGACCGAGATCTTGATGGGGCGCAAGAGTAAGTTGACACATCTCTCAAACCCAGCTATCAAGAAACTAACATAATATCTAGCTACGTCAAAGCCACTATTTCGGATCTGCTCCAAAATAAGATCGATATGTCGAAACTAGTTATCACAAAAGCACTGTCGAAACGCAAAGAGGACTATGCAGGCAAGCAGGCACACGTCGAACTTGCGGAGCGCATGCACAAGCGTGACGCAGGTTCTGCGCCAACACTCGGTGATCGTGTGGCCTATGTCATGATCAAGGGTGCTAGTGATTCCAAGGGCTATGAACGAGCAGAAGATCCCATCTTCGTTCTGGAAAACAACATTCCCATCGATACTAAGTACTACCTCGACAACCAACTTACAAACCCACTCAACCGTATCTTCGAACCCATCTTGGGTGAGAAGAAGGCAGGCCAGTTACTCACTGGCGAGCACACACGGTCTATCACGAAAGCGGCGTCGAGCCTGGGCGGACTGATGAAGTTCGCCAAGAAAACACAGACCTGCATGGGCTGCAAGAAACCCCTCTCCAGCAAGGACGAGATGGATGGTGCAGTCTGCTCGAACTGCCGCCCTCGCCTTGGTGAACTTTACACCAAGACTCTCACCAAGGTCTCTGATCTAGAGGTTCGGTTCGGGCGCCTGTGGACTCAGTGCCAGCGATGCCAAGGCAGTCTTCACTGTGAGGTCATCTGCTCATCCCGTGATTGTCCGATTTTCTACATGCGCATGAAAGCGAAGAAAGATGTGGAAGATTCACAGAAAGACTTGTCCCGATTCGACTTTGACGCTGGTGCTTGGTAAGGAGAGAGCTTTCTCCACTATGACTTATTTTTCTTGAATAGCTGGCTTTTTTTGGTGGTATGGTTAGGTCTTGAGCATGGATGAATGGCGTTGAAGCTTGAAAATAATGTACAATGAGATTGAAATAATAACAAGAAGCTGTTTTCTTCTTTTTGCATCTTTTCCAAGATCTTTTTTTCATGCTACCTTCAGTTTCTCGGATCCGTCCTTGGAGTTAGTAGCTATTCTAGTGAGACTCTAGACTTGAGTGCATACAATAGTCAATAGAGACACTGCACAATACATAAACGATAGACAATAGACTATAGAGACAATAGAGACTATAGACCTTTGGACTGGTATATTCAGATTGAATAACATATCCTAACTAAATATCTGAGTAAATATCTCTTTTCTACTATTTCCTACTTTCTGTCGTGTACTTTAAAGCCCGGAAGCGCGTCATCTGCGAAGCCGAACTCTTGGCGCGGAGTAACTGCCGATCTTCAATTTCAACATGATTTCCAAATCTAAGCCCGCCATGAATCCTACAGTGGAGGATGAAGTCGCCCATGATGTTCCCACCAATCTAAATTCCAATCCCAGACCAGATGGCACGCCAGTCCCTTGGTCAGAGGTATGTCTTTGTTGCGCAAGCCGCGAACCGGGCGAGCTGTAGCTAACCGACTTTTTTCTTTGCAACCAGATCTTCTCCCGCCATGAGGCCGTTCTTTGCTCCCACCTCGAAATGCTGAGCATGGTGAAGGAGCAGATTACTCCGGAGGTCAATGGGTTCCAGACCGTCTCCTCAATGGTGAACAAAACAGTACTGGCGATGAACCAGCTGAAGATAGCTAGGAAGCATATGGTGAGTACTGTGCTCGATTTCTTTTTCATTGATCATATCACTGACTGTTACTTATTTAGATGAGCAGTAAGTCCCACCAAACTCCTACCCCGGAAGGAAGAATGCAACCTACCCCACCCTTTACCAAGCAACCGAGACAGGAATTAACATGACACACTTAGAAAACGCTACACCCAGCTCCTCCAACCCCACACAGTCGACTGACACAGAGGCCAATACCCGCAAGAAAAGACGCAGGATCTTTCGGGACAATGACACAGCCCGTCCTGAGCACGCGGACGAAACACGAGCACCCAAACGATACCGTGACTCTTCCTCCCAGCCAACACCTGAGCAAGATGGAGAGTTCACGTCAACGTCACTTGGGACTGAGGATATTTCAGCAGAAGTCCAGCGACGGCTGAAAATAAAGGAGGAGAGACGTTTGAAGAAAGAAAACCCTAAAGCGGATAAACGCAAGCGCGACAGTCTCATGTCGAATGAAGGTGAATCGCCTCTTGCATACAAGCCTGGGAAGAAACGCCTTAAGCTGGGGAATGATCATAAGAGACATGGTGAATTGATGGATAATGACGCGGACACCCCAAAGAAGAAACGACGCAGATCGCCTTAAAAAAGAATTCTTGAAAGGGACCATGAGTGATGCTGGACCGTTACTCGGTTTTTTTATTATTATTATTTCCGTCGTGCTTGAGGTTCGTGTACTGGCGGATTCTAAAAGTTCGAGGAAGAGGCAATGAAGTTTGCATTGAGTGATATTGTGATGGTTTTTACTGAAACTATTCTTAGATATCCCAACTGTTCGGTTATAGTTCGTATTTTCTATCCTGCTAATCGCTATCCGGGTAGAGATTTTATCAAACAAGAAGTTACGACCATCTATGTAGTCTCCTCTGGCGCTTGTCAGAAAGGTGAAGCCATGAACGAGAGAGGAATTCCGAAAATCGTCGAGCAGAATGAGAGAGCAAATAGAATGTCACATACCAACATAAGGAGCAGAGTTTTACGACGATTCTTGGGTCCGTTGCAATAAGCGGCTTCGGTGAGATTCTAACAAACTGACGTTTACTCGAACAAGTTGCCAATCCTTTGCAAAGAGAGCAACTATGCTGAACCAAAATGCTGATTCCAGATCTGGTATAGTTCGTTACTAAGTAAGGATTAGCGCGTATAATTCTGCGCTCCCATTGGCTTGGTCATACTTTCTTACAATGTACAAGGTCAAAAGACATCAAGCAGTAGAGACAAGTCGAAAATAGATTCTAACCGAGTAGAAGGCGGAACACGAGTTTCGAGGACGGTGTTAGAGATATGAGATCACAATTTATCTAAGACGGGATTCTTGCAGTCAGTCCGAGGTAGGGATTATATTACAACTTGCTTGGCCATTTCTCCCTCTCGATTCGTTTACTGGTCTCGCGTTTTCCTTTATTTTCAGGATTGTTTTATCGCGATACAAGTATGCTATGTGCTCTTGGTGTTATCCTCGAGATGTATGGTCATGATGACATTATGTTCCGCATTAGGCATAGTGATTGACAAAGTATATATCAAAAGCCTTGTACGTCGGAAGAATGCTATTATCTGGCGCACTTAACAAAGACGGGGTTTATGTTTATTATTTTCCTATGACGCCCCGACAGATTGCTGCCAGCACCTCGATTGAAGTGTTCCGACACATTTTATTCTTTCGTGATTCTCTGGTATCGAAATGACTTGAGTCTAGCAAAAATCACAAGACACGCCGAAGGTTTTTCTTTGCCTGTGTTCCACGGACGAGGCATTATACTGAGACTGAACTATAGTTGTTTCTATATAAATGTACCGCTCCAAGCCCGACAGCTGGCCGATGCTATCTTAAGCTCCGGACCTCTGATGAAAATGACCAAAGACCTCTGTCAAAATCAAAGTTGAATTCCTTTGTTCACCCCCTTTATCGCGCTAACAATGGCCCATTGTTTGCCTTTATTTCTCAGTCCGACTCCCCTTTAGGCTCTACGTATAACGACATATAACGGTCTACCCCCCATATGTCATAGGATTCAGTACGATGAAATATCAACTTGCCCTTATTTAGATATTAACTTCTACGAATCCAAGGAAATCCAATATATTCTCTCCGTTGACGAACTCAGCGCATTTCCTAGATTAGTTAAGTAGAACACCTTGGTATTATAAACCCCCCTCTGCTCACCTTCGACTCCTATTTTTCTTTCCTTCTTCACCTCGCCCCGGGGTCATCCAAATATCACAATCATCAAAAATCATATCACAATATCCGGCATTTGCTTTGCAGGTGCCTCTCATCCCCTCTTTGAGGTCTGTACCCTTCACCTCTGGGTATACATTCCTCCATCCGACATATCAACTTGGCCACCGAGGCCATCGACAAACAATCTTTCAACAACAATCTTTCAACAACTGTTGCCGTCTGTACTCAACGCAGACTCGGCCCTCCTACCTCCAAAGAAGAAGATCTGTATTCCACTTCATCAAATCGCCCAGCCACCTTTGTCGCAAGTTGCCAGGGTCAGGGAGTTGTCTTTCATCGTCGGACTTCGAGAGTCCCCGGCCTCTTGAGGTGAAGTATCCCAGCTGAAGGCACCTATAGACATTCCTCCCCAAAAAGATCCACCAAAAAAAAAAAAAAAAAAGGATTCCAAAAGGGTTGAGAAGAAACAAGCCCAGCCAAGGGAAAAAAACAAGCCAAAAACAGAGCATCCGCTTGGCCTCTTCGAAGTTGAAAACCGGCCTTTGGAAGTTCAATCGAATGACCCCGCTTGCACGAAGCTTCTCCAAAGAAACAGGCTGCGGTAGTCCAAACGCCCATCATAGCTTTGGTATACGGAACCCTGAGAAGATGAATTTCACCGGCCACCCTTCCGCACCCTCTGGGCCCAGATCCTACCAGGGCAATGGAGGTGCTCGAAACAACCGTGCAAACAACAATCCCAACGGTAATGCATCTTTCGCGGCCAATGGACCCAGGTCTTACCAGAGCAATGGAGGTGCTCAAAACAACCGTGGAAACAACAACTACAATGGCAATGCCAACGGCAACCGGAACAACCGATGGAACGGCAATGGCAATCACAACAACCAGCGGGACAATTATCAAAACGGGTCTGGCAATTTCAACCCTACCAACAATGGCACTGGCAATGCCAACCCCAGCAGTCCCAATTACAAGGGCAAGAACTTCAACCCCAACTACAAGGGGAAGAATTACAACCCGAACTTCAATCGTCCCGTTCCGGCAAACATTGTAAGTACTCCAATTCCCTGCATTATCCGATTCACACATTGATGATTTGATACTAACAATATGCTGTAGGGTCAGGTTCGAAATGGCAATCGGAGACGTCAACCCAACAACAACCATCGGGGTCTCCAGAGCCAGGACATCCAATACAACATCGACGTTCAGATGGCTGAGGCACCATCGGATGAGCCAGTAAGTTGATACCTCCACATCCATTTTGTAAAAGATCAGTTGCTAACATTGAATATAGAATGACATCGAGATGCCTGACGCGCCACCTCTTCCGGATCCAATGAGTGATCCCTGGCAAGCAGTTCCAGATCCAGTGAGTGATCTCTGGCAAGCAGCCAGTGGGTTGCAACATGCACTTACTTCTCTACAGAGGATCGAAGCCTTCACAATGGGTGCTCTTGCGGTCAAAGAAATTGTTAGTCCCCCACTTTCCCATTTCCAATTCAATCCCTTTGCTTTCCCAGAACCTGTTATGAATCCTCTTGCCTTTCGCCCCTCTGCTCCCAATCACCCTGTTTCCCATCCTCCCATTTCCACTCACCCTGCTTTACGTCCCTCTGTTTTCCATCATCCTGTTGATAACCCTCCTGCTTCCACTCACCCTGCGTTCGGAGCATATGCTTTCAATTACCCTGCTTTCAGTCGCCCCTCTTTCCGTCCCCCAACTTTCCACCCCCAGCTGTCCATCCCAAGATCATCGCTACTCCAAAGCTGCAAGGAAATGCTGAATGTAACTTTTTTCTCTAACAATATCACAGGCCGAGACCATGCTCCGACTAGCTAGCAACCTTGACCCTAGCTACGTCCCCAACTGGGATCCACTAGACAGCGGCCTAGCCAACCCTGTTCTAGTCGCCGAACGAAGAAACAACAAGAAGTCGTGATCAACCTGTCGTCCTCAACAGAGTCAGACTCATGTCCACCAGTCACCACCCACCGACCTTCGGACCCCAAGACCTCTGGGATCCTCAATCGGGTATGAACCGTCAAAGACGGGTGACAACCCACCCGGAGCGGGGCAAAGAAGACTCTATCGACAGATGACAGACAATACGAACATCACCTGGTCCTGGTGTTGACGGTGCGGCGCTTGCCCCGTCCACAGAAAGGACCAGACCACGGACCGAGAAGAAGCTCGGTGGAGGAAAAGGAGTCAAAGTGGTACATGTGCAATGGAGGAATCGAAAGAAAGGACCCTGTATTTACAACTGCAGGCCTGGTCATGGTTTTTACCGAGCACCCAATTGGAGTTTGCCGGGTTTTCCCATGGCCCCGTCGGGGTGAACAAAACTATCAGCATCGGCATCAACATGAACATCAATATCAGCATCAACAGAAAAAAAAGCCATCCACTTATTTTCATCCCACGGCTCGAATGGGAGGTCTCGCCATTTGATACCATCCGTTTTGGGCGTATCAGACATCTTGGATTTGTTTTATCTATTTCAGGGAAGTGATATACTTGGGGTCCATATTGGATATGAGATATTGTCCATGTGCTGGATTTGGTTTGCTTGTGAGTCTCTCGCGATGCCATGGTCGTTGAGATCTCACAGCTTTCCGGATGGGATATACTTGGGATTGATGTTGGATATGAGACAATTTTCATGTACTGGACTTGGTTTGCTTGTGAGTCTCTCGCGATGCCATGGTCGTGGAGAGTCTCTTTGTTTTGAGGACAATTTGGATGTAGTTTAAAATGAAGAAATATTATTCTACACTTGGATTCTGTGTTCTGTAGGCTTGCAGACACCGTAAACCGACAGGAAACAGACATTATAAAGCCAAAAAGCGGTCTTTCGCGATAGACGAGGTTCTTACGATGTCAAGGACCAATATGTTTTGGGATAGCTACACATGTATACACTGAAGTGATTAGATACTGTAGACTGATTGCAGCTTGTTCGAATGGATGTATTGTACATAGATATAGTGATAACAGCCTTTTCCGACACGAACAGCCTAATAAATTCCTGGCAGGTGGAATCCAAAAATACAACCAAACACCTAATCCCAATGCAAGTAGAGCAAAATATAATACATCAAGGGAGGGGGAGAGAGAGACAGAGTCGCTGTACAAGACACACAAAACAGACAGACAGCACAAGCATCGAGAACTCACTCCTCCTTCTCAACCACCGTCTCATCCTTGACTCCCTCCCCAGCCTTCCCATCCTTCCCACCCCAGGTCCAAACATCCCAAATATGCTCCTGAATCAAATCACCATATCCCTTGCCCTCACTGAGCGCCTTCTGCTCTTCTCTCAACCTCCTCTCTTTCCACCCCTCAGACTCCCCACCCATCCAAACCCGCTGCACAACGCTCTCCTCCTGCGCCTGTCTCGCCTTGAGCTTCTCAATCTCCTCCTTCAGAGCTGGATCGGGAGCGCGGCGCTGCTTATCCGAAAGCGACAAAATCTGCGCCTTCAACTGCTCGTTCTCGGCATGGCGGAGCTGCGCATCACGCGCGGCCCGGAGTCGTTCTTGGATCTCCTGCGCGCGCTCGCTAGGCAGAGATGAGAAGGACCGTTGCGCGCTTGAGATACGCGCGTCGATTCGGTCGATTATGCTGCGGCCTGTGCGTTCGTGCACGATGTGGTTTGCGGATGCGCCGAAGGAGCAGAGGACGAGGACGGTGAGTGGGTCGAGTTTGCGTGGTGGGAGGGCGATTAGAATTGGGGCACCGATTAGGAATGTGTAGGCGGCGTAGTTTTTGAAGCGTTTGTAGTCTGCTTCGCGGGTTGCGTTTAGGTCTGGGGGCGTTGTGGTTGCCATTTTTGATTTGGTTGATATTGCGGAGGTTGCGGAGTTGAAGGAAAATTTATGGTTGGAAGATTGGGCTTGGCGGGATACTTGGCAGGGTCGGGTTGATCATCTTAGTTATTGGTGCTTTCTCTTTGATATACTTATTTCCTTTTTTTTCTATTTTTCATAGATTTGTATGATTAATATAATAATATCATCTTAAGCAAATGGAATCACTCTGTTTTGGTTACAATACAAGAGAAAAACACAATATCAAAAATGATCTCCACTATATGTATACTACGCATGGGATTCATATAGATCTATATGAAATATGTATGGCCACATCTAAAAATACCTAAAATCCTATATCAAGAGACCCTCAAATATTAAATTTGCTATACAGTACCGATAGAAACAAGGATCATAATTCAGCTTCATCTATGATTGGCAGAGTAAACAATCTCACCTTATGAGTGTCCAGATCGAGGTCATACAAAAGACGTGCGTCTTACCAAACCCCAACACTATAAACTCCAGGGCTTACTTCCTCCTTCGACTTTTCCATCTCACCACTTCCACTCCCCCATCTGACTGCATCTCCAATTTCCAACCAACAATCAAGATGTTTGCCAACAGTCTCATCTCCTGGTTCTCCTCCAAGGAGTCCACTCCCAACACTACCTCAGATGCTACCAGCATCGAGAACCACCAGCCCACCAGCCCAAAGGCACCTTCCACCGACTGCATGGTGACCGAGAAGCCTGTACGCCATACAAGACTCAATTACCCCAAATATCCTTAACGAACCCAACTAATACTCTTCCAGAACTCCCAGGAGAACATGATGAAGCTGCGTGGTGGCGGTGCCGGCGATATCTGTTGTGGCCTGTATGTCAAACCCCTCTGAACCACATATCGCCAAACAAAACTGACATTCATCTAGTTGCGCCGGTCTTCTCTGCTTCGAGTGCTGTGAGTGTTGTGAGAATTGCTGCTAGTTGCGCGGTGGTTCGATCACGCCGTCCGCTTGGTCCTTTCGATATCGTCGACACCTTGCTCTGCGTTTGCCAGAGTTGCGTGTTTGTCTCGTCCGGTTATTCGCCTTTTGAAGGATTGAGATGGGGGATATCGAGAAGGGGGGGATCAGCTGGGCTCGAGGGGCCTTGCCGTTCTGCCCTCTATTCTTAGCGTGTCTCTTTAGCGTTTATCGCAGCCTTTGCGTGGGAATTGAGTCCAGAGACAGTTCACACATACCCGATTTGCTTTTCTAGCAGAGAAAATTGAAATTCAGTCTCGTTTTTTATCCATTGTCAATTGTTATAATTGCGTTTTAGGGCCAGCACGGTCGGCTGGAAATAGGCTCTGACTCTACTCTAGACAATGGATATTGATCAAGGCCATTTGTGCTATGGAATTATGTAAAAGTGGAGAGATTTCCCTACCATTCTCCCCTACATTCTTCCTTGATCTGAGTTAATATCCATAGAACTGTGGTAGAAAATATTGAAGCTCACCCTCCAATCTCACCCCGAGGTACGATCCTCAAATTTCATTCTCAGAAACTCGCCCTCTGATCTCAACCTCAAACCTCACCCTCAAAGTTCTTCCTCATCATCGTCAACGTACGAATCGGAAAAGACAAGTCCCTCCAGATCATCCACTAGGGAATCCACGTTTGAGGAAAATGCCCCTGCATTGGAAGACACGAGACCGGCGTTGGAAGATACAGCCTCTGCATTCGAAGAAACATCATCTGCGTTGGAATAGATGTCATATCCATTCGAAGAGATGGCCTCAGGGTTCGAAGAGACATCTCCTGCACTCACAGATGGGACGCCCACATCCGAAGAACCGGGAGTATTGTGCTCAGGCTGGCTACTCACATCGAAAGTGATCTCACCAGCCTCTATTCCGTCATCATTAAGTTGCGGGATATCGGCAAAGCCACGAGTAACTTCACTGAGTTCCTGTTCGATTTGGCCAGTGGTTACACGGAAAGCACACTTAGACCATCGAGCTTCCATGTGCGCGACGAGTGCGGCGAGGGTCCTGAATCGTTTGAAACATCGAGGGCAACTATATGGAGGATTATTAGTGATATTCTCTTGCAAGATACACGGACAGAACAAGCAGATACTTACTCGTTGATCGTTTCATCCTCCATCGTGAGATGATACTCAAATGTGGTGACGTACAAGAATGAGGAACCGCAGTTGCAGTAGTAGCGACTTTTCTCATGATTCCAGAAGCTCTCGGGGTCCACGCCTTGGATCTTGCGGTGAGCGGTGGCTCGGCAACGAATTGGTTTAACATAGTTCGAAGGGTCTGATCCTTGGACGGCGAGAGTAGATGCAGAGGGACCCGCCTCGCTCAACTGCCCAGTGGCTTCTTGAGCAGACAGAAAAGGGTTATCCTGGAGCATTGAGGTACTGACAATATCATCGAGGAGCACACCCCCGGGCGATTCAGTGGAGGTACTTCCTCCTTGTCCTTTGCCTGGGGTCATTGGAGCGCCTAGATCGGGCCAGTCATCACGAGGATTAATTGCATCAGCGGTATCGCGAGCAGGGCGCTTTTCTTCCATGCGGGGTGTAGAGATATCTAGCAGAACACCACCATCCGTATCCGGGTCCTCGCTAGAGCTGTCAGAGGGCGGGGACTGCGGTCCAGGAGAGTGTCTTCCCATGGTCAGAACGCTTGTTGCGCCGTGCAGGTCATAGTTGGTGCCCTCGAGGGACTTTTCTGGCAGGCTAAGAACAGGGCATTCCTTGTCTTCGATATGTTTAATGACTGCAGAAGCGGACTTGTACTTGCAACCACAGCCCATGCAAGCGATTGCACGACCTTCATGATGGTTCTAAAAAATGGACAGTTCGTCAGTACGGTTTCTTGTTTCTAAGATACTTTGAAAAATGATGGAGACTTACGTTTCTCATGTGAACTTCCAGACCAGCCTCGCTGCGGAGCTCAAGGCAACATTCGGGGCAAGCAAAGTGACGGTCGCTCATTATCTTGTGCAGATGGAGGGTCTGCTGAGATTGGAAGTCGAGGTCACATTTCATGCAGTAAGAATGCTTGTCCGCATTGGACTTATGGTGTTGCATCTCGCCGACGGATTCAAAGCTAAGTCTGCAGCCCTTGAAGGTACAAAGTACCCCCTCCACTTCTTCTGCCATCATGAAGAGCTTTGGTGACTCGGCAAACGATGAAGTGACGCGCGTCAACGAAGGATGGATGGGATTAAAAAAGCTAGCAAAGGAATGAGGAGAAGAAGAATATCAAAAAGTTGATTGGAGGAGGAAGGCGTTGGAGGCAAACAAAAGGATTTCTCTTTGATAAAGCATGCAAGCATAAGAGGTAAGAGGCCATGATGGTTTGATATTGGATGATATATTGGAGAAAGCTAAATCACCAATACAAAAAGCATCGAATAATTTGATGAAACCGGGAGTCGATCGCAAGACTTTGAGATTCCAATCGATTCCCACCGTTGTCGTTCCTTCCGAAAATGGGTGTCTGAATAGCCTCATTTTTGACTTGATATGCATGTACCTGAGTTCGAAAGTAGCTGCCAACCACCACCTTTTGGTACTCAGATTCTCTCCTAAATTGAGATACAGATACAAATATTGATGTGGATACTATACTCCAACTTTGAAACTCATATCACACTAGGAAGCCATTTCAATCGAATATCTAAGATCCCGAGTGACTTGGCTGTTAAATTTTAGTCCTATATAAAGAAGACAAGTACTCAGATTTCAACCAGCCCCCCCCCAAGTGGCCCAGCGGTACTATGGCCGGGGCATCCCACACCAGGATGTCGCAACGGGTTTTACTTGCTCCCCACTGTCGGTCGGACTCCTATATGCTGAAGCTCTCCCGAAGCACTACACTAGGCAAACCCCCCGCGGAAGGGTATAGTCCCCCGTTACTTAGGGGGAGGCTGTAGTTAGTACGGTGAGTGGAGGTGTATAGGGGAATGGCCGGAGGAGAGGACCATGGACATAGAGATACCAGACTCTGTCCATACCCTCCTGAGGTCTAGAAACGGTCTAGATTAATGGGGACCTTTTTGTTTGGGTTGATGTTTGGCAGTACTTACCTTTTATCACTTCGTCCTTCCCTGGCTTCCTTTTTGTTTATTCTTCCTTCTCTTTCCCCTTTGCCCAGGTGGTGCCATGGTACTCGAGCTATTCTGCAACTGCCGTCTGAGTGTCAGACTTTCCAAAGTGACCTTGCACACAAAGGCTTCTATGTATCCTTCAGCGATGTTGGATAACTTTGCTTGTTTCCTTGGAAACAGGTATAAAGTCCAGTTTTGGTCAAATCCATGGATGCTAGTGACTACCTTATTTCTACCATCCTGTAATATCACTCATGATAGGAACTTCAAGGGCTGTTAATTGAGGTAAAGAACCGAGAAAATCCATGTTAATACGATAGCTCTTTCTACTTAATAACATTCTTAGGTTTAGAATCGAGAAAAGGGCAGCCTATTTACTTGTTAGTGATTGTTCAGGAGGCCAAGAGAACCGTCGAAGGCTTACCATTTCCCACGAAGAGTGATAACAGCCCAGTTATTACCATCCTCATCAGTCTCCTTTTCAACCTTGGTCGAAAACGAGATTGCACTCATAATCCCATCCCCAAACTTCTCATTGAGAACCGCCTTGTAGGCATAGCCATAGTTCTGCACGATCTCATAGAGTCGGTAGATAAGGGGTTCCTTGGGCGGCATTTGGACAGAGCGGCCACGATCGGGGAAGCCGTTGAGTTGTTCCTCCAAAGGCTGCTGGGGGATGAGAAGCAGATCGGCCAGCTTTTCGATATCTTCGGGTGACGCCTTGGCCTGGCCGTAGAATATGGCAGCTGCAGCTACTTCATTGCGACCGAGGTGCTCGCCAATTTTCTCAAATGTTAGCTTGCGAGCGGCCTTAGCTCTGAAGAGTGTTGTGGATACGGCGGGGAGGTTGGGGTGCTCTGTGGTCTGAAATGGGGTCAGCGGGGTTGCGGGTTGGCAAAGGGTATTCTCACGTCCAGGGTTGCAAGAGACATGATGGATTAAATTAGGTGACGGATCTCAGTTGCTGAAGGATTGATATCTTGCGGTAATGCTTGATCGTTGGTTGTTGGTTATTGTTCGGCTGTGACAGATGGATGTTAAGGTACTTTGGAACAAATGTACTGCGGGGAAACAGGTTCTGATGCAATATCTATGATTCATTCATGGATTTCCCGCAATAAATGTGATACCATTCATCTTTTACCATTTGTACTAGAAACTTTCCATCTACACGTTTTTAAAGCATTAGAACTAAATTTAAGCATAATTTAGGCCTTGGGCCATTCCATGACTTGGCATGGGAATGATCACATGGCATGGTTTTAGCTATGGCTAAATAATAGCTAGGGTATACAATAATACAGATTAAATCAGACATATAAACCTAGAAAAGATGGTGTATAACGTTCAAATATTGAGGCATCATGGTCAACTCTAGTCCGTACCTAGGTACTCTCCGTCGATGCCAAAGCACCTCGGAATCACACTTGCGTAGATGATCACCCCAACCTAAACCCCTTTGGGAAACCTCTGCGAGTAGCCAATCAGAGGTGTGGGTATAGCCCCACTTAGCTTATTGATGCTATCCGACGATTACCAAAAGTAAGTATAGGCACCCACTTTAGGCATATACCTAAGTAGACTGAAGTAAAGAATAAACTCACTTCTAACTTACACTTTACCACATGCACTTCGCAAACGACCTCGGTCTCTGTCATATATATAACACTGGGACGATCAAGAAAGTGATAAAAATGCTCTATATCCTCAGAATTGGTCTGTTCTTCGACAACTCCGGAAGACCTACTACTATTCATCATGGCCACATTACGAAATCCGATGGATAATATGAAATCCACATGGCGTACATGGGACCGAGACCAGTGGAGGCTACCACACAAAATCTTCGAGCGTGTCAACGTATACCACATCGACCTCAACAGAGAAGTCCCAATCCATCCCAAAGAAGACAAAATACCATACGTATCCGACTGGTCTTTGAACCGTTGGGTTCTTATCACCTCCGGAGTTCCAATTCTGGTCCACCAGCTCTTTACCTATTTTACCGGATACAATTTCCACCCGATCATCGCCTTCCTCTACTACTACCAAGCCTCAAGACTTTTCACGACATGCGAGCTACGGACTCTCCGAGAGCTTGGTCATACCTACGGGTTCTTAGACGGCGACAAACATGAGCGAGATGGTGTGCCCGATGTGGGAGTTTCAAAGGCTCTAGTCTCGGTTATGCTGGCTGGGTTTGTGCGTCCACTGATGACAGTATGGCTCACCTACGACGCAAATGAAGCACCTGTCTCACTCAACTGGGCTTGGCTGCTCGTGGAGATCAGTCTTTACGGCATCATCCTTGATTTTTGGTTCTATTGGTACCACCGTGTCATGCATGATGTGAACGGTCTCTGGAAGTTCCACCGCACCCATCACCTCACGAAACACCCAAACCCACTGCTCACAATCTACGCAGATTCGGAGCAAGAATTCTTCGACATTGCCGGTATTCCATTCATGACGTGGTTCACTATGAAACTCATGGGTATGCCGATGGGATTCTACGAATGGCATGTTTGTCAGATGTATGTTATATTTGCAGAGCTGGCTGGACATAGCGGTCTTCGTCTCCATGCGTCTCCACCTAACCCTGTGACATGGTTGATGCGAATGTTTGATGCTGAGCTGGTGATCGAAGATCATGATTTGCATCACCGTCGTGGGTGGAAGAAGAGTCATAACTATGGCAAGCAAACGCGGGTGTGGGATCGGGTCTTTGGGACATGCAGTCCCCGTATCGAGAGTGTGGAGGCCAATATTGATTATGAAAATCCTGTTAGCATGCCGATTTGGTGATATATCATCGCAGGTACTCTGTACTTTCGTCGGCCGAAAGACTACTCTAATGCGATGGGCGTGAAATAAAATTAGAATATGGCCTTGTAGCTCTTCCGGTAGTCCTCTGTTCCTCATTCAATACCTCCGTTCTTGTTATGGGTTATCTTAATGGCCATAAACATAAATCCTCGTCCAACATCGGAGCTCCGAGCAGCTTTTATAACCAACGCTTTACGACAAAGAGAGTCTGGTCGAGCGGATATCTGGAATATCACTTTCGAGAGCTGCCGACATCGAGAATAACATAGCACTGTGCTACTTCGACACTTGTCTCGCTTGTTTTGGTATCTGTCCCATTCTCCCCGGTACTAGCACTTGGAATGTCTGCAACATTTTAAATCCTCACAAGCGTGCTGTAGCTATTGGGTATCTAATTTGTGTAGGTAACATAAGTGGGATTATTGGGAGCTATCTTTATAGAGCTGATGAGAAGCTACGATATCATAGGGGCTATGGAACGTAACTTGCGCTCGCTACTACTAGAATTATGGCTTGTTTATCCTTGGAATTCTGTCTGTGGGGTGCAAACAAGAAGAAGAAGGCTGTGATGACTGCGGCTGAAATTGAGGATAATTATACTGAAGATCAACTTCGTGAGATGGAAGAGAGAAGCCCTCTGACCAAGTTTAGCTTGTGAAATACTCCTATTATCATATACTGATTTTACAATGAGGCTCTTTGCATAAAGTGGTGACCATATGGTTCCAAATATTAATGCCCGGTTCGGGCAACTGGCGAATGGCAATGGTACAACCATGTTACTTTGGCCTCCATCTAAACCTTTGAAATCGCAACTACCCGGGCGGTCACTGATATATAACTTAAATTAACTATAGAAGGATCCAGAAAATATGGGAGTTCGGCTGCAAATAAACTGTTCAAATCGACCCCATCGGAGAATTTGCCGTCGATTGTGAAGGCATCACCATCAGTCGGAAATGAAAAGGGTTCGTTGGCAGTGCCGCCTTGTACCTTTATATTCCGGCGTTTTGGGGTTTGGGGGGTTCGTTTTGGCCAAAGCTGGCATTCCATCTTGGAGCCCTTGTGTTTGCTCTGTTCGCTCTGTTTTCCCACCTGCGAAACTCCGGGTCCTGCCCAGGTGGGCAGTTCCGAAATCTTAGTCAGCATATTCGCACGCCTAAGCATCAAGACGGACAGTACTCCGTACTTCGCATTAGGGTCCTGATCGCCATGAACGTGATAGGTCAGAGACAATCCTTTTAAACTTGAGTTTGTACTGCTGTAGGGTGAAAATTGACCTGGGAAGACCTATAAAAGACTCTACTTTTTAAGTAATCCCTTTCTCTAGAGTCTACACTTGTATTCTTAGTTGAATGCACTCGTTTGAAGAACTGGCCAGTAAATATTTAATATTTATATCTGCCCTCGTTTTGTCTTAGATACAATAGAAGGTCCCGCGCCTTGCCGGTTAAATCCAAAATCATAAAACTCGCTCACTGTGCAGATCATCGCCTCTTAACAAATGATCGGCTCTCCACATGCGTACCGAAATCCACTATAAAACTACTGTAGCCACATATTCTTCGGGGAATTTTCGCAAATACTATAAAATCAGGTATCAGATAGATTATCCCGGTTCAACTTCAAGCTTTAGGCTGCCCAATCTTATCCAACCCCCAGTCGCCCTATTTGGCGCCGTTGTATCTAATTCGCCCAGAGATTTTCCCCAACTAGCGGAGATCAGTTTCATGTCAGAAAAACCTCCATGGGGGTGTTTCAGTTGGAAATTAAGCTGAAGGACCAGGGACCTCCGGGCACCAACCGCGAAGATCCTTTCCCAACACCCGGGCGGGCTAATAGGTACGAATTTATCCTTAGAGGTAAGAGCAGCGATAAACTATCAAGCTGTTGGTATTATCGAGTGCGGAGTCCGAAGCAAAGGATAATGCCATTTATAATATAAGGTAGGTGCAGTTAGTGCTTTATACGGAACATCGGCCCACAATTCCAGACGAAGCCCTTCATCGAAAGAAATTGTGATTGACAAGATGTGACGGGCATATAAGTGACTGACAGCCCACGTCTCTAAGATACATTCCATTCCATTTCCTAACATCAACATCCCGCATTGCTATCATCTTCCTTTTCACCGACCAACTCCTTATCAAAATGAAGTCCTTCGCTCCTCTCACCACTCTCTCCCTGGCGCTGGCCGCAGTGGGCAATGCCACAAGCGCCTCTTCCTCCGAGGCCCTTACCAAGCGCGCCGACTTCTGTGACCAGTACGGCACTGAAGAGCAGGGCAGCTACAAAGTGTACAACAACATCTGGGGCCAGGAGTACGACACATCAGGCAAACAGTGCACCGGCGTCGACTCCCTGAACGGCAACACGATCGCCTGGCACACCTCCTGGTCGTGGGGCGGCTCCAAAACCCAGGTCAAGAGCTATGCCAGTATCGGTCTCGAGTTCACTGCCAAGCAGCTGAGTGCCGTCAGCAGCATCAAGTCTAGCTGGGAGTGGAGGTATGTGAAGCATGCACTATGGTCTAGGAGTTAAACTAACGAGCTATTCTCAACTAGCTACTCTAACACCGACGTGGTTGCTGATGTCGCCTACGACATGTTCCTCAGCTCCACCGCTGATGGAAGTGAGGAGTATGAGATCATGGTCTGGCTCGCTGCTATGGGCAATGCTGGCCCGATCTCTACCACCGGCTCCCCCATTGCCTCTGTCACCATCGGCGACATCCCCTTCAAGGTTTGGAAGGGACCCAACGGCCAGATGACCGTTTACAGCTTTGTTGCCGAGTCTACCGTTAACAGCTTCTCTGGTGACATGCTCGAATACTTCACCTACCTTATCGAGAACCAGGGCCTCAGCTCCAGTTTGTACCTGATTAATGTCCAGGCTGGTACTGAGCCCTTCACTGGCAAGGCTGACATGGATACCTCCGCATTCTCTATTGAGGTTGTTTAAGTGGAATCCAAGAGCATAAATCGGGGGTTTTGTGTTTGAGAAGACTGCTCTCGCCATGGGCTTCACTCACATCGCTGTTTTTCTTATATTCCAGTGATCCCTAGATCTCTCCTAAGTCTAGCAAGGGTTGATGTTGAGATTATCATCTGATGGATGTATTGTTTGCTGGGGTTCATCCAACTACATAATACATTCTGCTATACACTCCACTAGTTCTTGTGTCTAACCTGGTTGATCGGCCCTCACACCTGAATGCCACATTATAGACTATTTCTATGGAATATGGCTTATAACTTAGATAGTATGACCGGCAGTTGTATTATCTTGGCAAAATAGTTCCGTCTGTGCCATTTCAAGATAGACGAGGAATTCAATTCGAAGACCCAGCTGCTATGGAATATTTGGCTGGTAATCCAGGTATATCTGGCAAAGGAGACGTGACTCTCAAAGATAGGTAGGCTGTCTTCGATGAATATTGTACGGATAGAAGACAAGGTTTTGGGAATAGTAAGGAAGCCCAAGTCAAGTCTTTAGGGCTATCCGACTAGAGCAATATACTTTCATAGGTGGCTGGGTTATTACAATACTTTAGGGGTTTTACCGACCTATTCTTTACAATTCATTCAAACAATGATTTAAACCTGGTCTATAGGACCTTCCAGTCTTCACTGGTTTTACTATAACCAAGACACGACTTGTAACTAAATTTGTGTGTCAAGCTATCAGTCTCAAAGGCCTGCCGGTAAATGTGTTTGATTGGGTTAATATTTATTGAATACACAAAGCCTTTTTATTAGGTGGTGTAAAACAAAGAGCACATGAAAGAAGAATAACCGAATCGTAATCACCGGTTGTCGCTTATATATAAAGGAGTACTGCTCCTATGATACGATCAACCAACCACTACCAATCTAGTAAATGTTCTCACCATGGAAAAGAAATCAACCACAGGTGTTTTCATGAGCATTTTACCCGAAGACGCACTGGAAATTGGCCGCAGTAGGAGAACTACTATATCTCGTAGCTATCCCTTCCCAGCCACCGTTCGTCGTATTTGGTTCTACACCACCTCTCCGTTACAGTATATTGGTATGGATGTTGAAGCGGCCTATTTGCCTGCATCAAGCTATCGAGCGCGGTATACTGAAAGCTCCTCCGATAAAGTACTGTTAGACGACTGAGGGTTTCTTGAGAAGCTATCCTTTCTATGAACAGTATCGAGTGGGGGGACCAAAGGAAATCATCTGGTAATGAGGACAATGCAGCAATTTCTTTTTCTTTTGTCGGATTTAGATAGTGAACAATGAAATATCCTTCTTTCATGTTTAACGGAATCTTGGAAACTGAAAACGGTTGAATATTCGCCCGGGCTAGGTTCCTCTATTAAGCGGGTTAGGCCACCAGGGACTAACTATTTTCGTAATAGCACCAGGGTCAACTTGCACCAATTGCTTGGCGTTTGATGGCTCACAACTGATGGTTGGCATTGTTAACATTAATAAACACTATGGCGCATAATGCATGGATAATTAGTTATGCAGCTATACTTACATGTGTAACGGCACTAGAGACTATGTAGATCTGCTCGCAATTTGTCTCGGCTTTCAAAGCCGTTTAGAATACCTGTTTCAAGCGAGAGTTAATTATAGCACAAAGTACTCCGTACTCTACAATGTACGTTGGTCTAATGTAACCATGTATGAAGTACGCTTATTGCCAAAAACACTAAATGACGTATGAAAAGTAAGACGGCCTACGAAGATGTATAGGGGCCTGGGGTCAAAACCCCTTTAGGGAGGTGGTTGATGCCAGGATACCTGAATTAGTACCGCTTTATATACCGCTCTAATACAATGTACTGTAAATCGTTAATATATCAACCTGCCTAGATGAAGCTTTTGACTTCCATAAAAATTCAGGCTCCATATTTCCTGGCGGTGGTAAGTCTAAAAAAAGAAGCTTTTGACCTCCATACAAATCAGACATCTCTACATATTTGGCCCACTAGGAAGTTCGCTTTTGGAGGTGTCTGAATTTGTATGGAAGTCAAAAGCTTCATTTTTTTGGACTTGAGCACGCCAGCAGGATCAGGGTACCTTGATGACTAGATCATATGTAATAGTAATTCAGGTATTTTGATATTTCTGCCGTTCTGAATTAAGGCATTCAGACATAAAATCCCCCCCCAAAGGGGGTTTTGACCCCGGGCCCCTATACGTCTTCGTAGACAGCCGTTTGACTCAGCCCCCTCAGTGTTTAACCCTTGCATAGTCTAGCGATACAACATAGGGAACTTTTCGTGTTCTTTCTGACTATATTATTGTAGAAATGTAGATCGTCAATGTCTGTGTCCAATAGAATCATAGGACATTTCAAAAAGTGGATTTACCCGTGGTCCGAATTAGCTCCGACGACGCCTATTGGTCCGATTATTGATCATTCAATGAATTCATCCGGCTCGCAGGTTGATCAATGATCACGGTGGGTTTTTCCTCCGATTCAGGCAGTGCAGCAGATGTTTTAGAGGGCTCAACTATTTATTACTGGTGGGTTCAGAGTATTTCAGGGGTGCAACAAGAAGTGCGCCCGTATGTACATATAAATTGCGGTTCAGCATATCAATCAACGCGTCTTTCATTTTTTTAAATCTCTCGTGGTCAGTCAATCCATACTAACAACAAGATCATGGACAAAAAATCATTTAAAGTCATCATTGTGGGTGGCAGCATTGCTGGACTTTCCTTAGCCTTGATGCTGGAAAGAAATGGCATCGACTTCGTCATTCTCGAAGCCTACGGCAGCATTGCACCCCAGGTCGGGGCTAGTTTTGGCGCTTTGCCCAGCGGCTTACGCATTCTCGACCAGCTGGGTTGCTATGAGTCAGTTCTAGAGATGGCGGAATACCCTGTTGACAAACTTCGCTTCTGTGATTCGCAAGGACAACCACTCTGGGGATTCGATAACGCCGAAAGGAGGTCAATCGAGAGGTTTGTCGCCATTCAAATTTATATCCCAATATTGAAACAGCAGAATCAACTGACAATACCTCCAGTCATGGTTATCCTATCTTATTCCTCGATCGCCGGATGTTGGTAGAAGTCCTCTATAAAAAGATCCAGGATAAGTCCAAAGTTATCACCTCTCAGCGAGTGCAGAGTATTGAGAATGGTACTTCGAGTGTCACAGTTACCACAACGACTGGTGAAACCTACACCGGAAGTATCGTGGTCGGAGCAGATGGAATCCATTCCAAAGTCCGTCAAGAAATGTGGAAAGCGGCTGAAAAGATAGATCCCACTTGGATTGATCCCACGGAGAAATCTGGTATGAACTTAAACCTAGGGGCTTGGAAATTATCAGCTAACTCTTGTGGAAGCACTTCCTGCAACTTACGCATGCATCTTCGGCATTTCCAAGGGCGTGGAGGGGATCGAGAAAGGCACATTGACCTCGGTGTACAATGAGCATTACTCGTATCTTGTTCCCAGCGGACCCGGAGACCTCACCTACTGGTTCCTCGTGCGGAATATGGGAAAGACATACTATGGCGCAGATATTCCTCGGTTCACCAAGGAAGAGGAGGAAGCCTTCGCAACGGAACATTTCGACGACCAGATCACTCCTACAATGAAATTTTCTGCTCTGTACAAGAGTAAAATTGCCTCGGCATACTCCAGCTTGGCAGAATACGTCTATAAAAGATGGCATTTCCAGAGAATTATTACTATCGGCGATGCCTGTCACAAGGTGAGACCACCTATCAACCTCAGAACAAGATCATGCGAAAGACTGACCAATGCCCCGCTCAATAGTTTGAGCCTTTGACAGGCCAGGGAGGCAATAATGCAATGGAAACTGCCGCATCCCTGACAAATCATCTCGTTGCGGCCCTCAAAAACTGCCAGGCAGGCACGCTGTCATCGGCCGACATTTCCAAAGTTTTTGAGAGCGTTCAACAGCAGCGTGAAAAACGTGCGTGGGAATTGGTCAAAGCAGCCCATGCCCGGCAACGTCTCGAGTGCCAGGAAACGCCCTTGTTGAAGTTCATAGGAAGGTACGTGATGCCACGCCTTCCGAAATACGTTGTCCTCAGCAAATGGATCGTCTCGTATTCTCCTGGAGTGTCCTTGGACATGCTTCCGCTACCACACAAGGCTCGGGAAATTGCCTATTTCGATGAGCGCTTCAGAACACCGTCATCTCGGGGTGTGGTGAGCATCTTGTTGTACGCTGCATACTTCCTCCTAGCCTGGTTAGGATATCGCCAATTGTCAACAGCACTCCGAGCGAATGGAACAATGGACTTGATCCGTCAGGCAATCAGGGGTCAGTCGGTTCCACTCCCAGGAGGAGTTGAAACTCCCCTTCGCCAGGTGTACACAGGGCTCGGAGCCGTTGACCTCATTTTGAAAGTCATCGTGACGATATTCCTGCCTGCGGTTGCCAACTTCTCTACACCGGAGCAGCCGTTGCAGGTTCTGTATTTCCTGGCTTCAATGATGCCGGTTATCGCTATCTGGACTGTTGAAGGGTTCAGACCAAGAAACAAATGGACCCTTCTCGCAACTCCGAGTTTGTGGGCGGTTCTGTATCAGCTGCGCGGAATTGGGCTGATTGCGCCCCTCTATTATGCATCGAGTACCTATATCTCCTCCGGAATGCTATACTTCTCCCCAAGTACCCGCACGCTCCCTGAGTCCACCGCTCGAGCGTTACTGCCTGCAATGGTATTGGGATTTGCCGTGCCCACAATCATGCTGTTCTTCCCATTGGCTGATGCCCTGAACACGCGACAAATCTTCATTGCGCTGTGGCAGCCTGCTCCAGTATACGTGGTTATCTTGACTCAGATATTCTCCCATGTCATCAAATCGATCGGTTCGAGCACTCCGGTGAAGACCGATAGTGCCGCAGTGGAGAGCAAATCCAACTGCGACATCCCACACTTGAAAACCCTCTACACTGTGGTCGGCGGTGTATCTACTTGTTTCCATGTGGCCTTGCTGCTGAGCTGGGCTGCTTTGGGAACGAACTTTATCACTAGGGCATTCATCCCATCGGCCGCTTTCGCACAGGTGGCAACAATTGCAGACGGTGTCTTCATATTTTTCCAGAATGACTTCCTGCTTGTTGCAGCGGCAACTCTCCTGTGGTGCTTAGCTAGCGCATGGGATTTGTACCGCCTTGGGGTTTCTAATGTCTCTTGGCAGGTGGCACTGGCTAGTTTGATTGTGGGTTCCATGGCAATCGGACCAGGTGCCACTATGGCAGCTGTGTGGTATTGGCGGGAGGAGGTTATGAGTCGGACAGCTTTCCGCCGTCATGGTCCAGGTCTTTAGCTCAATAGAGAGTACGTGGTGCTACAATTTTGGCGTTGAGGGGCCTTATGATCAACTAGGAAAAGCCACAGCGAACTCCCAAGGGTATAACAGGGCGAGGTAGATAGTTCAGAACGAGACTGTGTCCGATTCGGGCTTTCGTGTATTTTTATATAAAGTAAATAGGGTATTGCGATGTTCCGCAGGTTGGAGGGTGTAGTTGAATGTACACAAAGCTATCCCGGAGAGCCAGTATCTCCAACTGACATCCACCTGACATTGTAGGATATTACCCTCTCGACATCAGACCGGCGAAAGCCAGCTACACAGCCCAGAGAGACTGGAAGCTGGCTCAGTCCTGGCTAGGTTAGCTCTCATCGTTTTTTTTTTTTTTTTTGCATTGAGAATAGTAGCAATAATAGTGTAAGCGTACTGTTGATCAATTTATACTCATCGATAACCATCATCATACCGTTGGGCAATTCCCCCTGAGGTGCCTCCAAGTTCGAATGCCCAGGGGCTGGACTAGAGGGATAATTTATTGTAAGGGTGGACGAAGGAAACTCGCCTACACCGATACCTCGGTTGAGCAGGTATCTTTCGACATCATGCACATCAAACCAGTCTTCGTCTGCAGGAACATGAGTCACACCATTTGTTGCTCGGAAGAGAGCGAAGCTATCTGAAAAGTCGTCACCGGAAGGTTGTAAATAGTGTGTTCCTGCACCGCCGAGGCTGATATATGGGAATCGAGCATCGATGATAGGATGGCAAGGTTCCAGGTTGACGACACGTGCGAAATAATCTCGAATGTCTGCTCGTGGCATTCTTTGTAGTAGTAATCCGAACTCCCACATGTCTTCGTCTTTATATGAGGGATTTGATAGAAACCGATGGCCACTTTCAGCGCAAGCACGATAAAGCCGTTGGGTGAAGCGTGTGGTTGCATATTGTATGGCGTGTGTTTCAGCAATATATGGTGCCACAGGAATGGGGATAAAGTCATTTGATTGGTTATTCAGGCCCTGGGTATTAGTTGAGGGAATCATGCCAGCCGACGAGCCCAAAAACAATTTCCAGAAGTCAGACTCCAAAGTGTGATCTTTTAATCTGCCCATTGGCACCTCGGACGCGACCTGCGCGTGGAGTTGCTCAACGACAGCTTGGGATGGTTCCGAAGACTGGTTGTTTGGGGATTCTTGAAAGTGAATATCGGCCCGCTTGAAATGGGACACTATATCATCCCGCAGCAACTGAACTTTCTGGAAAAGTTCAGGTTGAGACAATTGGGACCCATTTCGGATCACATGGTCATCGAATGTGTGCATGATCTGGCTCAAATGATCAAATGCATTTTCCAGTTGCTCTACGCGAGCTTTCAGTGAAGAGAGCTGGGACTGTTGGCGAGATCGGTATGCCTGTTGCGCTTCGCGGACCTGGGCGCGTCGCGTCTGTGCCAGGGTGAGACCAAGTTATTATCTTTAGTTGCAAAAAGGGGCCTCACAGATTTGGCATCTTCCGCTGATTTTCGGGGTCGCCCAAGAGAGCTTTTTTTTTACTTGGACTGTGGGCATTGCAGTCCAATTTGAGGAGATGGAGGTTGACCAGTCGACCTCGGGAGATGTCAGATCCCTTTCCACATGTTGGAATGCCAAGCCTGCATCCGCACTTCCGAGAGTAAAAGTACTTGACCTGATGTTTTGAACTTCATTCTTATTTTACATAGGGATTCTTGATGATTTTATATATGTGCATATATATATAGCTCCTTAGTGTCTTCCATATTTTTTTTTAACTATCAAATGGGACATGATTTAGAAGTAGGGACATGTGTTGATATACATCTACGTATACTCATGTCAATGCCACTTACGGAGTAGTAAAGAACACATATAACACTGTCTCACCTATTCTATTGCCTAACCCTAAGAATATCCCAGGAATATCCCAACTTGGGAAGATAATCGTGTCAGCTTACGGAGTACACGTACACCGCCACAGTCACCACGTTCCCATCGTGGCTGGGTGTACGGAGTAGCGGGGCGCTTCATTGAATTTAAAACAGTCACACCCCGCTCTGCAGGCACCCCCGTTTCTGACCTTTTCTGACTTTCTTTTTATTCAACGTTCTTTGCTGTGTTTTGTCTACAAATTATTCTGGACCTTCAGGATGTCCAAGCAGGATGATCTGGCCTATGGTGGTTACTACCAGGGCGCGGAACGTGGGTCCGGAGACGGATCCCGCGGTCTAGGCGATACCTTCAAGAAGCTCCGCGACACCTACAAGAGCCACGGATCCTCACAAGGCCAGGCGAACCAGACATACAACCCAAGTGGTTATCAAGGCGTAGGCTTTACCATCTCTAAGCCTCTACATCCACTAACCGGTTCGCTACAGCAGAGTTACCCAACCCAGACCGAACCGCAATACAGCCAAAACACAAGTGGACAGCAGCAAAACCCTAACTATCACGGAAAACCTCAAAAGGAAGACAAACTGTCCGGTTTATTGGGAAAACTGCAAGGTACTGTGACCGAAATTGGGTCCGAATTTGCCCAGAAGATCGGTACCACCATCGATCCACAGGCGTATGCCGAGTATGGCCCCAGCAAGCCCAACACAGAGCATCGATTTGGTAGCTTCGCTCCTCCCCGGGAACATAACGATGCCAAGTGGTATGTGGATGGATGTAGCTATTTCTGGGCTGTGTCGCGAGCTCTGGAAAATGCCCGAGAGTCAGTTTGGATTCTGGACTGTAAGTTTCAACCTTCCCCGGATTTTCATTGCATGCGGCTAACTTGATGTAGGGTGGTTATCTCCCGAACTTTATTTGAGAAGGCCACCAGCGAAGAATGAACAGTACCGATTGGATCGCATGCTGCAAGCTGCAGCCCAGCGGGGCGTGCGCGTCAATGTCATTGTTTATAAGGAGGTTACGCAAGCGCTCACTCGTATGTCTATGATCCTTATACACTGAAAGGAAACTCAATTAACAGTCCCTACAGTGTCTTCCTCTCACACCAAACATGCCCTAGAAAATTTGCACCCCAACATCGCTGTCTTCCGTCACCCTGACCATCTGCCTGATCGCCAAGAGCTAGCAGCTTCAATCACGTCGACCTTCCAGAACATGTCACTTGACTCGGCAAGTTTGAGTAAGATGTCAAAGGATACACTGAAGGGACTGTACGGAATGAACGATGATGTCATTCTGTATTGGGCTCATCACGAGAAGCTTTGTTTGATCGACGGTCGGGTTGCATTCATGGGTGGTTTGGACATGTGCTTCGGTCGCTGGGATACAAACCAACACGAGCTATCGGATCTACACCCTTCGGATGTGAGCCAAACCGTTTTCCCTGGCCAGGACTACAACAATTCTCGCGTCCTTGATTTCCAAGATGTCGTTCACTGGGAGAATAATCAGCTGGATAGAAAGACCATGTCTCGGATGGGATGGTCTGATATATCCGTGAGCCTGCACGGTGCAGCCGTGGAAGATTTGCGGCGTCACTTTGTGGAGCGATGGAACTTCATCTATGATTCGAAATACAAGGTTCGCAGTGATTCTAGATACGCGAGACTGGCACTCCATGGAAGGCCCACTTCCTCAACTGGCCCCTCGACTAGCCAACAGCAGACTGGTTCTCCACAGCCCAACCTGTACCCGTCGGGACAGGCAAGTCCACAGGGTCAGCCACCTGCGCCATCCTGGCAGCAGAAGCCTAGTGGAGTCACATCGCCTACCTATCCCCCGCCACCAGGTCAGACATCGAGTCCGTCGCAGCCACAGTCGCAGTCCCAGCCTCAGCATCAACAATCTGCCGGAGCATATCAGCCTTACAACAGTGCTAGCGATTCAAATTATCCGCCACCGCCGGCTCATCCCTCCTCAAACCAGCAACAATATCAACATCAGAACACGTCTGCCTCGTACCAACCTGGGAATGCTTCAACCTATCCCCCACCGCCAAGCCAAAGTCCTCTAGGCTCTCAATCTCAGTCAGCTCAGTCCCCGAGTCACGATACAAGCCAGTATAGCTACACTGGAAGCTCATTCCCTCCTCCCCCACCTGGACCCCCTCCAGCGCAGTCCACTGCCAACACCTCGTACCAGCCATATCAACAGGCCCAGCAACAGGAGCAGAAACCATATTTCCCACCCCCGCCAGGCCAGGAAACATCCCACTCCAATACACGTGGGATTAATGACTACCAGCATGAAGGTGATCGTGAGCGAGGTTCTTTGGCGCCCCGTCGCTTCCGAGAGGACCTGACGCAATATGGCAACACCCTTCGTGGTCAGCTCGCGGGACAAATCCACCAATACCAGGATCGACTGACCACATATGGCCGTCCTTCCTCCTCGCAAGGCCGAGGGAATATGTCATGCCAGATTGTACGCAGCTGTGCGAAATGGAGCAACGGCAGCCCACTTGAGCATTCGATTGCCGACGCATATTGCGCCATCATCCGAAACAGTGAGCACTTTGTCTACATCGAAAACCAGTTCTTTATCACTGCGACCGGTGATTCGCAGCGTCCAGTGAAAAACCAGATTGGTGCTGCAATTGTGGAGAGGATTTTACGTGCTGCCCGTGCTGGTCAGAAATATAAGATCATCGTGGTTATTCCATCCGTCCCCTGCTTTGCCGGTGATTTGCGAGATGATGAGACTCTCGGAACACGCGCCATTATGGAGTTCCAGTACAACTCCATCAACCGCGGAGGTCACAGTATCATGGAGATGATTGCCAAGGAAGGCTTTAATCCCATGGAGTACATCCGTTTCTACAACCTTCGCAATTACGATCGGATTAATAACGGTAGTATGATGGCTGCAGCTGAACAGCAGAGTGGTGTCAACTACGAGGATGCACGCAGACAGTACGATTTGAACACTGCAGGCCCTGGTGGGTACGCTCCGAGCACTACTCGTAGTGCCTTTGATACATCCGCACCATTCCAGAAATACCAGCAGGCTGCACACCAGGTACAGGGCGGTCATGCTTCCTCGAACCGGTGGGACAGTGTCAGCGAGTGTTACATGCTCGGCGGAGAGGATATTCGCAAAGTGCCATGGGATGGACATCCCGATGCTGAGATTCATGCGTTTGTGAGCGAAGAACTTTACGTTCACTCCAAGGTTTGTTCCCTCCCAAATTCAATGATGATCCAATCCTCTAACCAAAATATTAGGTGATGATCGCCGACGATCGTGTGGTTGTTTGCGGATCTGCAAACCTGAACGACCGTTCCCAACTGGGTGACCATGACTCTGAGATCGCAGTCATTATCGAGGATTTCACACCTGTGGCATCCAGCATGAATGGCAAGCCATGGACTGCTAGTCGTTTTGCTTCATCTCTCCGCCGCCAGTTGTTCCGGAAGCACCTTGGTCTTTTGCCACCGCAGGACTATCAACGACCGGATGCAAACTTCGAGCCCGTTGGGGTTCCCAACCAATTCGACTTTGACTGCCCTGAGAGCAAGGTTGTTGCTGACCCGCTTTCGGACACTGCCCAGAGTCTTTGGAACTCGCGGGCGCGCACAAACAGCGAAGTCTTCCGGAAAGTATTCCACGCCGTTCCGGACGACTCAGTCCGCAACTGGGCTGAGTACAAGGAGTTCTATGAGTATTATTTCCACAAGACCGAGAAGAGGGCCGGTGAAGGCATGGAAGCATCGGCACGTCCGGCGCGGTTCCAATGGGGCCACGTTGTAAGCGATGACTTTGCGCCTGGCGCAGAGGGGGCGAGACAAGTCAAAGAGCTTCTAAGTCAAGTTAAGGGTACTCTGGTTGAGATGCCTTTGATGTTCTTGATCGAGGAAGATATCGCCAAGGAGGGATTGACTCTGAATGACTTGACCGAGCCACTCTACACCTAAGGGAGAGATTTCATTTGCCGAGTTGGGACTGTTATCATTGATCATCTCGTTTATTTTTCAATTCCAGCATTTCTATTAGCTAAATTGTTGTACCTAAGCGAAGTCTAACCTCTTTGTTTCGGAAGCGATGCTATTCGTGGAGCATTACTCTCTTTCATGTCCCCGAGGGAGAATGACACTGATACTCGACACTGTGCAATTAAACCTATGATCTAAAAATTGTCCGATGCCAAGCCTGGGGTGATATTGTTCTTGAAGAACAATACTAAGAGGAATGTGATTGTAGCGATTGGTCAATCTGCGTGTCCTTTGTTCGCAACGCCACCCCCATTGGACGAAATCAAACACATACTCCGAAATATTCTTTTACAGTTCAAAACCCCTGCTTAATATTGTTCTTACCCTCATGCAGGACTTATAAATGTGCTAACTACACCTGCCTGGAACAGGGGCCCCTCGGCCATCTCTGTGGCGTTCCTTCATGAAAGACAACCCGGGCCTAGCCACAAATGCCTCGGAGGATATGTGATGCGGTCAATATCAACCTCCCTCCATCAATGCACTGACTGCATATCAAAACAAAGAGAAAATGCCAGAGGCAACAACTGCTACATTCATAAACCCGAGAACAATATCAAACGGCTCCGCAATGGACCTCCACCGCAATCCCAATCCCAATCCCATACATTTTGGATTGGGTCTACGCCTTCGTCAATGCCCAATGCATTTAAGCCAGCAAGTCAATGTGACATTTGCATTGACATCCATTCCCCAGGTGTAATATTGATTATATTGATAGTCCGAAGAATAGTCCCTCCCCGAATATAAATACCAGCCTGTATACCCGGTTTCGTTCATTTTCTCCACCACCCGCTCACACTTCGATCATTCAAAACAATCTTTCAATCTTCGAAATCCTCGAAATGTCTCGTGCTCAGGTCCAGAAGCAATGTGAGTACCTTGCCTACAAAGCATATACACTGCTTCCTCATATCTCTTATACATCTATATACTAACATGTCATCTCTAATAGCCCCCGGCGGTGGCTGTGTCGTCATGAAGTCTCCCGGTGGTGGCTGTGTCGTCATGAAGTCCCCCATTCCCAACGGCTGCGTCGTCACCCGTACCCCCGGAGCCGGCTGCGACATCATGAAGCGGTCTCCCGGCGGTGGCTGTGTCGTCATGAACCGTAAGTACTAACTGTTCTACGAATAACCGACTGATATACTAACATGTCTTCGTACGTAGCCGCTGACTTCTAAACGCCCTCCATGAGCGTGCCCAATTCCAACATTCCATCAACCACCATGGCTTGACCTGTCTCGTTGGTCGCCATGGTTGACATTGAAACGCATTAATTTGATAATCTTCACCGCGGACTCTTAAGAACACTTTTCAACTCTTCAACCAAAAATATCAATCCCTCGAAACATGACCTCTCAGCTTTAATTTTTGCTTTTGTGAAGACTCGTTATGAGTCTGTCTGTCCAGTTCATTCTTTCTTCGACGAGGGCAGCTCATTTCTTTCGACAGTCTTGCATCATCTTCTCGGCTGTCGACTGTGATTGGTTTCTGCTCTTTCGAACCCTTCGTGGACGATCCGGGTGACAACAGTTTCTTTTAGAAAGGGACTTGTTTTCTGTTCCTTCAGCTACATTGGGGAGATTTCCACCCCATACTTCAAAATCGGTTGATTATGTCTCTCTTTTTCAATGCGGTGCGGATTCCTCTGGTTTCTTGTTTTGGTGGGTGGTTTGGGCGGATAGGGCTTTATTTTTAGTTAGAATCGGTCATGGTAGCTGATAGGAATGGATCATTGCCTTAAAGAATCATTTCTCCTTGTATATGGCTTGTAGGTTAGCTGTATCAGAAGGGAAAAGTCTTTTGTGAGCCACCTTCCTGTTTTAGAGTGTGTCCTTATGTCGAAATAAGATATAGTTACGCCTACATGCCCTAAATTAGGCACTTTCAGTGCGAATATACACAAAATGATGCAAACGTTCATTCGTAGAAACATATTTACTAAACTTCTGTACAAGTAACCTGGATCTGTATTTATTTCCAGATATCAATCTTCTTCCGAATCTCAGACACCTTGGCCTCTTCAGCCTCAGAGTATTCAGCCAGATCCGCCTCATCGGAACCAAATGCATCACTAGCTGCCTCCTCGATTTGGTCTAGTGTAAGACCGATAAGCCCCACAGACCGTGCATTGCCTATCTGGCACATCTCCTCTCCAACCGCAGCTTCGATAACACCCTCGCCTCCTTTAGCGATGAGATCGCCTTCAAAGCTCCGGAATACTTGCCTGAGAGGGTCCAAGACATGGCCGCGGAAGAACTTAAAGGTCTTTTCGAGATGAAGCCGTTCGCGTAGCGATGGCGAAGAAAGCAGCAAGTAGTACAAATTCAATGCGGAATGAAGCGGTGGACCTTGAGTCTGGGTCAGACGAGACCAACTAGCAACGAGATCGGATGCTGAGCTGGCGGCAGTAGCCGGTTTGAAAAGAGCCGGGAAAAGAGCCCAGAAGTAAAGCGGATCTTGGAATATATTTTCGGAAGATTTAGTGGGGCTGGGGAGCAGTTCTTCCTTCAGCCATGCAATGGCGCTATCCCGCGCCGAGGCAAGATGGTCATCTTCCAAGATCTTGTGTATAAGTTTAAACCGCGTCTCAGGCGATGGGTGGCTCTGGACAATGGCGGCTGGAATCTGGCGAACGATGCCGTGGCTTTGGCGTGCTGTGCATGCAGTCAAAATGACAACGAAATCCTTGAACTCGGCATCGCTTGACGGGGCTTCGATGGGGGTTGCAAAGAGTAGACGGCCAAAGCCAACAGGGAGTCGAGAAGCACGTGTGGTTGACCAAAAGCCACTTCGTCGAGACTGGTTTGGCCGCCGACAAAGTTGTTAAATATCAGAGCCAGCTCAGGGAAAACGGATACCCGACGGGGCGGCTGCCCAGAGCCAAAGAGGGTTGTGCCTGCAGCCCGAGCCGCTAGTAGTAGGAGTGAGCCATGACGTTCTAGCGGAATCTGATTGGGGCTTGTTGGTGGGTCATCGAAGTCAAGTTGAGCAGTTTGATCTGTCGGGGATCCGGATATGATCGACAGGAGTTCCTCGTTATCAATTCCAACGTCTCGTGATAAAGCCTTCGCGAAAGAAAAGTTAGACCAAACGCTCTCAAATATTGACATAGTCCCATCCATAATTTGGTGTCACTTACCATAAGCTTCCCCATGATCATATCGCGCTCCTTGAGCTCCTTGGTCGATCCATATGCCTCGGTCTGCGATTGGGCGATCGGTAGGCGCAGATCAGGATGCAGATGTTCTTGCATCCGAATAGTCCACGACATTCCTGGATCCATAGGACTGGAGAAACTCAAAAGATATGACTTTAGCAGTTCAAGCAAGCCGAATTGGATGAATTTCCGAACAAGGAGGGTCTCGTTATCGGCAGAAGGAGAGGGCGAAGATACCTCCGCCTCGGGGTCTGGGGCTGAAGCAGCAGCAACTCTCAGCACGCTAGATTCACTGGCAGCTCTGGGAGGTGGTGCGGGCCGCTTGGAGGGAGACACTTCGCGGAAGAACTCAAGGAAGGCCAGGGTGGTCTCGTTGGTCGCCATTGTGGTATATGCTTCTAGAGCAGCTTGGAGGGAGGTTGCGATGAAACGACTTGGCGCTTTCGTCTGGATCCGTGTGTGAAGTACCGAGAGCATTCCGAGAAGGCAATTGAATTGCAGGATGTGCAGGGGCAGTCCCTGATCAGCCCTCTCGTCCTCGTCCTCATCCTCCGGCTGCAGTTGCATGAGAGACTCAGAGACGCGCAAAATCACTTCTCTGGGATTGCCTAGCCGAGCCACATCCTGTAGGCATTCTGTAGATGCAGGTAGCATAGGTAGGAGCAGCTTAACCAGGTCCCAGCCGATGTTTGTCGTGAGCTTCTCATCTTGCAGGAGAGTGTGCAAAAGCGGTAGACGTTCAGGAGTAAGCTGATATTCTAACAAAGTAAGATAGGTTAGGTAGTCCGTGGCCGGAGGCAATGCTTGAATGAGAGGGTCCTCCATGGTGTGGTTGTTGACTATTTGATCTCGCAGGCGCGGGGAAGATGAAACATGGCGATGACGTCAGCGGCAGAATCCCGAAGAAACACCCGTGGACGGGCCGATCACATCTCCGAAGTATACGCCTTCAGGGATAATTGACCTATCAATATGAAATATGAACACTTAACTCTTACGGTAGTTGTTTATTCGTCCAATTCGGTAACAATGTTGCGGCCGTGCATAGCTTTCTGTCAGATTTGTTACTACCTAGAACCCCGCGTGACTATGGGTACCCTAACCCATTTCGGGGCTTTCTCGGAGGCTAGTATGACTAGTGACTTCAGTGTCTTCATGGCGGGAAGATTGGCCTTTGCATGATGCATACAAGATTTCATGATGTGATTGTGTATTGTTTCCTTAGTCGGCCGTCCTCGGCCTGATGTCGACACCTGGAGACATAGTTAACCTCGGAAGGATAAAAAAAAAGTTACTAATTATGGCCGCCAACTATGCCGAATCCAATTTTCGATCTTCTTGTTTAGTCTAGCTCGTATTTACACTTTTTAAAAGGTTATACATAGGAAGATCTCTTTCTCGGAATCTGCTTTTTTTCGACGCCTTCGTATACACCTAAAAAATAGTGTCTAAAAACGGCATCTAAAAGAGTATGCGTATATCCCCATCATCCCCCCCCTTCCCAATCGACGGGTTTTCATTTCCCATGACCGTGTTGGACATTACATCCGGCCACGGTGAGATTTACGTCCTCTAGTACTTTACTTTTCTATGAACAAGGATTCCCTCAGTATCAACAATCCGGGCACAGGCGACAGTAGCCACTTCTCTGGCCACTCACCTAGCTCCACCAGCTCCCTCGAAGCAGTCGTCAAGGTTACCTATCTAGATATCATGATCCACATGCTTTTCCCCCATGCACCTTTGAAAGCTGGACGCTAAATGGGGACGTTCTGGGAGATTTTCTCTCCGAGGCCAGCTCCGATTTAAAACGTCATTTCTTCATTTCCCTAGAGATCACCCATTACTCAAGGCCGAAGCTACTAAGTGTTTCTCCGCAGCTGCTGAGATCTTCAGTTTGGCATTGCGGGTCTGCGTCTGAGCGATGCAGTACATCAGTTCGCGCCAGTTGACTGGTTCCGAGACCCAGCAAAATATGATCACCGCAAACGGTACTATGGTATATTACCTGAACCCCTGATACAAATTCACCGGACAACCAAGAGTGAGATCGACATACAGACAAAACGTATCGGGCCTATTCTCCACGAGCTCGAAGGCATCACCCTAGACACGGGCAGTATCCACATGAGCAGATAAAATGATCTCGAGACATAGGGTCAGCATCTCAAAGCAGAGTTCATCTTGCAACTGGATAGTTGGAACGATGATGATCCTACTCTCTATTCCAGGTTTCCTCTTTCGCCTGAGTCGTGGAGTTAGATACTCTATTGGTCTCTAAAAGCAAGCTATATCATGTCTTGTATATATCGCGAGGCCTAGTAAAACCATAATACTGTTGAAAGAGAATGTGTTTTTATTTGTACGTTGATCTGAGAGGGTATTTGACTACGGGCATATTTCTAGATAGATGCCTTCTGGTATACCTGAGATTATTGAATACCCTCTCTAATACCAGGTTTATCATTCATTGAATTGGGATCTTGATTATCGATCCCGTAAAATTGTGACGTAAAAGCCCCTTGTAGATATTGTGAATAAATTGGAGAGATCGATCGCGCTTATAGATAAGACAAGAACCACATGGGCAACAAGGTTTAGGCGCAATGCTGTTCAAGGTTGATAAGCTCAGTCGGAGATAATCCGCGCCAATCATTTGTGACAGATGTTGGGGTAGGGCCTACACCACCTTCCAATCTCGGAACCCTTTACCGTACGTTAACCATGCCAAGCCCCTAACACCAGGTACGGTGGGTTTGGGCCCTTGGCACGGCTACACGGTAAAACGTTCGGATTCTCCGCTGTCGGCCAAATCCCCGTGGGCAGAGCATGAACAAAACTTCGTCACAGGATATTTCTTAGGCAAGTCATTCTTGACCACTAAGACCAAGGATATATGGCTCTTCTGTAGAATAGAAATGATTATCACACTTATATCTCAATTCGGGACTTCAAATTTGGTGAAAGGTCAGGTTAATATACATGAAATCATCTATCATACTATATCTCTAAACGCTAATGACTAGAAATTGCTATATAGCTACCAACTATTGCCGATATCTGGAATTGCTCTCAAGGTGCAAACTCGAACAATGTCGCGAGCTGCTTAGAGCTGTATCCTGCATAAAGAGCAAGTTGCAGCATGATACGAGCCTTCTGGGGGTTCAAGTCCTGTCCACCGTACATATTTCCAGTGCCATCTGTCTGGACAAAGCCCCCCATCGTTCGGCTGGAAACCACGACTTGAGTATCGTATTCCTCAGCCAAGGTCTCAAGCTCATTTCTTCCCGCAGATGTCCAGCCTCCAGCACCCATACCAGCCAAGACCAAACCCTTTGCTCCACTCTCGACTGCGGAGCGAGCCAGCTTGGGGTTCAGCGCTTGATGTCCGAATAGGATGTCCACTTCAGGCAATTCAGTTGCCCCGGAGACGTTGAAGTACTCACGGCCAATAGCCAAGACGGGATGATAGTAGAACAGCGGCTTTGTATCCAGGAAGAAGCCCAGGTATCCCTGTTCGGTTGCTTTGAAGGTGTCTAGGGAATTTGAATGCGTCTTCGTCATGTAGAAGGCGCTTCCAATACGGTCGTTCAGCACAACCATGGTACCACGCCCACGTGCCTCGGGGCTTCCCGCAAGGGTGACAGCTTCCAGTAGGTTCATGGGTCCATCAGCGCTGATAGCTGTTGCCGGGCGCATAGCACCAACCACGACGACGGGCTTGTCGGTCTTGATGGTCAGGTCAAGGAAGAACGCCGATTCCTCCAAGGTATCTGTTCCATGGGTGACAACGGCGCCCTGGCAGTATGGGTCGTCCAGGGCCTCTTGGATCATCGATGTCAAGTTCAGGAGAATTTCCGGGGTGATGGCCCCCGAATCAACATTAGCGACCTGGACACCTTTAACATTTGAGATGTTCCAGAGCTCGGGCACGGCTTCGATCAGGATGTCGACGCCGAGTGCACCGGCGGTGTATCCCGTAGTCGCAGTGTTTGAGGAAGCAGATCCGGCAATGGTGCCTCCAGTAGCGAAAATAGTGATGTTTGGAAGGCTGCTGTTGAAAGGCGTGTCGCGCGCAGTCAGGTGATGAGGGAGAATAGGCAATGTTGGAGCAGCTGCACTACATCCTAAGTAGGACAGGAAAAGGGTCCAGGTGCTTAAATAAGTACGCATCTTGGGAGACATGTGCAAGGTAAGAGGTAAGATGTATGATGAGTGCTGCTCTCTCAAAGGATTTTGCGAGATTCACCGGACCCTTCTTATACTTCACTCAACTGCATATTCATTTATAGCCAAGGCTTGGCAAGTGCTTGGCGATTTTAACTTTGCGATAAGAAACAGAACCAGCCCTGGAGTTTTAGTCGGAGATTCTGCTGCTTATCTTAATTTATTACTCCCGAGGTCGAGTCCCCACAGATACGCTTTAGGGCCATAGGAAGAGCCGGGTCCCGGTTATGCGCGATAATTCTCTTGCAGACATGGTTACTTCTCCAGATGCAGGGGGGTTTACAGGCTAACATGGAGGCAGATCCCTTTGTTTAAAATAGGAAGTTACTAGGTGCTTTCCCGCTTGTTGTAACCTGATATCTCGTGTTGGAGCTCATCGATTTAGGCATCACTATAGAGAAACAACGCATTCAGTAGGCGACTCGCCGTTCCGAAGTAAGTGAGCCGCAGTCTCCGAAATAAATAATAAAGGCGAGAAATTACAATTTTATTTTACTTAATTGAGATATTTCAAGCTCCTAGATAGCAACGCAATTTTCGATCCGACAACAATCTAGCCATTAAATTTCCTTGAAATCGATATACAGTATTTAGAAGCCTTATCAGTAATAGCTATCGACAAAGAATAATATAGAAAATGGATGTGGTTGTTAATATATAAGGGCGTTATACATAGTTTACGACGGAGTATGTGTTTTGGAGATGACTCCAGGGCTTATCGAATACGTTACGTTATGCATCGATGTTTACCACCTGGGCAGGGCTATGCTACCCAGATAAGAACTGACGCCAAGGTCCACGGGTTCTCCGGAGAACCCCAAGTTACCCCAATAACCACTTGCGGAGATAAGAACCCCGACCGTTGCAGTCAGGGGATCGTAGGTTGGTTGAATCGGCCGTTACGGCACATGGCTCACCCGAAATTCTATCTTCGGGCGCAAGCAAGGGTGCCGGGTAGCGCATAGCCTTGGGGTTGATGGTGGGTCGCATCAGCCGCTGCGGCGCTATCGGTTTAAAGTGAGTGCACTGCCGTAGTGGCCGATGAAACCCATCCATGCACTAGCTAATTGGTAACATGCAGACAACGATGGTCAGGCGGGCTTAGGAGATCTACAATATATAAGATCTAATGCAGCCCTCATGCGACCTCTCTACCAATCTATTAACGCAGCGTGGTCATCCAACCTCTCCTAATCACTGCAATGGGGACAATTACCAGCTTATTACAATACCAATCACGGGGTCCCTCGATAGCATGGACATGAAGGCTCACCTTACGGGCCTGGTGATCCGGTCCAGTTACGATAAATATGTGGCCATTGATGCGGTTGAATTTCCTCTTATCGTTCAACTAACAAGGTGCTGGTGAAGTAGTTGCTATAGAACAACTGTAGTATAACCAGAAGCTAATTTGGGGGTTTTGGGGGTATTTTAACCGAAGAAGAGAATTCATATTACTATAACCGTTGCGTTGAAGTCCGACTTACATCGGGAGATGGTAAAGACGCATCACGCGATGGAAAAGATACATCGGGCGACACAAGAGACATTGCTGACGCAGCCGGAGATTCAGCATCGCGCTCTGACAATTCTGCAGGCTGCGGTATTCCCCTACCTGGCAACTCATATATCTCATGCCTACCAGAGTCTGCATGCAACTGGTAAATCTGAGTATCATTACCCGAGAGTTCCCCATGCATTATCGGGGGTATGACAAACACATTTCCGTCCGCCTGCTTAGAGCCAAATTCTGAGATACTTTGAGGCGCGGGCGACTGAAGAATGCTTCGTTCGGGTTCACTAGCAGCATCCTGCTTCTGGTGGCGAAAGAAGAAAAACGCAGCCAGGGCGATCAGTACAACGGCGGTCACTGCGCCGATTGCAATGCCAACTATGGCACCGGTGCTGAGAGAAGAACCGCCCGAAGAATCACCGGAGTCACTGGAAGAGGACGATGTTGGGGTAGATTGGCTGGTGTTGGTGGCTGAGCTCGCAAGAATAGTGACGATGTTCTCTTCCGCGCCCTCATTCCAGGTACACTGCGAGACGTTGAAAATCCGGCGTTCATAATCGGCCGAGAGATATCTAATGGACTAGTCAGCCAGTGTGTTCCAAATTCTTCTTCTGTGTATATATGGGTCTCACGCTTCTTGGAGGAATGTCCTGCCGAGTGTGTATTGTGACTCGTTGGTGGCACGCTTGAGGGGGAAGTAGTAACTCGAATTCTCGACCAATGGATACTCTGCTTGGAGGTTAAATGCATTATATGGAAGAGTGATGGTAGCCGTGTCACCGCCATCTAAAACATCAGATAGTCGGAAAGATACTTGTGCGTTTGTCTCGAGAAGTACAGACTGATGGGAGCTGTTGACGAGGTATAGACCAGTGGCATTGTCCAGGGTGAGACCGAAGGCAGACTCAAAGGCATCCACGGCGGTGTCTGGAAGCCAAATGTTGGGATCCGTGGAGTCGATGTATATGTTAATCGGTGAAGACAAGAGAGATTCTGTGTTCTCTCCGCTGTAGGTTATGGCTTGAAGGGCCACCACTAGGTCACGCGTGATATCGTCTGCCATTGTGAAAGTGACCGAATTATCAGTGAAGCGAGACGTGTCGTAGCCAGAGAAAATTAGTTGGCCATAGACCTTCTTCAGCCCTGTATCTATGAATTAACTTCTAGTTCGAGAATGAATATCTTGTTGGTCGGATTTGATGCTCACGGTATATCGCTCCAGCAGTGTAACTCCAACTCAGGCTGGGGATAACATTATTCTCTTTCAACGTTGTGATGTATGAAGGGGCAGAGAAATTCCCCAATGAGGTAAAGTTTAATGGCTGCGTGCTAATACCGAAGATCCCTCTAAGGTTGAGTGAGCAAGCTGCGGAAGTCATGCCAATTGATATGCCTTCTTACAAATAGAAGGGTTCCGCCGTACCAAAACCACCGACTGTCTGATTTTTGAGCGTATGTCCTCCAGATCCGTCGACAAGACCGATCCCAAGCGTATCCAAACCAAACAGAGCTGGCTGCACATATCCAAGGTTCGCTTCGAAGCCGGATTCTCCACCAGTGAGTTCGAAGGTCCCTAATTGATCCCACGTCGATGACCCATTCGGGGTGAACATAAGACCTCTCGAGACAGCGCAATCTGATGGCACATTTTTCATCACTGCCTCGGAACAGCCATATTGCGACAGGACGACCAGAGTTGCCGGGGCGGCTGTAGAGATGAGGACTCGAGCGTCCTGTTCTGGGCTGCCAACTCGAACACTGAAGCTACTCCATGGTCCATCATTACCCTCACTAGGAGCTACGTTAGTAAGTGACTTCTAATTAACGACTTACGGGGCGATACTAACAAATACTGGCTGGGTGGGATCACGAGGGCCGACGCTTGACATGCTGTAACAAAGTATATCACAAGCCCTACCATAGGTATAAAAGAGTACTGATCAAAGCCCATATTCAAGCTGTAGAGAGGACACCCCTCTGACAGACAGCCCCGAAAAAGGTCTTCCTGGGAGGTGGGCTTGACAGGAAGCGGGGCTGTCGAAGCCGTGCTAAAACTTTTGGTATAATAGTAGCGAAACTCCCTCTGTACGAGGTAAGACCTCGGAAATAGGGGCAAATAATTTAGCCCCCCAAGGACACCAATGAATAACAAGAGCCTCACACTACGGAGTAGCCAGTCCTGTTTAGTAGGTTTGACCGGCCCAATTTTCAGGGAAGGCTTAAACCAGGAAATAATAGCCCGCCCAATACGAAGTACGGCGGGGGCTATTTTTTATTTTTATTTTATTTTTGGGTATTCTTTTTATAAAGGCGCAAGAAATGATCATAATGAGACTATGGAGTGCACTTGTACGGAGTATTTCTTAGCGGTCCGAGGGTTTAGCCAAACATTCTCAAGAAATGCAGGGAAATGCAGATTTAATATACCGCTAACCTTTAGAGAGTTTAGAGGCTTCAGTCTAAAGTATTGGTCTAGGGGATTGAGGATGGAAGATTGTCAGATAGCGAATCTCTTACGGACTACGGAGTAAACAATGTACAATTAGTAAAGCAGAACTTTACACCAAAGGAATCATTCTACATCTGGTTCAAGTACTCCGTATTTTTGCTATCTTATTCCTTATTTGAACTGTTTAGAAAATAAATAGTCTTTCAATTCAATTCATAAAAAAGAAAGTAGAACGAGCCGACCCGAACATTCTAAGGTTCCCAACTAAATATCCGCATCTCCAACAATACCAGACCTGAGACGTTTTGCCGTTGAGGCTTTTGTAGCGTGTTTTTTTTTTCTCCTTCAATTTTTTTTTCAAACCTCGTGCTGCATATGTAGTCCGAGGTCTGTACACAGTAATTTCCTCCATATACTAGTTACGGTGTGAAAAGACGTGTATTTATTGAGAACTATCACATTGATGGTAATCTCATGTATCGGGGCTATGATACTTGGCAATCTAATCTCCACAAAACTCGCGAAAAGGGTCAATTATGGTAGAACTGTGGATAACAAGCGACGAGTGGGAGTGAGCTAAGTGCCCTGTCATCTCAGCCTCAACCCATAATTGGTCCATATCAGGGGTTATCCCCGAAGTCTCTGCATAGTAAGCGAACTTTGACAGACAAGGCACATTTTCGTGCCCATTTAGGTGGTGATTATTACCTAAATAGGAAATAGGATAGGTGACACCGCGTACCTACATATGTACTTTGTGCTCCGTACGGAGTGCTCCGTATCTCACTATATATTTTTCAGTATACAACCGGAAAACTGTAAAAAAGGAAAATGGAAAGGGAAAACCCACTAGTGCTGCACTTGTCAAGGGCTAAAGTGAGGCTAGCCACGACGGTGTATTCTCATTCTGGAGTCTTCTTTCAAGTCAATAATAGTAATGCCTTTCCTCGAGGCTCTGCACTCTGGTAATTTAATAAAATCCCCAGCGGCCGATCCAAAATATCCCATGTTTAGATCGTTTGTTTTTGTTCCAGTCACTCCTTAAGTCTGTTTATGCATTTTGTTCGCCATAATGTTACTTTTCATTTTGCTTGCCTTCTGGGCAACGGGCTCGTATGGTGAAGGTAGGGAGAAATCAATGTATCACCCGGTGCCAATGCACTGACAAATGCTCAGCTATTGGTATTCACCCTTTGAGAAGCTCGTCCACTCCTCTCATCAAAGGCTCAACCATCGCTACAAGGTCTAGTAGTGCTGTGCCGTCAACCATTACCACGGGGCCTGTCACAGAGAACCCAGTCCCCATTAACACATGCTCGTACTACAATGAAACCGAGTCGCGGACATTATGGAACGATCCCTGGTGCAGCATGTGAGCTTGAGTCGCTGTCAGCTTTGTATCTGTAATTCTGACTTGACTTAGGTACGCTGGAATGGTTGACTTGGTCTACTGGCCTACTGACAACAATTCATACCCATCAACTTTCTACGACGATAAACATGATTACACATAGTACGTGATTGAATCTAATTTTATGCAGCACATGCTAACGAAGAAAAGTTCGTCGCCGTCGGTTTACATGGTAGTAAGCACATTATATGGCTGGAATGATTGTGGCTTGTTGGGGCCTTCGACCAGCAGAGAGGTCTTTGCCTTTGACCTGACTGAGGTGTCCACACTTGTTCCATACACTGCCTTGACAGAAACGGCGCGACGAGCGACCAGACAGCTCTACCTCAGCGATTTGGGCGTAAAGTGCTCGACTGACTTCAATACGACGGCACTAGCGACTCAAACACACCCAATGAAAGCCGATGATACCCGCTGCAACCCCTTCCTCGTGGTTCCTGCCGCTGTCAAGCGATATGGATACCCATACTGGTTGCACTGCGGCGTCGCGAACAACAAGTTTGGTCTGTTTGACCCTCCATATGCCATACCTCCAACCGATGAGTTGATACCCACGACAACAACTGCTACTACCGACTCGGAAACTGAGAACACCACAGCTGCCACCTCTGCTTCCACCAAGGCAACGGCTCCCACTAATCCAGAGGCCACTGAGTCTGCTACTACGGCAGCCGAGGCTACTACCACAGCTGACCCAGTCAACACCAGCTTCAGTGATGTCGCCTCCAGTGATGCCAGCCCCAATGATTCCAACCCTCAGACAACGGACTCTGCTACTGCCAATCCAGAGAGCACAAGTACCAATGATCCCAGCAACTCAGCCAGTGGAGATGCTGTCATTATTAATCCAGGAAATACTGATACTGCTGCAACCAACCCCGGTGATTCCCAAACGTCCACAGGCGCTGAGGGCCAATTCGACCCGACCGATTACACGGGTGGTGTTTTGTCTACAACCTCTACACAAGTCGTCAGTCTGGGAACAGGCGGTCTTGAAGTCATCAACCCCGACACCGGAGTAACAATAACCTCTGCCTATGGAAACACAGTGCCTGCTACAACAGCCGTCTACAACGGACAAACATTGACTCTTGGAGGCTCGGCTGCGACGGTTACCAATGTTGTGGTCGTGATATCTCCTGGTCTAGCGGGCCCAACTGGCGTTACCGACGTTGCCAACACCGCAGGCTCGGGAGCCAATAGCGATGGCGCTGTGTCGACAACATCTACACAGGTAGTTAGTCTCGGAGCAGGGGGGCTTGTGATAGTGAATCCCGACACCGGAGTAACAATAACCTCTGCCTACAGTAACACGGTGCCTACTACCGCTGTCTACAGTGGACAAACTTTATCTCTCGGGGGCCCAGCTGTGACGGTTACCAATATCGTTGGTGTATCTCCTGATTACGCGAGCCAAACCGGTGCTTCCAACGTTGCAGACACTGTATCGACAACTACACAAGTAGTTAGTCTCGGAGCAGGAGGGCTTGTGATCGTGAATCCCGACACCGGAGTAACCATAACCTCTGCCTACGACAACGGGGTACCTACTACCGCTGTCTACAATGGGCAAACTTTGTCTCTTGGGGGCCCTGCTGTGACAGTTACCAATGTCGCCAGCGTATTTTATGACGCCGCAAGCCAAACCGGTGCTGCCAATGCTTCAGCCTCGGGTGCCAGTACCGACAGCGCTGCATCGACAACTACTGAACAGGTAGTCAGCCTCGGTGCAGGCGGTCTTGTGATCGTCAACCTCGACACTGGAATCACAATCACATCTGTTTACGGTACTACGGTACCTACTATAGCTGTCTATGACGGACAAACTTTAGTTCTCGGAGGCCCGGCTGTGACAATTATCAATGCTGCCGACAAACCTTCTAGTCCCGCGAATGTCAGCACATCCAGCACCATCACTGCTACCGCCACCACCGCTTCAAACTCAAATCATACCAATGTCAGCAGTGTATCTTCTAGTCACGCGGACACAACTAGCGCTACCCATACTACAAGCTCGGGCAACACGTCTATTGCAACTTCTACTACAGCACCGGTCTCCGCAGCGAACAAGATTTCCGGAGGCTTTGTTGGGCTGCTACTCACCCTGATGGCTTCCATCTGGGTGTAGATAATGCAACAATATGCGATAAATGAAGTGGGATGCAGCAGTTTGATTTAACATTTTAATTTTGGTTTTTTTCTTTTTACCCATCTCGACCATGTCAGTCTGGGACTTTCTTGTCATCCTCTTGCGTTTCCCCTTGCGATGATCGATCATTAAATTATTAATACCAAAAAATAGTCTCAAATGGGACACTTGAACACTATCTCCACAACATAAAAAGGGACTAGGGGCTTATTAGTTGCATTTGCTGTATGTACTAAATGATATCCAGCCTTGCTCGAGAGATTCTGGGGGTGACGAGCTAGTAGTGCCCATGGTATCCTTCCAGTGAATATTATACAATAACGTGGGAAAATTGCACGTTGAGTAAGAAGATAGGTTTTTAGGTAGCCGTGCCGTGAAAGCCAATGATATGGCGAGGGGATAGTATCAACAAATCAGCGTAGTTATATCAAAGAAGTGCTGTCTATCTATAGCGAGAACCTGGCCCAGGAGGGAAGAATAGTGCACGAAGTACGTTAAAAGCAAAATATAATACTCAGTAGATCAGGAGAGTGACACCTCTCTACATAAAGTATCATCTTGTGGAGTACAGATTTGTATATCCCGCAGTGGGATAATTGGCCATATACATAGTCAGACCTCATTAAAATCCGAAAATTCGCGGTGATAATCTACAGAGTCTTCTAAACACAGAGGTTTATAATATTGAGCCGCTCCGGCCTTGGCATTTTGGGTTATGGAACGGTACCAAAGGCCCCGCCCCGGGGCCGCCATGACGGTATACGTAAGCTCACTCTGGCACCGCCCAGGTAGTTATGTTTAAAACCGGCATGATTCTAACTAAAAGGGCGGAGTCCAGGGTCAAGCCAATAGAATCATGGTAATCACGTGAGCTGTATGCCAACCCCTTTGGAAAAGAAAGTTTATCAAATCAAGGGACACTAAGCCTAATTAGGTAGGCTCGTTGTTTACTATTCATTACGTAAGCAAATGTTTCAAAAATCAGGGACAGCCGTGGAAATTCATTGAGATTCAGCGGAGTAGTAAGTAACGAGGTAATCAAATATGAGTGTACTTTTTAGCCTTCCTCAGCCACTATAAAAGTGGCAAAGCCGTCGGTACTTGCCCTGGTGGGGTTCCACAGCCAGGGCGGAGTGGAAAAGCCCCAGCCGCGCGGCTGGCATTGCTGGGATTGCGTAGATCGGCCCAAAAATAACTTCGCGAATAATGTGACTGCCTGACTACTTCACCTTTCTTTCATCTCTTCCTTGTTCTTTGTTATATATACTCTTCATCGTTGAGGCTCCCTACAATACTTTTGACAAGTTCATGGATCCGCCCTTCAGGCCCCGAAACTAAAACAAAAACTCAATCCCCAGGCACCATGGCCTCCAACGAATACTATCACGCGAATATCCCACAACCCCCTAGCTACGACCAAGCTGTCCCCGGGAAGACAGATCAAACTCTAAACGCAGCTCCTGGAGTTGGCTACGCGAGCCACAGTTACAACCACGACGATCCCTCAGCCCCCTATCACAACCGAGAAAGTCAACAGTCATTTGCCTCGGACAATGCACATTACCAGACCGCCGGACGGGCAACGGAAGGCGACAACTACGCAGAAAACATCCCTTTGAAGACCAATACCCAGTATGCAAATAATCCAGATTGGATGCGCCAACAAACGCACTACCCTCCATCACCAGGGGGTCTCGAGGATAGCCGACAACGTGATCTCCGAAAGAAGAAGGGATTTTTCAGCAAGAAGATTGCTTGGGTGACATACATCTTGACATTAGCCCAGATTATCGTATTTATTATCGAACTGGTCAAGAATGGTGGGTTCTGTCCTTGCCTCGGTACTATTCCAACATTTCGGATCAACTAATGAAATCTTTTCCGCTTTAGCCCAGTTGACAGGGTCAGTTATCGAAACCAAGCCCTCCTTCAACCCGATGATCGGGCCGTCCCCGTACGTCCAAATCTACATGGGGGCACGCTACAATCCGTGCATGAAGAACGTTGAGGGGGTCCAGAATGCCAATCATACCCTTCTATGGCTCTGTCCAAATGCCACATCGACGACGGTGACCGGAACGGGGTGTTCATTGTCTGAAGTGTGCGGCTTTAGCGGTGTCCCCAACCCCCATGTTGGAGGATCTACGGATGATCAGCCGTCTCCCAACCAGTGGTACAGATTCATCATCCCCATCTTCATGCACGGAGGATTCATCCACATCGGGTTCAACCTGTTGGTTCAGCTGACCATGGGCGCGGACATGGAGCGCATGGTTGGCATGTGGCGCTACGCCTTGACCTACTTCGCCAGCGGTATCTTCGGGTTCGTTTTGGGTGGAAACTATGCGGCGCAGCTCGATCCCAGTGATGGCTGTTCAGGCGCCCTATTCGGTATCCTTGCACTTTACCTTCTTGACCTGCTCTACGACTGGCCCCAGCGCGAATCTCCATGGGTTGAACTTATCATCATGATCCTCGGAGTGGCTGTCTCCTTCGTTCTTGGTCTTCTCCCAGGATTGGACAACTTCTCCCACATTGGTGGGTTCATCATGGGTCTCGCCATTGGCCTGACTATCATGCGGTCGCCTAATGCTCTCCGTGAGCGGATCGGTCTGGCACGACAGCCATATGTTGCCATGAGCGGCGGAGCTGGCCAGGCTGGCCCCGAGCAAAAGACCACCTCCCTCATGGATTTCTTCAAGAGCAAACGAGCCCTCACCTCCAGCCCGGCAGAAACCCCCCGGTTCTACAAATGGCCTGCTCGGCTTCTTCAAGGGCCGCAAGCCTCTTTGGTGGCTGTGGTGGGTGGTCCGTGCCGGTGCCCTGGTTGCGGTCCTAGTCGGTTTCATTATGTTGATCGTCAATTTTTATAAATACCCCTCCTCGAACTGCTCCTGGTGCTACCGGTTGAGTTGCATGCCCGTCAATGGTTGGTGTAAGCAGAACAACCTGCCTTAACCCAGCTTTTAATTTGTTTTGACTTCTTTTGTTCGTCAACATTCAAGAACAGTTCTCATTTCAAGGCAGAGCTTCGATGTTCGACGAATCTATTAGCATTTATGACTGTAAATAGAGTTTATATTCACATCTATACCAATATGTATATAGAAAACTATGTAGGATCCTACAATTTGATTATCATCTGCTCTTGAAAGTGTTCGCCGGAAATAGAATACTATGTTGCAGTACATATTGTCATGACGATATACTACTTTCGTGTCCCCAGCTATTTATGTACGCACGTATCGTGGCTGGGGTTGTGGCGGAGCATGTCGAAATTACAAATACCGTCCTCGGCTTACCGTACCGTACCTCACCTGATAGGCTCGTTTCATCGCATATAGGTAACCCTCAATTCAATCCTGAGACTTGTCTTATAATTCCCAATGCTTTGTGTATAATGGGACCGATCCCGTCAAACTCCTTCATGCACAACCTTCTTTCCCCTGTGTCATAAACTCTCAGTCATGGCCACCTTGGCCTCGTCACCCCCAACCTCACCCTCGTGGCCCAAACGACGCCCTCGAGCCTGGGCCCTTCGCTGCGAACGATACTGTTGCGCAGCAGCAAGCTGCTTCCCACTCGCCTTTGTCTACGGAATCACCACATGGGCTGTATACGTTGCCGTCAGCATCGGTATCAGGCCCTCACGGAGTGACTGGATCGGTATGCAGGATAGCGCCTGGACTCGGACTCGAACGGGACTATGTATCTGGGTGTACTAACGTGTCGGCAGGTGTCCCAAGTTCCATCCTCGCATTTTCCCTCTATGCCATCCTCAACTTTTCATATACCGTTGCCGTTTTCACCGATCCTGGGTCGCCGCTCTCTACCTCTGGCGGAGGAGACAACCATGAGTACAGCGCCCTCCCTCCGTCCGAGCACCCGGAGTTCACATCATATACCGTCACCTCGACTGGTGAATCACGATACTGCAAAAAATGTCAGTGTCCGAAGCCAGACCGCGCGCACCACTGCTCAACGTGCAAACGATGTGTCCTGAAGATGGACCACCATTGTCCCTGGCTGGCAACCTGTGTTGGACTGCATAATTACAAGGCATTCCTGCTGTTTTTGATCTACACCTCGATATTCTGTTGGGTTGTTTTTGGCATTGCAGCGGTCTGGACCTGGACCGAGATTTTGAACGATACTCAGTACATGGATACAATCCTTCCGGTCAATGTAGTTCTGCTGGCTATTTTGGGTGGCATCATTGGACTGGTTCTGAGTGGATTCACAGCCTGGCATATCAGTCTGGCTATACGGGGCACCACTACCATTGAATGTTTGGAAAAGACACGGTATGTGTCGCCTCTGCGCAAAGCGCTAGACAGACAGCGAAATGAGCAGGCACCGAACAATAACTATTGGGGCGAGCCGGGCGAGGAAAGCATATCTACACGACTGCAAGGATATGGGAATCAGATTATCGATGCCCACGCCAATGCAATCCCGGGCGTCACTCGGGCTGAAGAGGGCGAAGAGCATATGTATTCTGTACCGCGCCCATCAGGGCCTCCGGATGGTTCCGGCAACGGCCTCACGCCAGCGCAGCAAGCACTGACTCGGTCATACGCCGAAATGGAGCGGCAGCGTGAATACTCACGGTACGAGGAGTACCAAAACGACGAAGACAACGAAAAAATGCCCAGCGCGTTTGATCACGGCTGGCGGCGTAACCTACTCCACCTCTTCGGGGAACGGCCGCTCCTATGGGCTGTGCCCATTTGCAATACCACAGGCGACGGCTGGCGCTGGGAGCCGAGCGCCAAATTCCTAGAAGCGCGTGAGCGTATGCGACAGCGTCGAGAACAGGAAACCAACGAGGAGCAGCAGTACTACCGCGAGTTGTACCAGCGCAATCTAGACAACAGTAATAGTTGGAGGGAAGGTGCTACACAGCCGCAACGTGTTCCAAACCGTGGTAGCACGCCTGAACGGCCTCCGACCTCCGTGTCAATGCAGACTCTTGCGCCCCGGTCGCCGCGGCCGAGGCCTGGCGATAGTGATTATGGGGATGACGTGGAAGGGAACGGGTTGTTGGATCCGGGCGCTGGCCGCCAGCAGGCCACACGTCATAACGCTGATGAATGGCGGGACTGGGATTAAAACTAAGTGATTGTCTGTAGCATTTCTATGTAGCATGTTGAAGGCGTTGTATGTGTATCGTTTGCGAAAGTTATGGTATCTATGAAGCGTATGCACAACAGCCTTGGTATGGATATACCATAAGACTTTTACGGTCATTAGAACATTATCCCTATTATACTGGTCTACTTCTATAAGATAGTATATAGTAAGTAGTATGTTATTCCAAGGTTGTATACATTGTCACTGCCCAATAACATCATCCCCGCAAAAACCGGGACAACTGTCATCTTTTATCTCTTATCGGCCCTCTTCCTCCAATTCAACGGAACACATCCCCAACTCCAACTCCAACTCCAATCCCAATCCCAATCCCAATCCCATACAAAGACACAAAGAACCAAAATGTCATCCCCCTCAACCCGCCGCCTCCTAAAAGAAAGCACCGACCTCCACAAAAACCCAAGCCCATACTTCACAGCCGCCCCAATAAGCGACACAAACCTCCACGACTGGCACTTCACTCTCGCCGGACCCCCCTCCCCATCCCCCTACGCCCAAGGCCTCTACCACGGCCGCATCACCTTCCCAGCCACATACCCACTCCGACCTCCCTCCTTCCGCTTTCTCACACCTTCCGGCCGCTTCGAAGTCAACCGCGAAATCTGTCTCAGCATCTCCGGCCACCACGAGGAGACATGGCAACCGGCTTGGGGAGTGCGCACTGCACTACTGGGTATCCGTTCCGAGATCTTCGGTTCGGAGAGTCAGGGTCAGGTTGGGGGCATGGAGGGAAGTGAGGAGCTGCGGAGGGAGTATGCGCGGTTATCACTTGACTGGTCTTGTCGGGAGTGTGGGGTTGGGAATCTTGAGGCTATGAGGGAGTTGTGGAGTGTTTGTCGGGAGCGCGGGGTTGAGATTGAGGGTGAGGTTGCTGCTGTTGATGGGGGTGATGGTGTCGAGGGCCAGCGGGAGACGGCTGAGGCTGGGCCTGATGCTCTGGCTCCGGCTTCTAGTGCCAATGATCTTCCTATTGGTATTGAGGACCAGACTACAGGGGATGGTGCTGTAGAGAGTACCCCGGCTGTGGAATCTGTTCCGGTTCCTTCTGCGTCTGCACCGGTGCCCGCGGTACAGGCACAGGCACAGGCACAGGCACAGGCACAGGCACAGGCACAGACACAGGCACCGCTATCTACTATACAAACACCGGCTGTTATTCCCACACGGACGAGCTCCTCGCAATTAGCTTCAACGGAGTCTTCATCGGAAGGTGTCTGGCTGGACCGGGCTATCATTGGTGTGATCGTTGCTCTTGTCTTGTTGATATTGCGCCGAGTGGCGAACGTCGACGATCTATAAAGGGCTTTTGGATTAATGTTGAGCGTTTTCTTTCTTCCGGCAGCTGTGTGGGCGTTTGGGATTACATTACAGGAGTTGGTACATGATATATACCTCTAGATAGTTTTTGAAATCAAGTACACAGAATCATTGAAGTAAACCTTATTTTTGTTAACTTTTTTTTCGAGAAGTATGGTTAGCAAGTATGTTCATTCATATATATCTAAAATAGCTAACGCGTCTGGATTTTGATATCCACATGGGCAACACGCAAGTAATCCCTAGCGGTGCCTGCCCTGGAAACTTGGAATCATTAAATCATAAGTCGGGACTCGATTTGGAAACCACCCCCTACTCCCACCCCTACTCCCACCCCCTCCCCGGCGAGGGGACCGCTAACCTAAGAGGCTACTAATTGGCTGATTGAAAATGTTCATGGGACCATTAATGACGAGATGCAACCTGTGCAATCTGCACAAACTATTCGGATTTCAAGCCACTAATTTGAACGACAAAAGGCTATAAATATGGCCACACGCCGGTTTTTTTCAGTATATTAATCACATTCATGCAACTATATCATGCAGCTGCACAAGTCTTGCTACTCTTGTTACTCAAGTCAACATGGTGAACCGTATCGCCATATATGCCCACCGCGGCTGGATGGGGTCTAAAATTATCATGGCCCTTGCTGAATCTCCTACCTCTGTCAAGGTTCTTTGCCGTCCGGAATCAAGCACTGTGTGATTGCCTTCCAATGTGAGCGCAAATACTGTAGACATAACGGATCAAGTGGGTTTGATTGCTGCTCTACGGGATATCGACATTGTTATGATTTTACCCTGCCTCTTTTACCATAGTACCTTCACAGCTAACCTTTCCCTTGGCTCGCTGGTTGGCTTCGAAGCCAGCATTACTTGGTTGAGGCTATTCCGAAAACTAAAGTCCAATTATTTGTACCGTCCGATTTCGCCGTCAGATATGCCGGACAAGGGCTAGGTATTGATGTCATAAGGGCGATTGTTCGAAGTTGAAGAAACCGCAAAGCGCCTCGGCGTGAAAACAACAACGGTATGGACTGGGAACTTGGCAGAATTCGCGCTCGGCACACCGTATGGAGTTGATCTGGTATGCATTGAATGACCGCTGACGACTTCAAATCCCTGCAGAGTTATGGGCGTCGATCGCTTAAATAATCATATCATCTTCACAGGTGACAGTGCTTCACTGCCATTGAACCTCTGGTGTGTAAATCTCTCTATAACACGAACCCTCTGTCGTTAACAATCCTTAGCACACGGAACTATGTTGCAGCAGCTTATGCATCCATTTTTGGTGACACTCTGATTGAAAAACTGGAGAAACGCACCTTAAGTCTTTCAGAGCTAAGACCCACTAGCCATGATATACAGAAAGCACTTACAACTAAATTTGGAGTGCCTCCTGCCCAGTGCACAGTTACTATTGAGAAGGTTTCGGTCCAGGTGGATGAGATGATAAAGAAAGGAGAACCTGGCGCGCTTGCTTGGTATACTCGTAGAAACTGCGGCAACGGTGATCAGCTCAAATTCTTAGGTACCGATATCTGGGAGGTTGAAGGATACATCAAGGCATCTGTTGAGGACCTACTTGTGGAGGATAGGTTGGAAGAGTATCGTCCCGTCCGGAAGGAGTTACTCGACGTCCTGTATGTTGAATACGCGAGTTGTGTGTAAAATCCAGCTTGCCTTTTGCTGGAACATCTTGGAGGCATATTTTGATAACAGCATTGCTCTTTATTGCAAATATATTGTCTACTTCCAAATTCCATAGCATTATGATGGCATGGGAATCTGCTGACTCTTACAAGGCCATTTTTGAAGGACAGCTTTCTTCAATGCTTTTCAGGTAGTGCGGTAGCTGTTGACTCACTGCTAGTTCTTTCTTCTTCCCTTTTTTCCCCCGATGTCTGAAATACTCGTTGAACTGCTGCCTAAATGGGCAATGAAGAGTGTATTCGCTTCTAGATTGAGCGTCGTAACAATACTTAGTAATGCAGATTGTGACTTTATTCAGCATTCAAGTGATTGATAGTACTGGTAAAATTTACGCTTACTATAATTGGGATATACGCCCTAGTTATATAATATAGACAATCTAATTAATTTCGATTTTGCTGCATGTCTCAAATATTTACGCCTTAATAAAGTGTAAGATTTGGAAGCGCTGTCAAAAGAATACAGAGCCTAAAAAAGGTATACCTTTCTCTATATCCGCACGAAATCGAACACTTAGATGTGGCTAGTCCACCTTAGCCGTGTGGAAGGTATCCAAGGGTCGCAAAGCTAAACTATATTTGTAGGGCATTTAAGTATATGCAAGAAGATATTTTCATTTCCGTGTAGTTGATAATTCAATGAATGATCAAGCAGTAAAAATTTCGGGGGTTGATAGAAGTATATCATTGTTCCTCAGAGTGGTGGCCAATCGAAGTCCTTCCAAGGCTGTCCATGAGTGCTTTTGGCAAGATCAGCCAAGGTCTCCCATTTCCATAACTGCTCATCCCGATTGACCAAATCATTATCATTTCCCAGGCCATCAGGTGTATGTCTAATGTTCCCTTCGCCCATCAAGAACCTCAAAAAAGCGGCCGGATCCTTCGACAACTTGGCCGTTGTCTCCTGCTTGTACTTGTTCAGGTCGATTTCCTCGACATCCACTTTTCCAGCACCTGCAGCACCCATTATATCTGCAACTTCCGAAATGGAGCGAGTATCTCCGGCAACGTGAACTCTGTCTGGTATTAAATTAGGGGCCAAAGTGCACAGTGAAGCAACGGTCTTGCCCACATCACCCAAGGATGTGAACGAAATAGGAGTCTTCGCAGACCCCACACTTTCATACCGGCTGTGCTTTGTGTCCAGCCCAAACCATGGTCCTATGCTGTCTTCTAGGAAGAGTCCACAGAAAACACGGCACACTTTTTTATGGGGTATGAGTTCTCGAGCAAGCTCCACGTGTCGTTTCTTTTGGTCCCATTCGAGATGGGGAAAGTCATGTACATAATGGTCCACTCCAAACTCTGACGGAAGATAGACCTGCACATTTGTGTTGGGCAGCGCACGGAGGAGCTTCTCTTTGAATGCATGTCCAGATGCTCCGATAGTGTTGACTAGGATGTCGACTCCTTCAAGGGCTTCATGAAGATGTTCTTCGGTATACGTGCGTGTGGTGACCTTCACGTTGGTGACCGGCGATAGGAATTCTTTACTGTTCCCACCGTGCCGTGATAGGATAATGATTTCTGAAAAATCGTTTTTCAGAGGAGAGGAGAGGAATGCAGAAACAACATGTTTTCCCAGATGGCCAGTTGCCCCGGCTATGGCGACTACCGAACCAGAGGTCATAACTAATTTGCTTAGTTGCTCAAAAATATTGATGAAAATTGATTTGAATATTTCATTCACTGTCACTCGTCACAGGCTCCTGTCTGGGTATTTATATGCTTAAGAACATTGACCAAGGAATGATTCTAGACTGGGCCGAACAAACATCTTAAACCTTTACAATACCCACTTTGGCTTGAAAGGGAAAGTTTTGCAATCTGGCAAACATACCAAATGATGCAAAATACGTCATATGCCAATTGAGGGCTGTTTGCATCCAGGTCACTTCTGCTGATTGGCTGTATCCCAAAGGTTTATACTGTCGGTAGGGTATATTATGAAATCACAAATATAATACAGATTTTAGTAGAACTAGTGACAATAAAAGGGCCGTCTCGAAAAACAATCCTAACAAGACCGGCTAGCCGAGGAAGGTAACAAAATAACATCGGCAGGGGTGAGCTGGAGCGGGCGCGAATCAATCAGAGAAGTGCGTAACAGGAAAATCCATATTCTTCTTCTTTCCACGTCTCACGTACATGTTCATACGTATTGACTATCCTTCAAACGGGCCCGGAAGAGCGGATCATCCGCTTACCAAGTCAGATTTGTGATAACCGGAATCATTTCCGCTGTTTGTATAGACCGCAAATCCTCGAGTATATTTTTACAGACTAACCTGCTCACATAGGATCTTGATCAAGACAGCAACTTTGAAAACCCGTCCTTATAGTTACGTCAAAGAGAGAAAATTAGTTGGGCACAGATTTAGCAATGTCTGCTATCGACCCTCAGTATCTGCCCTCCGCTCGACTCGAGAATGCCCTTCGATACCTCATAAAGCAACAGCACTCGAATGAGCCAACTTGTCAATGCGGAAACCACAGACATACGGAATATATCTTGGAGTCGGACACCTGGTCACAGCTAGAGGCCTTGCAACGACTGCTATGTATACGCCCGGCAACCCCCAAACTGCCACCCGAGATTTTGGACGACATCGAAGCAGTCATTGCATACCGAAACAGTCATGCCTTGATGAAATCCGCGACTACAATTACCCCCACTGTGATACTTCAACATCAATCCTTGAATTCCAGTTCCATCACGGTCTCATGCTGGAGAGGCGATATCACAGTCCTTACCGATGTCACAGCAATTGTCAATGCAGCCAATGGCCAATTACAAGGCTGTTTCCGCCCAGAGCACCGCTGCATTGACAATGTTATCCATTCAGCTGCGGGGCCCCGCCTTCGCGATGCCTGCCATTCTATCATTGAATCTCAGGGACGCATAGAACCTGTAGGCTCTGCCAAAGTCACCCCAGGATTCCTCCTTCCTGCTCAATGGGTTTTGCATACTGTTGGTCCTCAGCTGCAACCCAGACAGAAGCCTCAACCACATCATAAAGCTCAACTAGCATCTTGCTACAGATCCTGCCTGGACGCTACCGAATCACTGCCTCCTCGTGCAGACGGCCGCAAGGTGGTTGCATTTTGTTGCATATCAACGGGTCTATTCGCATTCCCTTCCGACCTAGCGGCAGAGATTGCCGTGGATACCGTAATATCCTGGTACATGGAGAACACCGAGACGACAATTACAGATATTATCTTCGATACATTTCTTGAAAAGGATTACTCGATCTATGAAGCGATACTGTCTCGGCCACAATGTTCCATCTCCAACAATTCAAACCTCGTCCGCAAAACCCCGCTACCATCCCCGTCAGCTCCATCATACAACTTATTTCCCAGTCCCGCTGTGGAACAGGCTCGCACTTGGATTGAAGAGGCATCTCACTTGATTATCTCAGCTGGTGCAGGTCTCTCCGCCGCCACAGGCTTAGACTACACATCCACCGAACTCTTCGACAGGAATTTCTCTGCATTCAAGTCGAAAGGCCTGCGCAGATTATATGATGTCTTCGGATTTGATGGCTGGGACAGCCCGGCCCAGAAATGGGGCTACTACATTCTCCATTTAAATATGGTGCGATCCTGGCCTGTGTCACCGGCCTACGGCACTCTTCTTGATCTAGTGAACAAATTCCCTTCAAACTTCTTTGTTCGGACGACAAATGCGGATAATTTCTTTGAGAAGAATGGGTTTGACCCGAATAGAATATCGACTCCACAGGGATCATACCGCTTTTTACAGTGTTACAACAAATGTCGAGTCGATGCGGTATTTTCATCGGACACAATTGTTGACGCTGCATTGCCGCATATTGATCCCGTCACTGGGTTGTTAATGGACGAGACTAAAATACCCCATTGTCGGTTCTGTGGTGGGGAGTTGACACTTTGTGTTCGTGGTGGGAATTATTTCAATTCCGCGCCTTTTCGGGAGCAAAACATGAAATGGGAGCAATTTTTGAAGAACACGGAAGAAGATGTAAGCCTAGCAGATGATGAGTCGGGTCGAATTGTTATACTGGAACTAGGTGTTGGGTTGAATACGCCTGGTGTGTTGCGATGGCCAAATGAGGAATTAGTGTGTGAGTCAAGAAATCGGGCATTCCGATTGATCCGTGTTGGAATGGCCGCTTCTGGCTGTGTTCCTTGGGCGTTGGAGGATAAGGGCCTGGCTGTTGGGATCTCAGGGGAAATTAACACGGCGTTGAATTTGTTGCTGAAATGAACATGGAGAGAGATACCATCAAGAGAATGCAGCCCACGTTCCCTATTGAATATTAGGTTTGCTTTGAAAACCCATGGGCTGTGGCCAACAGCCGTTGCACGCACTCGAATATCTTCTCCCTTCTCCCTTCTACGAAAAGTCCGCCTGCATATCGGTCAATACCTCGTAGTCTGCGCCGCTCAGAGCGTGAAGATGACCCTTCCCTTTCGCCACATGGGCTGTGATCGTTCACGTTGGATACTAAGAAGTGCTAAGGCAAGTATAACCGGAACCCATCTAACCTAACTGTGACCAGTTTGCAGTGCGTAACACCATGAATCGAACAAAGTGAGAGAAAAGGATTTTCGCACTAAGCTTTGTGATCAGTTTATTTCTATCAGAGTCTGTAACTTCCACCGCTCACGGGTATACCTATCGCAGGCACGCCCACTATACCCACTGTGATATAAAGTTGTCTTAAATATATATAAAAATTAGATATATAGTAAATTATACTATATATATTTATATATCTCTTATTAAAAATCTGGAATTATAATTATAAATCTATTAAAATCTATTAATAAAAATCACGTGTTACGATTGCGCCAGTCCTTTTTTGATGGACGATCCAAATAGGAAGGGTTGCACATGAAGGGATTAGCGTGTCGCATTTTATTCAAGTTACATATGTAATTGTACATTCGAATTTAGTCGGAAATAACTATGTCAGTCGAATATGGAAAATCAAGATAGAATCATCCACCAAGACTCCTGTAATGTCCAGCAAGCCATTTCTCCCACGCCATCTGACTTGACAATGCCAACTTCCTCCAGCCATTGCAGCATCAACACAGTTTCCCATGTGCCCATGGTAGGCTTCATCATGTTAGAAATGTTACCGGCCTTGATACCGGGTCGCATCACTAGACACCCAAGGACAGGGCCAAGCACCAGATCCCAGAGACGATGTACAAACTCTCCATTAATGTCGTACCAAATGGGGTTCCTAGCCGGCAATTCCGTGCCTGAGGGTGAAGGCGCCGGTGGAAGGACCGTGGCTGCAGCTTTGCCATGGACGGAATTACCATAACGGTATGATGCTGTGGGAGTAACCTCGACGGGGAAACGGAAGCGTTTCTTGTCCATCTGCCGAGTTTCGTATCCGCCATCGGTGAGACCGAACTTTGCGCGGGGAGGATCGCGAGGTCGCATTTGAACAGCGCCCGAAGCGTAGAGATTGATCAATGCAAGGATATCGCCGTCTTCCGCGGTGTACTCGACGTCGAATGAACCCGTAGTCCGGAATTGGAGATCTAGCGTTTTAGTCTTGAAATGAGCGGCACGACGCAGTTGAGTGCTCTCGACGGCACGTTTGCGGCTCAGTGTCTGCAGGAAATATTCTGAGATATCGTAGTTACGACCCGGGGTGACGCGGCCACGGGTTGTTGAGCTGAGGACACGCTCGTTGATGAGTGTCTGCGTCGCAGTGGTGATGAGTCTATCGCCAAAGCGCTGCAGGATATCGCTCGACTCGTTGGGTCGATAGGTCTCTTCTGCAGTGACAATATTTGCCCGAACCCATGTCTTCGCGGCCTCAAGTTGTGCCTCAGCAGCCTTTCGTGAAGCTGATTGGGTACGTTTTCCATCATCCAGGGGCACAGCAAATGGATTGCGCGCCATCAAGTTGCGTTTGTGGTTGATAGTGACACCATGCACAGCCTGGTACAGTTCATCGCCTGCCGTAACATCATCTTCGCGTAGTTCGAAAACACTGTCGAATTGCTCCCGTGTTGCTGGAAGGTCCGGGGCCCGTTCGGAGGGAGAAACATCCAGCCTAGTGCTTGCCCACTCAACCAGGGCAGGCCAGTCATAGCCGTCCAAATCAGAATAGTCAATGCGCGGGACTTCGTCCTTTTCATAGGCCTCAAGGAAACACTCTTGGAAATCTCGATGCATCTTTGTAATCTGCAAGCGATTCTTGTTGAGTATCTGACGAGCTCGTCCTTCGATAAAATCCGAGTCATGGTCTGGGAAAGATTTCTTCACCAGAGCCCAATCGATGACTCTTGATTCTGCTCCGCCTGCAAGAACACGAACAACGACAAGAGCAACCACCAGCTTTTGTTTGAGATCCTCGGAGATAGGCTTCACGAAGCGCTGTCGGCGAATTCGTTTAGGGGTCGCTGACTGTGCTTCTTTGTCGGCTGTTGCAGTATCATCAAGTTTCGCCAGACGGCGGTCCGTGGCAGGAGCGCGTGGGGCCCGAGGAGCCCTCGTCCTTCTCGGTCTTGGCGTCGGTTTTGGTGTCTCAATCTTTGGAGGGGGTGGTGGAGGGGGAAGCTGAGGTAGAGACTGACGCTGGCGACGGATCTCGCTACGCCGTGCTGGTAACTCTGGTTCCACTTGGGGCGGTTTTGGAGGGGGCATGTCAATATCAAATTGAATATCGCCCGTGATCGGCGCTGGTTTGAAACCATCCTGAATTGTTTGGTTGATAAACTGCTGACCTTTGAGGTTTGCCTCAAAAATAATTGGATGATGAAGCTCCCATTTAAGGATCTTTTTGGTCTTTTGATTGAATCTCGAGAGTAAAACCTGGACTTTAACAGCCCTGGGCATTTCCGGCAAGTCTGGTTCGTTATAGGCCAGTCTAGACAATTCATCGACAGTTTCACCAATGTTCAAAACCGGCGGTCTTGATCCCATTGGTCTTCCCCTTTTGCGTTTGGAACATGACCCTGTGGAGAATGTCCCAGTAGTTGGATCAAATTGCTGTATCGGACTCATCAACATGGCATACGCTCCGATGGCAGAAATTGGTTTCATCAGCCGTTTGGGAATGATAGACTTTTGGTGCTTGCCAGGACCACGTGCACCTGTTCGCACATATGGCCGAATAATTGATGTGTGCGGATGAGCATTAAAGTCCAATTCAGGAGGGCGGGCAAGTGTCATGAGTCGCTGAACTCCAGGCAGGTCAGGCAGTTCATCCTCTTGTTCAGCAGCCTTAGCAGCCCTGGCTTGGGCTTCCAGGCGTTTGATGAAATTCGCTTGGGCCTGTCTCCGTCTTCTTGCCTCCAAGTTCACAATGGAAATAGGCTTTTGTTGCAGGTGAACATGGGCACCTTCTTCGACCGGGAAGGAGAATCTCTGTGCGCGGGGAGGTGCACCGTGAGGTCGACCACTATTTCTCGTCAAATTCGGGTCCATCTCAACATTGGCCGCAAAGAAGGGCCGCGAATCGTGGAAATCAGTAGCCAAAATCTTGCTCTGCATCTCTTTCACCAAAGGATCGTCCGGTGACATATCAGGCTTCAACAACAATGTCCTTGTCACCATCACTTTTCTCGTGTCTCGGCCACTGAAAGTCAGCTGCCTAAGCTGACCGGCATCAATCAGTTGTTTGCATGCAGTATTAATAGTTCGCATGTCTGGCTTTTCCTTGGGATGGAACTTCATCCACGCAGTAACAAAAGGATACCACATTGCAGTGCCGGCGGGGTATGCACCACCAGCCTTTTCCATGATTTCCATGATGAGCTTTCTCCGAAGAACGCTGATAGATCCGCCTCTCCCAATCACGGGTTTAGGGGACCCTGGTTCTCCCTCATCTGGCATCTGTAAGGTTCTGATATTGATTCTGTTCCGAACACGCGGCTTTTTCACAGGCTTAGTGCCGAAATGGAATTTCTGGGGGGGGCAGTGGGCCTGATCGTGGTGTCGGAACAACAGATGGACGGGGTGTCGGGGATTGTAGAGTGCTGCGATCGGAGGATGCTACCCGGCGTCGCTTTGATGGGGTCCCGGCTTGTTCGTCCTCGAGTAGATGAACGCTCGCACTCTTGTCGCGATGTCGTGGTGTACTCGCTGCGATTGAGCCCTCTTGTGGTGCTGGAACTGTAGCCTCGGGCAATGTCTCGTCGGCATCCTCCGAGGGATCATTTTGAGCCTTTTGAAGCCGAGATCGTTTGGGGGGTCTCCCAATTTTCTGGTCAATGGCCTTGAAGTCCAATGATGGTGTGGATGAGTCCACTGACTGGTCAGGTAGAGTTCTCTTGGCTGGCCTCGAAGCTGTCGGGGTGGGGGTCATGGCGGGCCCCTCGGAGTTGATAACTGAAGGTGCAGTTTCAGGGGCAAGGCTCTCGGACGCTCGAGTAGTGCTAGCAGCATCCAATACCTTGTCATCATCACTTGAGTCATCTTTATCCTTGACAAACCAAGGCATTGACGTTAATTTTGGCGATTTGAAGATCGCAATTCGACTCTGTCTCGGGCGACCTCGGGCTTTGCCGGCTGGTCTTCTTCGGCCGTGAGGAGTCACGTAGACACCAGGAGCAGGCTTATCCATGACAAGAGCTTTATATTCGGTCCAACTCTCATCCATGCCAAGTGCTTCGAACTTCTCTTGCTTTGATAATCCCCTAAGGCTGTCATGCTTAATCTTGGCTCTTTTGGCTCGCGGGGATTCCCCGACATATTCCCAGCCATAACCTTGGATTTCCTCCGCCTTGGGCTCAATCTGTGATTCCATCGCTTGAGATTCTCTGGGTTCGGATCCGCTAGCTTCGGGTTCTCTAGCGCCAGATTCTTTGGCTTTGGATTCTCTGGCTCGCTTTTCCAGAGTCGCGCGGTTCAGTGTGCCTTTCGGTCGTCCTTTAGGTTTGAAACGGGGCTCATACTGCTGCTTAGAGCCAGGCGGGAGTTTATCAGTACGTGTACGGATCACTGCGGCTTAATGTTAGACCCAAGACAATTTCTCTTGTGGACACCAAGGAGAGGAGGAAGCAATCATACCATGTTGACCGTTTGGAAGTTCAACAACAAACGGGTCGCTTGAAGAAAGAAGATAGTTGGGGGGTTTGACAGCCAGGATACCGTCGAGTAGAGTTGAATTTGGATCCTTCAACATATTCTTTGGGAATTCCTTTTTGAGGAACCCATACTCATCAAGCTGAGGAAGAACACCAAAGGGCGGTGCCACGATCTTTAGCGATTTGGCTTTCTTGGCTGGAAGCTCAACGGCCTCCCACGATGCCTGGCCAGCTTCAACAAGCTTTGCAAAATTGTTTGCCGAATAGTGGACATAATACATAATGGTCTTTTTCATTGCCATATCTCGAACGATGGCATAATGGCGGAGATGAAGTGGTTGGGCTACTTGCCACAAGTCGACCAATTTATGTACCATACTTTCAGCAGGTCTCTTGTAAAAGGACCCAAAGCAGGTCCAATTGAGGGCCTTGAGTATTTTGTTAGCTAAGAAAATCATCACTTTTTTGAGGAAGGCACATGCCTGGTTCGTTATGCCTGTTGTGCCTGTGCTTTGAATGATGTCAAAGATTTGGTTGTTGAGATTACGATCCGGCGTCCAAGATGGTACGATGCGTGCAGACTCTCCAACATGCTCTTTGATCAGATCCATCCTACCGTCCTCCGGACTCGGCGATCTTTTGCTTGGGCCCTCCACCTCCATGTCGTGGTCCAGGTCTGGGGTAAGTCTGGGTCCTTTGGATCGCACCCCATGCTTGTTCAAGACATCGAAATTGAATTCATGGAAAAGGGCCAGATCTTGCTCCGAGGGATCTCGTAAAAGTTTCACACAAGGATGCATCCTTTCGTATTGTGATTCTGCTCTCACACGTTGAACCACACCTATCCGCTCCCACTTGCGGAGGGCACGGGACAAGACTTTCCAACGCCAATGGTCATCAAAGCCCAGGAGTTGTTTCAAATCATTTCGTGCAATCAGTTGGTGCTCTCGGAGAATGTTGAACAATCTGGTGTTGAAGCTGTCGAAATCAATCATGTTCTTCGATTGCGGTTCTTCCTTTGTTTGAACGCTGGTGGTGTGGCGGTAAAATCGTTGCAGCGTGCAGAGACTGGTTCGGGCCGTTTTTGTTTGGACGGGTCGCTTGTCAATGTAGCCCTTTCTCTGCAAAGCATCGGTACGCTTCGGAACAGACCGTTTGTCCTGGCCACTGAGCTTCACCAGCTCAGGCTGTACAATACCCTTTGACCGACGTGAAGCAATCACCGACAGTAAGACAAATTCAAGAGGTAGTACCTTGGACTCATCTGGTGGGTGGCCAGTGATGGCAACCCAGGTTCTCTCTTCCGAGACAAAGATTCGAAGCGGCAGTAAATCGGATGTTTCATCCGCGGTCTGGTTAACCTCGGGATCATCGCGCTCCGTTTTTCGTGAGTCAAGCTGCTCGGCTTCACTCAAGGTGAGATGGTTCCATTTATTGTGCAGGCCAATAGACACCTCTGGGTTAGTCGTGAGCCAGGACCAGATTTTGGATTTGAAACGATGGTCAATATTTTGGTTTATTTCGGGAGTTTGAGCATGGAAATCATCAATGGCTTGCAGTAGATCAGATAATGTTGCGCCTTGATATCCGTTAGCATTCTGTTCAACGAAATGTGTATAGGAATAAAAGCGCCCAATCAGAGCTTGAGATAGAGGATATAGATCGACGTTGGGTCCACACAAGAACGCAGACTCAAATCCATCATAAGAAAGTTCTGAGAGGGGGAGTATAATAGGAATTCAACATATTTCTCAGACTGGGGGGCTCTCGACATAGTTTCGGGGATATTCAGAATCCACATGTGATATGACATGCGTCGCCGGGGTGAGGAAAAAGTGGGTCTTGTGAAGAGACTATACACACCTTGATTGCCGCAGAGTGCGACTTCGTTCAGCACGAAGTCGATAAGATGTTGCACGCCAGGCATGGCTACATAGCGTTTTTCTAAACAGAAAGAGGAGAGTAAAAATAGTAAAAGAAAAGTGATGGATGTGGGGGAATTAATGAAGGATAGAAATTTCTTGAAGGGGGGGGGATTCGAACGCCGAACTTCCAATTTTTGCAATGCGATTGTCACGTCACATGACTTTATCTTATCCTTATCAATGGCTATTGTTGCCTTATTTGTAAGGCATCTTAAATGATCAATGATCGACCGTCTATTTTATACGCTTTTAAATTATAATAATCCCATTGGTGAGTAACTATTAGAGATATTTTTACTTTATTCTATTTGGTTTTGAATCCAAAATACATTGTAGAAGCAGATATCCATGTTGCAAGTTGTTCTCGCCACCCTCCTTCCGCCATCGCATATTTTTAGATCGACATGCCTCGTTTTAAAGAAGAATAGGCAAGACTTTTTAATGTTCGTTTAATATTGTCTGTAGTAACTATGTTATACAACATATGATGTACCTAGGTAGGTATCTCCATTGTACTATATATAGACCATTTATGAACAAGCATAAACTCCCGAGGTCAGCGGGCCCGGTCGTGTCGGGATCGGCGTCCGGGTAGACCGATGCGACTCGGGTTTAGGTCTCGATTCCTGTTTTCTGTATACTTTGTATTGGCGCATATTTACTATTCACTGACTGATACAGAATGAATGTACTTTTACCGCATACTGACATCAATCCCAGATATTGTAAATACTTTGTATTAAATCGATAACCCATGTCTTGTACACAAGACAGAGAGGCAAAAATCAATCCGAGGGAATACGGGCAATACGAAGTATATAATGTAAGACATAAAAGACACAAAACAGCATAAAAACATAAAAAACATAAAATTGGCAGGTGGTTTGATCAAAGACTTGTTTTGAGTGACATCATAGGGCCTTACGTCAGGTACCTCGGATCCCAGCCAAGTTAGTATGGCAACGGAAGTACCTGGCTCCGTTGTTCCCGGTCAAAATTTCCTGGGCTTTCAATTTACATATTCGCCTCTTCTTCACTTCATTTTCTTGGATTCTTTCTCTCTGGAAATCCATTCGGATTTATCATTATATTCACACCATGTCCTAATAACCCTTTATTCCTCTATTAACCCCTACCGCGTGTCCCCCCCGAACCTATCAACAACGGTGATCTGCCATTATCGCCACCCCGATGGAGGAAGGAACCGTCCAAACACCCTCTGAGCCTCCTCCGCTCCCATACTCGTTGCGGACAAGGAAGAAGTCGATCGCCTTCTTCTGGACTATATTTGTGATTGATACCTTGGCTCAGCCGTTGATTCTGTATTGGTGTCTTTGGTATCTCACCGATCTATCACCCAATTTGGGTATGTCTTGCGGGGTGGAACAGATACACCCGTTCAGGTTGCTGATTAGGATGTGCAGTCTTCTCAATCGTGACCGCATCACTTGGAGGAGTTTCGGTCTTTGAATACTTTTACCGCCTTCATAATCTATTCCGCAAAAAATCGCGCGCCCGACCCCTGAACTCCCGCGTATCATGGGTAGGTTTCGACCTAGGATTGATCTGGATCATTAACTAATACCTCTCGGTAGCTGGACTTTTTCCAAATCAACTTCACCATCGTGTGGTTGATTTTGGCTGTTGAACTGGTCGTGTAAGTCTAGCATATACCCAGAAGCGGGCTAATCAATAAGCTAACAAATTCGCAGTGGATCGGTACCTGAACAACCATATGGTTAGACCAACCCACAATATCTTATGAAATTGGCTCATACTGACCGCTTACACAGTGCGCCTCATCGCCATGGTCCTACCGACCGTTATGTTCTACTTCGGATTCGTCTACCTCTCCCTTGACATTTTCCGTATGATGGGCTTCAAGGCCCCGTTCCGAATCTCCTCCACGCCCAAAGGCTCCGTTATGCCAACTGCTTTGTACGCGCTTATTGAGGATGTGGTGGCAGTCGACGGTGGTGGTGGACAGATATATCGATATGCTCTCCGAACTCGATACCTATCGAGTCCTTATTTCCGCCGTATGCTCTTCGAAATGAACTGTTTCTGGAGTGGAGGATCTATCATCTGCGCCGCCGCCATTACTGCGGTTATTTTCACCGTTCAGGAAAACGTTGCATTCACGGTAAGCGAGAATCAATTCAACCTTAAATAACAAGAAAACTAACCTTACGTGCAGTTGGGCTGGACCCTTCCGTTTGCCTGGGCTATTATTTGGACCTTGATCACAATCCCCTGGGTTCAGAGTGACCTACGTCGTGAGAAGAAGGCATGGGCAGAAAACCGTGGACAAGGCGGCATTCCTTGGGTTGACGATATCAGCGCGCCCACCGCACGTACCCGCTTTGCGTCCGTTCAGGCTAATATTTGGCCCTGGACTCGTGATGATCAGAGCCCCCCCCTCGACGCCATCCGTCGGCGCCGAGAAAGTACCCGATGTCCCCAGGGGAGTCTCCAATGGAGCTCATGATGTCCCCAACGATGCCTCCAGCAGTGCCCCTCATGAGGCTTCTCACGTTACCGATGCAACTTATGATGGGACAACTCTTGGCAATCCCAATGTCGAACCATCTACGGAGAAATTATCCGTGTAATATGTATGACTGATGAATTTGTTCCTATTTGCTCTTTTTTGGTTGCACGTGAAAACGCATTTTGGGAGGGGCTTTTATAGATTTTGACCTTATTTGGTTTTTATTCTGCGCAGACTGGTGTCGTTGTATATAGATACCCTATGTTTATTGTCTGGGGAGCATTGAGATTATGTTATTGTTTCATCTAGACTGCTAGACTGCCCACCTAAGTCTCATGTTCCACCGACCCTGATCTAAATTTTGAGAAATGATTCGAATTTGTTTGTCCGATATAACAGATGTAGTGAAACAAGGGCTCAACCAGGGCCTAATCTGATGCTTCTAAGTTCAGACAAGACCCTTTTGCCTCGGATCATACATAAATGATATATTCGTGTAAACTTTCATAGCTATCATCTGGTACACTGTAACACGTAGCATATTGAGGTCTTGGCTGAAAGCTCAACGCATTTTACATTTTAGTTCATCCGACGAGAATGCAACCAAAGATATGAACTATGTTTAAATTAAACCTGGCTGAAGCAGCCTAATGATAAATAGCTACAAAATACACATGTGACACATGTAACCCTAGAACGTTAGCTACATAGCTTCAGGAAATGATAGAGAAGATCATTTCACGATACTATCAGGATTTATAGATCTTCTATTTTTCATTAAAACATTAAAATATAAAAATTTTCCTGCTGTAACTTCAGGGCGTCACCTCCCCCACTCCAACTTGCGGGGTTGACGATCACTGTGCAGGTGTGCATCGACGTAGTAATCGGCTCGGATAACACTTCATAAGCCTCGTCGGATACATGATACAATCTTTATGTGTTATTATTGATTATCATTAATTACAGGATGTGAGGCAGAAGCTATAAAATGAGCTTACTCGGCTAAGGTTCGCTAGAAAATAGCAATCCATTCTTTCTTCAAAACCATGGAGGGATCTATTTCAAGATTTCTTCTTTTGGTCTTTAGCCTTCTATCTGTAGTACAAGCCATCGATCCATTCACCTATGACAATGACACTTTCATTCTCCATGGTGAGCCCTACCTCCTTCGTGGCGGCCAGATGGATCCGCAACACATCCCCCACGAACTATGGCCCGATCGCCTAGAAAAGGCACGCGGCATGGGTCTGAACACGATTTTCTCTTATGTATTCTGGGATCAGCTCGAGCCCACCCAAGGCTCGTGGGATAACACCGGCAACAACGACATCGCAAAGTACTTCCGTCTTGCACAGGAAAAGGGATTGAATATAATTCTGCGGCCAGGCCCGTACGTTTGCGCCGAACATGAATGGGGCGGTTTCCCAGCGTGGCTCAGCGAGATTCCGGGGATGGTTGTCCGCGACAACAACAAGCCTTTCCTGGAAGCCTCGAAAGCTTTCATCAACCGCCTTGCAGAGGAGGTGGGTGATCTTCAGGTCACTAACGGAGGACCCATCTTGATGGTCCAGATTGAGAACGAGTATGGATCCTATGGAAGTGATCATGAGTACTTGGGTGCTTTGAAGGATATATTCACTGCTGCTTTCGACGTACCCTTTTACACGAATGACGGTGGTTCCCAGGCAATGCTCGAAGGCGGGCAGATCTCAGGTGTCTTGGCTGAGACGGACGGTGACGTTTACGATGGATTCGCTGCTCGCGACAAATATGTTACCGATCCAACTAGTCTTGGTCCCCAACTCGATGGCGAATACTATATCACATGGCTCGATCAGTGGGCAAGCAATTATACCCACAAGAGCAACGTCGGAGACAAGGAAGCGACGGATAAAATCACGAAAGATATAAAGTGGCTATTGAATAATAACGGTTCATTCAATCTGTTCATGTTCCACGGTGGTACGAACTGGGGATTCCAAAATGGAGCTGACTGGGCCGATGCCCTGCAGCCCATCACCACAAGTTACGATTACGGTGCACCCCTCGACGAAACAGGCCGGACGAATGAGATCTACCATGCGATCCGAGAGACTATTGGCGCGATCATCGGAGAAGACAAGCTCCCTGCTCTTCCAGCAGAACAGCCATTGATTGAAATACCGTCTGTTAAACTTACCCCGTCTGTGGACATTTTTGATTCCCTCCCCAAACCCATCGAGAAGGAATTCCCAGTCAATATGGAAGCGGTTGGCCAGGCGACTGGACTAATTCTCTACCGACACGTTACGACAACCCCCGTCAGTGGCACAATCAAGACTGGCGATAGACCCCGTGATCGGGTCCTCGTGTACGTGAACAAGAGTCGAGTCGGTGTGATCGATGGCACGTATGCTTCACCGAGCACCGTCAACGTGGATCTGAAAGAAGGCGATGTGCTCGACATCCTAGTCGAGAACCTGGGACGCGTTAACTATGGACCTGAGATCGTGGACCAGCGTAAGGGAATTGTGGGCAACGTCACCGTTGGCGAAAGTGTGCTTTCCAAGTGGGCGATATATCCCTTGCCCTTGTCCTCGCCGCCCGACTCCACCGACAGCAAAACGCCCCTGAAGCCCTCCGCTACTTCAGGCCCTATCTTCTTCACTGGCTCATTCGATTTAGATAAGGTTGGTGATACGTTCCTCGAGCTACCTGGTTGGACAAAGGGCGTGGTTTGGGTCAATGGAGTCAATTTGGGACGTTATTGGGTTGTGGGACCGCAGCAGTCGCTTTACCTTCCTTGGTGCTATCTTCGCGAAAGTGACAACAAGATCACTGTTCTTGCACTTGAACCTACGGGGACTGATAGCTCTGTCCGTGGAGTCACCTCGCGTAGCTGGGGTAATAACCCTGATCCTGATGCTCCGTGAGATGGGGCTAAGACACGGTGCTAGACAGGTATCATATAGGGTCAGAATGAATAGAAGACTACATACATTAAAGAGTATTTCCCAATCAAAGATCAAATTGCTGTTATACCCGGAATTGATATAAATTTATTCCTGCTGTAACTCTTTGGTCCAACGTTTGCCGATCAATGGAGATGTAGCCACTATAGATTGCAAAATTGGTCCATTATAGTAGAAGAGTAACGAGAAGCCTATATGCAACTCTTCAATCAATGAATCTTATTGCACCCCGACTTCTCTGTAGATATCTCATAGCAAATGTATAGCCGGTAACGAATATGTATTAGAGAACTATAGCAACACCCTATATTGGTCAGCCTTTTGCAAGTTGCATTCTGATTTCTCAAGGACCAAGAACCGTAGAACAATTAACTATATAAGGATAATTCTCAATTCTTCAAGATTCAAAAACTGGAAGCATAATTCATACTCGCAACTTTGGCCGAGTTGGTTATGGCGCCAGACTCAAGAAATTTACTTCTTTCACTGTCTCAGTGAGCTTTCTGGTCTCGAAAGAGGCGTGGGTTCGAATCCCACAGGTTGCATATGAGTTTCTTTTTTAGTTCCTTATCAGTGTTATTTGATTGGCTTTGACATTTTTATTTTGTGGGTCTGAGGGGTAACAACCATGGAACGGCAATAAATAATCTGTGCCTGGAATAAAATAATATTTGTTCATATTTATTCACATGTGGGGCAACCTGAATCTTAACTTTTCTAAAGTTTTCTGAATATTTTTCTTTTTTAAATTCTTCAAGTCTCTCCACGTCTATTCAAGTCTCTGTCACCTTTGTCGTCTATCTGGCTCCCTCACCTCGTCTCACGGCCTATTTGCTACGGCAAGGCAAGCTCAAGCTGCCCACCATGGCCCTTACGAACGTCGATCAAATTGCCCCCTCCAAACCGGTTGAAAAGATTTCCGAAAAGACTGCCGATGTACTCGTGACGCCTTGCGATCCATGGCCTGCACCTTACTATTTGGATGGTGGTTTCCGTCGTGTGACACCATATCATTACACCTATAACACCAACTGCAAGGAGCGATGGAGGGGTCGCCAGCTGGTCGAGATCTTCACGTCCGAGTTTCGTGATCGCAAGCCAGAATACTATGTACGTGAATGTATGGGCCTCCAGATGTACGGGAATCGCAAACTAACAATTACCAGAGGAAAGCCCTGGAGAATGGCCTTGTACAGGTTAACGGCGTGACAGCCGGCCCCGAAACGACACTTAAAAACGGCCAGGTCATCTCACACACCCTCCACCGTCACGAACCGCCCGTTACAAGCCTTCCCGTTGGAATCATTTTCGAAGACGATGACCTCCTTGTCATTGATAAGCCTGCTGGTGTGCCGGTGCACGCCGCGGGTCGATACCACTTCAACACAGTGGTCGAAATTCTGCGCTCCGAGCGTAGCTCTGAATGGTTACCTCGTCCATGCAATCGACTTGACCGATTGACATCTGGAATTATGTTCATTGGAAAGCATCCCAAGGCCGCGGACAAAATGGCCGCGGCGCTCAAGGCCCGCTCCGTACAGAAGGAGTATGTCGCGCGCGTGAAGGGCAAGTTCCCAGACGGCGTGATTGTCTGCGATCAGCCAATCATGCAGGTTAGCCCGAAACTAGGTCTAAACCGTGTACGTGCCACCGGAAAAGAAGCGACGACCAAGTTCCGTCGCTTGGCTTACTACCCTCCCGAGGTCGCAAGGGATGTCGAGTCATCCAGCGACGACGAGCGTCCCGCTACCCCGGCTGCGGAATTGGCCAATGAGTCCGAGGGCTACAGTATCGTGCACTGTTTCCCGCTGACAGGCCGTACCCACCAAATCCGTGTCCACCTCCAGTTCTTGGGCCACCCGATTTCTAACGACCCCATCTACTCCAACCGCCGTGTGTTTGGGCCCGACCTTGGCAAAGCTGAGGTGACCGCAGAGCGCGATGAAGAGATCGTCGCGCGGTTGTCTCTCATGGGTAAGACCGAGATTCCCGATACGGTCTCGTACCGCACACACCTGACCGCGGCGCCGAATGTCCCACCGAACACCGACCCGTTGCTTGTCAATGAGATCATGCACCGCGAGCAGATGGCCGCAGCTGAGGACTACGCGAAACGCAAGGGCGAGCGTTTGTCCGGTGACCTCTGTGAAGTCTGTGGCACAGAGCTGTACTCGGACCCAGGCCCCCATGAGCTGGGTATCTTCTTGCATGCTGTTGCGTATGCCGACAAAGACGGTGATTGGGGTTACCGAAGCCCCATGCCTCGCTGGGGCTTGCCTCCTGCGGGCATGGAGGGTCCCCGCGAGTGTCCGGACTGGGTTCCTGCGGCTGAAGGCGAGGAAGTTGTCATTGGCCATGGGACTATTCCGGCTGGCCTGGGTGATGACGACCATGCTGCAGATGCAAAGACTGGCTCTGTGCTTCTAGAAGGCGTTGGTCTTGTTAATATCTCCGAGGCTGCGAAGATGAACGAGTCTCCCCGTGAAGCTACAGAGGCACCTGCTACGAACTAATGATGTTATCTTTTAGGGGTTCCTTTCTCGAAAATACCTTCTATTTATATCATATTTCTCAAAATGTCTTTGTCTTTGTCTTGATACCACTTTGCTGACCTGCCATGAAAAGTTCACGAGCATAGCGTCTTGGTCTTGGTCTTCCATGACATGTCGATACATTGATTTTTGGTCTTCCTTCTAGTATATAGATTTTCTACTGTTAGAAGTCTTATAGAGATGTGTGCAATCTATCAGAATTCCTTCATATAGCATACCACTTCTAGACCCGGAGTTTATATAACTATCAGAGTCCTGAGATGTAATCCAAATCCCGGTCCGCTCAAACTTTGAGCTTGATTCTCTGCTAAAGATCGTGTAGGGACGATAATGTGGGCCTCGTTTGCCGCTCCATTTATATATATCAAGCGCCAGCACCTTGGCTGAGTGTTCCTGGTCCCTACACAGCCTAGAGCTCGATATCATAAACCTCAAGATCCCATACAGAAGAATATCATCCATTCCCAATAAAGAGCCAGCTCATATATAATTCTTTACCAATTTCGCTATCCCACCAACGCTATAAATGCGGCTATCTTTTAACCTTGATGCAAAACAGACCAAAACATAACGCTCAACGCTAAACGCCTAGTAATGTATCCCAACGATAGATGAAACGCAACCCAAAATTCCAAAATCTAGCTAGTCACCCACATCACTTTCTGACACTGCTCCATCCGCTCCAACGCAGCATCAACACGCCACAACATCGTCCCTGACTGGGTTCCTGGCTGGGGCTTTCCACGCAGCACCGCATTGGACGTTGTGCAGCGCAAGTCGGCTGTCAGACGGTACTGGATGCACTCTGGGTCTGCAGCACAGTAATCCGCACAGGCGGCGAAAGAGGTAGGTGTCTTCGGACCCTTATAATTTTCTTCATCGTCCCCTGCACTCGCGAAGTTGTCCCAGTTATCTAGGTGGTCTGCGAGTGTTGGACGGATGAGGTTGCGGAAGATGTCACTATATGTGAGGACGGTTGAGTTTGTCTGGTGGGTGTTAGTGACGTATCCCTTCCAGAGATAAATATATCCCAACATGGGTATCTAGAAACCACTTACATCCGCAAACCACTGCTGCTCAAATTCCCAGAACCGATCCACATCCGCTGGCGTCATATGGTGGAACGTAAAAGGGGCAAAACACCAAGGCGTCTTGGCGAACGCCTCATGCAACATATCCTGTTCCCAAACCGACTGCGTAGTAACATGCGGCCAAGACCAAGTAAGTCCAATCCCAGTCGCAGCAAGCGCCCTCCCAAGCACACAATCTCCCGCCCATTCCTGATCGGTGATATCATCCCACTCATCAATATGCAATTTATGAAAATCCGCAACGGCATGGATAGCCGCATGAGAAAGTATAAATCCAGACCCACCATGCGCAAACAACGTGGGCCCAATCTGCATCTGATTGCCCAGATATAGTCTCTCCTCGTGATTGAAATGCGCCAGCCACGAGAGCAGATTCGGCCAGATCGGATATGTGTCTGCTTCCAGGAACACGAACCACTTTGCGTCTGGCTTCGCGCGTCGCGCGGAATGGATCATAGGAAGGAATTTCCACTTGTCCAGTTTCCAGCCTGGGTTCTCAGTCATACCTGACGGGCCGTTGGCGACTTTCGTATAGTCTTGCGAGGTTAAAGCTGCATGGCCGCCTGCTCGGGCGCGGTTATATAAGGAGAAGTCTTCGTTGTTTTGTTTGAGAGTGTCGGAGACATTGAGGAAGACGTCTTGCGTGCGTATTCCGGCTATGTCTTCTTCGAAGTCGGAGACGATTATCTTGTGCGGGACGCAGCGGAGGGTTGTTCTCAGATGGACGGGGACTTTGTCTTGGGCTTCTGTGATGCCTGTTTTGACTACTACCAACACAGAATCCATTCCGGTGTCTGTCGGACAGGATGAGGGGACATGGTTGGTGTTGGTTATTGGGTCGGTCTCGTTGTGTGTATCAATCGTTAGCCCACTAGCGGGTTCGGTCACGTCCTGCGTGATCTTTGAGCCGAAATCGGCATGTATGAATTGGAGGATCAAGAGGATAAGGATCACTGGGCCTAGAATGAGGACCCAGCGACCATATCGGTGTGGGAGAGAGGGCATTTTTCGGAGGTTCGGGTTCATGGATTCTAGAGGTAGAGAGGAAGAGAATCCAAGAATAGGGTCTCCATATCCAGATGGAGGCCTAATATAAGACATAAAAGTTGAGGGGATCTTCAGGAGGGGGTCTCCAAGTTCTTAAGTGATGGGCCTGTGGGGGCTGATACAAGTTCAAAGTTGCCTATGTACATCATCGGTGACATTCAAACCAGGGTTGTGGCACCATTATTCTCAAGGATTAACCAGATGTGAGACATTGACCTGGATAATAGAGATAATGGACGCATGCTACGTTTCCTAATGTCCAATTCTATCCTGATCCTGTACTCCTATGTCGTGCTGGTCTCAGAACTCCAAGGTTTTTTTTGTTTGCTTATGTTGCGTACGTCACCACTTAAAGGTGGGTCCGATGATCTGAAACGTGTGATAGGGATCGACTACATGTAAAGGGGTTTCAGGTTGGGTATATTAATATATTGTAAGGGGTGAGAGTATAAGGGATGTATATGTTGTAGTCGGAAGTTGATGTTTTTAGGGTTACGATTTTGTTTGGGTACACCCATGAACTACACTGGACGTACACGGTACAACTACATGTACCAGGCCAGATTAGAATCTTGACCTCAATTGAAATGATTGAAATGACTTGGAGTGAACCAAAGGGATTTTTGTAATTTTTGTTGTCATTTCAGAGAACAGTTCTCTCGCTTCACAGCGCCCGGCACTATGACAAGGCCCGAGCCGGACATGCCATGCACAATCCTTAAATTTCGTTATCGCCGAAGAGATAGTATCGCCATACAAAAACCCCGACCTCGTGCACCCATCCCAACTAAAAGGAAACAAACTGGGTTTATTCCATTTATGCCTCGGTGGTGACACGGCCCTTGGGGTTAGTGACCTTGACACCGAGAGCCTTGGCCTTCTCGATGATCTCAACACGCTTGCGGGAAGAAACGGCGTGGCCGATCCTGTAAATTGGTTAGAGAAAGAAATATATAAGGCGACTTGATCGCTGATAGGCACAGTTGGGACTGGCGCAGGAGGCATAACGTACTCAGCAGCGAAGGTGCGGTTGTGCATGAGGAGGAGCTCGACGTCCTTGGTGTTGTGGACGAGGAAAGCCTTGTGGCCGGAAGGCATCATGTGGCGGGTCTTCTTGTTGGAACCGTAACCGATGGAGGGCATGGCCATCTGGCCCTTGAAACGGCGACGAACGCAGTTATCAATACCCTTGGGCTTGCGCCACGAGGCGCCAACGCGCATGAACCGGTCAGACTGGTGACGGTTGAAGCGGTTCGTGCCTAATTGTCGATGTCAGTCCTCCATTCATGAATGTGAAAAATCCATGTTCCGTTTCGGCCTCCACGGCCCTGCGGATAATGTCGCCCTTCGATTCAAGACAGGTGTTGATTTTTTTCCCACTACAATCCTCCAATGGTTTTTTTTTTCCTTCGTTTGTTGCATCTTGCTGAGCTGGCTTTGTTTCATTTGGTCGACGATCGAAGGGCGAAAGTATCCAGGGCACGGGCACGAAAAGGAATGGAACAGGTAATCGGGAACATACGCTTCTTCACGATAGGGATGTGCTGCTTAGCGGCGACCATCTGGAATCAAAATTAGTGACTGAATCGAATATCATGCGCATTTGGTGACTGACCTTGTCGGTATTGCTGGGTCTCGCCGGGCGTTCGAGAGTTGTCGGGTCGGAGTTCAATCTCGAAAACTTCTCTCTCAGGTTCTCCCGCAGCAGAGTGGGAGACCCACACTAGTGCGCTTTGGGCGAACTAAGCGAAAGCAGACCACTTATGTCAGCCTAGGGCTGGTCTAGCCCTAGCCCTACTATTCCTCTTTGGGTAATATCTGGAGATGTTCTATACAACTGTAGATGCCCATAGTCTCTCCTTTATTACGCTGCACATTATACTAGTATTACATTTAATATTTCAATATATTTTAATCTTTATGCATTGATTCTAGAATGATTTCTATATAACATCTAAATATCACTGCAAATGCAACTGAACCTTCTCGCCATCTTTCTCGCCACTCCGCAACATCTGCTCCAAGATCTCAAGATCCGCCAATGCCTCCTCGGGAGACTGTCTAATGTCAGGTTTTCCACTCACGATAGAGTTTGCAAACTCCGCCACCTCCGGGACAACACCCCGGCCATCAAACTCAACATGGTGCTTCTCGCCATTAACAGTCACATCATCGAAGTTCAAGGTGACGACACCTTTCTCGCAAGCAACCTCGAAAATCTGATCATTAAATGAGGATCCCCACGACAAAGAGATAACGCCAGTAGCACCAGATTCAGTCTTCGCAACGGCATCCACTGTATCAACCGGTGGAAGGAATGCTTTCTGCAACTGCGACTGCGCCGAAAGGATGCTAAGACGCTCCGCGGGGCCTAGAATCAGGCGCAGCGCAGCAGTCATGTGCACACCACCGTCCAAAAGGAATCCACCCTGGTACTCAGGAGTCTTGCGCCAGGCGGTGTCTAGTTCAGATAGTCAGTCTCCGTTAAGATCTTCCATGTAGAGAATCAGGACTAAACATACGGAAGTACTTGTTGTTCTCATCCATCAGGCTGTGAACGTTCACCCGGAAGTTTTGGACCTTGCCCAGTTTTTGGACTTGCTCTGCCGCGAAGAGGAACTTCGTGATATAACGGAAGTTCTCGGCGACAGCCCAGAAGACCTTGCTGGTATCGATGGTACTCTTGTACCATTTCAAAAGTTCCTGGGCAGTGGCAACATCCTTGGCGATAGGCTTTTCGGACAAGACGTGCTTGCCAGCGAGGAGTGCTTTCTGAATGAACTCCGGCTGAACCAGAATAGGAAGGCTATCAGAGTCGGGGGTTAGTGTTTCGCTCAGCTAGTTGATTCTAGAGAAATGGAATCCCGTACGCAATAATCACCGCGCCGATGTCTGAACGAGCCAGTAGATCGGCATAGGACTTGTCAGAGCCTGAGTCCTCAGAGTAGAGATCGACTTCAGACGTGCCACTGGCGAGGTCCTGGGCTGACTTCAAGGACCGAGAATAGATAGCCTTGAGTTGGAAGTTTGAGGCAGCTTGGACGGCGGGCTATGTGATTAGTTAGTCAAGTAGATTATATAGAAGATGGTACTATTAGGGAGTTTGTCATACAAGGTGTTGCTCTTTCGCAAAGAGACCTGTTGAATGTTAGCTAGTGCATACAGCGTAGAGTATATTGTAGAAGTATGTACCACTGCCGATGATAGCCACGCCGATAGACATAATTGTATAGAGGGGGAGAGAGAGAAAAAGAGATATAGAGATGTCAAGATATAGATGAAATATCAAATGTTGTTACTTTTCCAGTCCTTCCGGTACTATTAAAGGAAGTTCAGCAGTGGAGTACATTTGAATGTACCCCCAAAGCCACTTCAAACTGCGGGAAGGTCCAACCTCGACGCACGTCATTTGTCCGGATGCATTTCCTATTAAGTCACATCTCTAGCGGATACTTATACTTTAGGACTAGCTTGATGTATACTCTGTACGGAGTACGGAGTACCTACAATACTTCTCTCCAAGTGCCTATACGAGGACACGGAAACTCCGTGATAGATCGGGTTTACAATTCAAGAACTCCTCACATTATGTCGGCAAAAAAGACCATAACCAAACTCTCCAATAATACCACCATCCAAATGCGCCAAAATATCAAAAGGGAATCCCAACCCAAATCCTACCAAATACACGCCCAATCATTCCCATCATCAAATAATCCAATCGTACCAGTCGTAAAAGTAAAAAACCCCCACATGTCAGCCGAAAGCCTTCCGACCATCATTGCTGATTAACCAAAGCCCTCAACCGTTCCACACGCGCCATAGCATTCTCCAACTTCTCCAGCCGACTACGCTTCTCAACATCCCTCCGTTCCAACACAGCAACCCTCTCCTCAAGCTTCGCGCGAGCCTTCCGCTCCTCCGCAACCATCTCATTTGCCTGACTGAAAAGTTGTACAGTCAACTCCTCTAACTCAGTACTTGCCTGCGAAAGCTGCGACTCGGCCGCCTCGCGCAGTCTCTGTTCGCGCGTAAGCGCATCCTGTAATTCGGCGGTGTGCTCGCTATTCGCGGGGGACATATGTGTGTGGGGTGTTGTCAGCGCGGTCGGGGTACTTGGGAGAACGGCGCCGCTGGATGTTGAGGGTGCGCTTGCTGGGGTTGCGCTGCCGCGTCGGTAGGGGAGAAGAGAGGCTAGGTTTGTAAGGCGACTGTGGTATGTTTGTGGTTGGGATTGGGATTCGGAGGATGTTGGGCGTTGTGGTGAGGAGTGGTCGGGTTGGGAGGGGGTCTCCCCAGTGAAGAGCTGCTTCGTGGGGTATGATAGGACCCTTGGGATTGAGAGGCTCGTAGACGGCGGATTTCATCTTCGTACTCGGTGAGTTTGGAAGCTGTTGATGGGGTTAGCGGGGAGTTTCTTGGTTTATGGCTGGCTTGGAAGAAAGGGAAGGGTTTCCAAAAAAAAGAAGAAAAAAAGTAGACTACTGTATTTTCTGTAGACATGCGATCACATTCATGCTATGCTTGTGTATGTAGTCTGACAAAACAAAACAGTCGAGTCCTGCAAAGGCTTACCTGTAGCGGAAGCGCGCGCTGTCAACGCATGCACCTGCCCCTCCAGCTCCTGGATTCTATCGTGGGCGCCAGAACCATCTTCGAGAAATCCTTCGCCCCAACACATAGGACATTGTTTTTCTGATATAGCAACACCCTTCATGGCCGGTGCGACAAGTGTAGTAGTGAGGGATGTTGTAGTCGACATAACAGCATGGGGCCTTACCCCGGGATTGTCAGGGTTTAATTGGTTTCACTAGTCGAAGGATGGATGTAACGGTCCACGGGTGATTTGACGGGGTTTAAGAAGTGCCCCGAGTACAAATAAAAAAGAGAAAAAAGAGAAGGAAAAAAAAGAAGGAAATTTCAAAGGCTGAAAATCATAATCCCTGGCCCTTTGAAGGGGTTACAATTAATTCCATACCGGCCACTCTATTTCTTGGCCAATTGTATCTCCTTGGTTCCTGGATGATCCCATAAACATGTTATGAATGCCATTTAGATGAGGATCTTGAACTATCTTCAAAACATGCTCGAAACAACTAGTTAATTGACAGCGAGCTCAGTTGATTATGTATATACTAAACTCCATACATCTCATATCTCATATCCTCGGTACATAAATCTGCCACGTTCGAACCGTTTGAGACTAGTGGATCCTATTTATACCCTTGCTTGATCCAATAGTCGACTTATGTACGGAGTACGGAGTACCATAAAATCTGGACTATTGTTTTATGTCTTGAATCTAGATGCTTTTACTACTAAAATTAGATATCAAATTGATAGTTATTCTCTATAAACACTGTTTTTCATTAGAAAAAAAGTCCAACCTCCCCATTTCTTCAAAACTGATCGACCACGTTCTGATACACTAGTGTTTTGGAACTTGGCCTTGGCAGAGATATACAGACCGGCCCCCCTATATACTGGCAGCATGTCTATATTGTACACCTAGGTAACCTCTCATTATATACATCCCCTAAACATTCTACAAAAGCACAATTGTCAGTGAAGACTGCATTTCATTCTATGCTAGGCGGAAATTCAACTCAAGGTTAATACGCAGAAATGGGGCAAGGACCATCGAGATAACTCTGCCATGCAAAGACCCCAAAAGAATTGAATTAGGAGCAGTCACAGAAAGAAGAGCAAAAGAACAGGAATTTATTTCGTCAACGTTGTGCTCATGAGAGGGGTGCTCGTAATGACTATTCTCGCAGAGTCGTCTTGTTCGCATGGCCGAGAACGAAGAAAGAAGAGTGTCCAAAGACCCCAACCCCCTAGATCCACGGCAGACAGAAACGAGAAAGAAACAGGACCACCCGTGGTCAATCGAACGGAAGAGAGGAGAAAAGAGAACAAGCAAAAAAAAGGAAAGGGAAAATAAAATGGAACATGTAGTATTCATTTCGCATCGGCTGTAATGGTCATGGGCAGATCACTTTGAGTCACGCATGGGAATAATAGCTAGATAGCGAACAAGACATAAAATGAAACTTTTCGGACTGCCAGATCATCGAAGCGAGGACTAGATTTATATCGAAAAATCTAGCCCACGGAAAAAGGAAAAGAGATCATGAAACCAAAGGGCAAAAGAGTAGGAGTGGAAAGGAGAATAAAGCTCAATCAGAAAAAGCAAATCTACGTCCGGCGCTGAGACATGGCGGGAGTAGGTGGTAATTATGAGTGACAAACCTATCCCGGTGCAACCGCTCAAGGTAACTTGACCGAGCAGTGCACCCAAGACCGGAATGAACCTCGTCCAGAATTAACCCACCTGCGTACCCGGTAAAATCCAAGGCTCAGGGCAAAAAAACGGCCGTTGCTTCGGGGTATCGATACGTTTATGCGAATCCACGACCAGTCTGTCCACGGCGGTTGTTGCGCTTGTTCACACTGACCGTGCTCCATCCCTCGTCGTCACCGCCAGCACCAGCCTCAGGGGCCGGGGCTCTCCAACCGTTAGCAGACGCCTTCTTGGTTTCGGCAGGAGCGGCAGCTGTCGTCTCCTCGGTCTCCTGGTCGGCGGTCAATTCGCCATCCTCGCCGGCCCGTTGGAGGACCTCGAAGTTGCCACCACCCTTAGGGGTCTCCAGGGCATCCTTGCCGTTGTGGTCCACGGGAGGGGCTGACTCCTTGAGCTGCCTTTGCTTCTCGGCGAACTTTTCGGCCTTCTCGGCTTTGGCCTTCTCGGCAGCTTCCTGCTTTTGGCGAATGGCCAGCTGGCGTCTCTCCTCAACCTGACGCTCGCGGGTAGCAGTGTCAATGGGGCGAGCGGCACCGAAGGGGCTGGCCTTGGAGTCGCTGCTGGCTGAGGCGGGGGCGGGGTTCTCTGAGACGGTGCGCTTCGTCAAGTTCAGTTTGGGGCGGCTAGCAGGGGCAGCAGGAACGGCAGGAGTGGCAGAGGGGGAGGCGGGGCTGATGGGCTCCTTAGGAGTTTCGTCGGGGCGCATTCTGGCGCGCCACTGGTTGTCCATATCGGCGGCAGTGGGTGTAGGCTCCGGGCGAACGTGCTCGGGGCGGGGAGGGCGCGAGCCCTCGTCCTGGGAACGTCCCTCACCCCATGCGGCCTCGGTTCTGCGGAAGCTGGAACCGGGTCCGTCGTTGCTGTGCTCTCGGCCACCCTCGCGATGAGGGCCACCGGCAGAGGGCGAAAGGGGTCCCTTGCGCTCCCAGTTGTTGAAGTCACGGGGCTTTCCGTCGGACTCGAAGTTGCTACGGCGGCCACCGCGATCATCGCCCGCATCGGAGCCGGCATCCATGCCACGTCCAAAGCTGGAGCGCTCAGGCACACGGCGTTGGGGAAGTTCGGGGAGAGGGCCACGTCGGGACCAGTCAAGATCCTTACCTTCTAGGCGAGATTCCTTGGCTAAAATAACCTGTCAGTTGAAATATTTACCAAACGCTAACCTTCGGTACTTACGAGGCTCCGCAACACTGGTACGGATGGAGCGTCCCTGGAAAGACGAGCCAGAGAGATCCAGAGCCTTCTGCAGACCCTCGACGGTCTCGAACTCAACATATCCGAATCCCTTGGGGGCCTTTGTCAACTTGTCTTCCACGAGACGGACGCTCGTCACACCACATCCAGCGAAGAACTCGGTGATATCGGCGTCAGTTGATTCGAAGGAAAGGTTGCCAATGTGGCAAGTGTAGGGGGGCTGGGTGGGGAGATCAAGAGGCTCCCGGACGGCATATCCACCACGCTCGCGCTCTAATCATTCAATCTGTCAGGACCCGTTCTCTGTATATCTAGCGCGCGGGGTATCATACCAAAACCGCCAGTGGAGCCGGAGCCGAATGCCAAATCACCTGCGGGGCGACGGCTGAAGGTGGATGCCAAAGGCTGGGCTGTCGATATTGTAAGCAAGGGTTCCGATCAACGATAAGCATGTTAGGATGTTAGGGTATCGGGCACACTACATACTGGCTATAAATTTTGTTAGTACAATTTCGCAATTTCCATAGCGGGGGAAGATCTGCAACTTACAAGGAAGGGGCATATCCTCCATCTCATCAGCCCAAGAGCCAAGGCCTATAGTCGTCAGTAATCACATCCAATCATCCAATCATCCAAATTTTTCCCGGTCACTCACTTTCATCAGCCAAGAAGGTGCTCATAGACATCTTCTGGGCTTTGTTTTTGGGGAGCTGATATTCCATCATGTTAGCCAATCGCCTATAAATATTTTCGCGGGGGAGCGATGCCCTGGGGAAATGGAAGGTCTGGAACGAACCCATGATTGCGGTTTGAAGTGGGAAACGCGCCGGGATTTGTGCGCGCTTCTCGGAGGGAAGGGTTGAAGAGAAGAAAAGGTCAAAAGATCAAAGACACCTGGTGAGAAAACCAAGAATCAAAATTTGAGTCAAGTGTGTTAGGTTCAATATCTGCAAACCCACAGTGGAAAAGTTGGTAGAGGGGAAGTCGGCTGCGGCATGGAAGTGGACGGGTTACTAAATTTTTAGTGATGACGCTAGCCCAATCAGAGCCGCGAGATCGGTCTATACTGGAACTGCAATCATCTTCGAATCCGTTTATATTCCTAGAGGGATGTGAAACTAATAGGTTACTCGTGCTTTTGTTTGCTTCAAAATGAGCAAAGAAAAAAAAAAAAAAAAAGGGAGAGAAAATCCCGAGTTCGTACCTTATTTGTCTACGATGCCGGACTTCTTCATACTCGGCTAAAAATATATCATCAAATATACCCCAAAAACAGTACGGACTACTCAACTTTATCACTGTCGCAACTTGATTGGCTAAATTTTTGTCACTCCAGAAGTAGTCGGTTTACAGTCGCCTCAATTACTTCAAAGTTGTAAGAACCAGCGGTATCACAGGTGTTTGTAGATCGTTCCGCATCAGTTCCTAGTTCAATATGATATACTTTACCGGAGCCTCCAGTACAACATACTATATAGGCCTGGTATAGCCTTTTTGGGCGGGGGGTTTTTTTTTGCTATGTAATACCACAGATTCTACCCGTGCCTAACACCCATCGTAGAGATTATCTACCTCTTTTAGTAACCTACCTAGCCATGGTTTCCATAAATTGATCTACGGGGAGAGTGCCACTCTCATCTAGTCATACTAGGTTAAGTATAGTGAATTTTAGTAGCACTATGGTTTTTACCGATAAATTTGATAAAGCGCTGATCAACAGCTACTTTAATACTTAAACTACTAAGACACCCGGAGATATAGTAACCCTGAAAATTGCACGACTAGAAGTGAACATCATTCCTATGCTTCTTCAGTCTGATTTCCAAATCTTTGTATAACAGCATTGCAAAGCAAGCTCGGAGATCTGAGCTTTGACTTCAACAGTCAACTGGGCAAACCTTTTGACGTAGTGACAGGCGGTTCTTGAAGATTTCGCCTCGTGTTGAAGTGGATATTTGGCTTTTGAGCCAGTTAAAGTACATAAATAGCGACAGTTTGAGGGGAAAATAAAGATCGTGGGGCTGACAGTCTTGCAGGTGATCATCTGGACATAGGCAATGTGGGGATATATATCTATGGATCTTCATACTCTTCATCCACCATTTCTCTCCAGATTTTTAAAAAAGAGTCAGTTGCTGCATAACACGAGTATAAAATACACGCAAATTCTTCAGTTCTAAATTATCCCATTTGAACATCATTGTTTATGCCCTAATTTGTCCACCAGGGCTGGATGATAACATTACATAATCCAGGAACATTGA